CGGGGGGGGGGGTGTCTTTTAAGTCATTGCACACATATCTCGGATCTTGGCGTCTTCAATTTCCCATTGTCTTCTCATTTCCAGTTCCGTCTTTGCCGATTTGCGCCCCAGAGCCCACCCTAGACCCAGCGAGCCAAGCTCTTGGGTTTCTTAGCCACTCCCCGAGTCCTCGGGAATAATTCCATCATATAAGTCGACGATCCCAGCTAAATAGTCACCATGCGCAGACCACGAAGGACTAGAGACTCGAGCTGGTCCAGTATCGACACAATGGGTTCTCTTGCGCCAAATCCTCCTCTGAGCCCCTCCAAGATGCGGCCAACAAGCAGGGACACGGGCTTCCCTGAGCCTTTCTGTGGCAGTAAGTTTTCATATCACGAAGTCTTTGACTTACACGCGGCCCATGCTAATCCCTGTCTTCAGACCGAAATACAACACTCCCACATCCCGATGCTGATTTGTCGCCAAATGCGTCCATCTCAGCGGACGACATCTCCATCACCCGCGTTCTCAGCCGTCAGCGGAGGTCGTTCTTGTCTTCTAGGAACAAGCGCACCATCAGCCACGGCCTCATCACCAAGGAGATGGAGCAGATGTACAGCGATCCCGTGATCGACAGTGACCTGGACTCGCCCACAATCCCCAGCGGCAAGAGATTTGAGCCTCTAGGTCGGCCTTCAACCTCGGACGGCGGTGATAGCATGGAACGGCCATCAACCTCCAACGACGAGTCCAGGGATCCCGCACAGCTACGCGTATCTACCGAGCACACGCACAAGCGACGGCACAGTCTCCTGGGCAAGTTTGGTTTCCACCATCACAAATAGGATGGCGATAGTACGCCTGTCGAGACACGGAACCGCAACCGCTTGCATAAAGCACACCCATGATAGGTGTTGAATTTGAGGAGTTATTACAACACGGCAACACTGCTACCGGAGGAATTTCATTTTGTCAAAAATTATTAATCAGCATGGAGTCTTGGGGGGTGCGCCTGGCTTTTTGCTGCTGTACAAACTTTCACGATGAAACGAAACAGACTCCTTTGAGAGTCAATATGGGGGTTTGGGTCTTGAGGAAAAAATAACCGGATCTTGACTTTGGGGATCTGGCTGGTCTCGCCGGACGGGACTGACAGTCCTTCACACCTAGAAACCCTACTTAGAACGCTCGCTATATCCGTAGCCTTCTTCTAATGCAAAAATTGTAAACACCTAACCCCCAGCGAGCCGCCGACCAAGGCGTGCCTGATCCCTATCTCTCCTTCACCATGCGTGACATAGCTCGATCATCCCATTTCGATGTGCCCATACTTCAACATCCGTTTGCTCAGCTGCCGCGGTACGTCGAGTAGCTGTACGGCGCCAGCAGCAGCGGGACGTGGTAGTGCTCGCCCTCCTGCACGGCGAAGACGACGGTGACCTCGGGGAAGAAGGTGCGGTCCTCGCCGCCAAAGTAGGCGGCGGTGTCGAAGCGCAGCGTCCAGCGGCTGAGGCCCTTGATGTCGCCGAGGACGTCGTCGAGCGTGTACACGGGCACCTCGCCCGAGCTGGCCGGCGAGCTGTACGGCAGCCACGACTTGACGCGGCCGTCGTCGTCCGTCTGCGACTCGAACTCGACCGTGGCCCCCGACGTCCCGTGGCTGCTGTTGCCCGCCGTCAGCTGCAGCCGCACCCGCACGCCGCGCGCCGGCTTCCCCACCGACGTGTCGAGGATGTGGCAGGTGATGGAGTCCTTGTCGCGGGTGGCGGCCATCGTGTCCTATCCAGTCTTGTATGTGTGCAATTTGTGGGCAGCGAATGGTGGTTGGGCCTTGGATATGCCTTATGGAGAGAAGAGAAGCGGTTCTGCGGGGGGAGATCTACAAAGACCCTTATGACGATGGTGGTGAGCTGAGCCCCTGTTCGATGGAGGGGTGCGCTTCTGGCTGGTTCACGACACCGGTCTGAGGATATCGAGAAAACCAAATTTGAAGAGTTTCAGACACTGGAAGCTGAGGCTGAAGCTGAAATGTCACCGGAAGAAGTGTTTTCTGATTTCCTTTCCTTCAATGGTGCTTGGGCGGCGCCAGGTCAGCACAGCCTCCGCGCCCGGAGCTGCTTTATAGGCCGGGTGCCGCCGCCACGACCCAGGAGGACCCCGCTGGCTGGAGCGGCCAGGCCCTGCGCCAGGTCTTGAGCTTAAAGTCCTAGATGTCGACAGCCAAAAAGCCCTGGAGGACTCTGAGCATCAATTATGGTTATGGCACAAATATCAGGCTCAAGATGATGTAGCGTCTGCTTTGACGTATGGTGGCTATATAGAGGCCTGGAATCATAGGTCAACTGCAATTGAACAGCTATTCAGCTCACATACAGTCGTTGCACTTTTGTTACTCCTGACTGCATAGGGGGGTTAACCACCAAGGCTTGATAAACTCTGTGTTTCAACCAATTTTAGGAAAGTCAGTTCAGGATTCAGGTAATTATCGCCATACACATGACATTTTAGTGTACAACAGCCCAGCAACTTTGTTGGCCCTGAGTAATGTTCACCACGTGTAGTCTAGAAGAATAGAATGCTTGGCGCGGGGCGAGACAGTGACCCCACCATGCTGCAGTGACGTTGCCCGCCGCCGGCGACTTTGAGCTTCGAAAGGTTTCCAGATCGGGCGAACGCCGTCTTTCGCCTTCTTGGAGCTGTGAAATTCAAGTAGGGACTCAACGACTCTTGATATTACCTCTCGTGTTAGAACAAGCCAGTGTTCGGAAGATCTCGCCTTCAGCAGCCGCTTCGACGTCCTACCCCTCAGACAAGGTCTTTCTTCAGCGCTCCGCGAGTAATCTCACACCGCAGCCACAATGTCCTCGGCGGCGCTCATCAACGTCGACGACGATGCCCTGGAGCCGACCCTCCAGTCGATCCTCGACCAGCGCTCTCTGCGGTGGATCTTCGTCGGAGGAAAGGGTGGTGTTGGCAAGACGACCACCTCGTGCTCCCTCGCCATCCAGCTGGCCAAGGTCCGGCGCAGCGTCCTGCTCATCTCAACAGACCCGGCGCACAACCTGTCAGATGCCTTCTCCCAAAAGTTCGGCAAGGAGGCGCGTCTAGTGGAGGGCTTCTCGAATCTGAGCGCCATGGAGATCGACCCGAATGGTAGCATTCAGGACCTGCTGGCAGGACAGGGCGAAGACGGTGCTGACGCCGCGGGAATGGGTGGTATGGGAGGCATGATGCAGGATCTTGCCTTTGCTGTAAGAGATCCCCTGCCTGGTCACCGACTTTGCCGTGAGATCATTCGCTAACAGGAACCTGTATACAGATCCCGGGTATTGACGAGGCCATGTCCTTCGCCGAGGTCCTCAAGCAAGTCAAGTCCCTATCCTACGAGACGATCATCTTCGACACCGCGCCGACCGGTCACACACTCCGCTTCCTGCAGTTCCCCTCGGTGCTCGAGAAGGCTCTCGCCAAGGTCTCCCAGCTCTCCAGCCAGTACGGGCCCCTGCTCAACGGCTTCCTGGGGTCCAACGGCGCCCTGCCCAACGGGCAGAACCTCAACGAGATGATGGAGAAGCTCGAGTCGCTGCGGCAGACGATCGGCGAGGTCAACACGCAGTTCAAGGACGAGAACCTGACGACCTTTGTGTGCGTCTGCATCCCCGAGTTCCTGTCGCTGTACGAGACGGAGCGCATGATCCAGGAGCTGGCCAGCTACGGCATCGACACCCACTCCATCGTCGTCAACCAGCTGCTGTTCCCCAAGCCCGGCAGCGAGTGCGAGCAGTGCAACGCTCGCCGCAAGATGCAGAAGAAGTACCTCGACCAGATCGAGGAGCTGTACGACGAGTTCAACGTCGTCAAGATGCCCCTGCTCGTCGAGGAGGTGCGTGGGAAGGAGAAGCTGGAGAAGTTTAGCGAGATGCTAGTGAACCCATTTGTCCCGCCGCAATGAATGGTATGGTATAGATGGATGACATGGGAGCTTGGCGCCCGCATGGTCTTTTCCTATGTGATGAATTAGTGATCAGGCGGAGCATCAGGGAAGGCAGAGGCGAAGGCGAACAGCATGGCAAGGATCGGTTCTTGTTTGGCTGTAGGTCTATCTTATTGGGTATACATACCAGGAGTAGAGGGTGCTCTACGTGAGCTTCTCATACACCTGAACAAACTACATAGATTCATGTCACCTGCAATCGATACCAAAACCTATGATTTTTTCAATGATTTCATTTCTCATACTTTCTGACTAATCTGACTCCTTTGGAGCAATGATCATCTACTCTTGTGCCAAAGAGTAGTGTTTCCTTCTGTGGTATATTGTACATTACGCCAATCTTCTCCCCCCTTTGATGCGGAAGTAAATCCAGAACTCCGTGAATGCAATCGATGCATGCCTGTTGGCTACTCCTTCCAGGAGTGCCAGAATTGTGACGCCTACTCCAACAAGACCAGGCCGCTGAATCCTCGCGGCCAACTGAAGATAATGAAAGTCGTATGTACACGTAACGGTGGGTGCGTTAGATGTGGCGAGAAAGACCATCAGAGCAGAGCTTATCAAAGCTCCCTGTAGTCACTGGGTCGGACTCTACGCTGCCGGTTCTGATGACGGTGTGGGTTGACTGGCTTTCGGAAGTAGGCATCGTCCTCGCCCACAGGCTGCCCAGCGAAGTTGGGAGGCCTTTGCGGATTGAACCCATTAGCTATGCCAGCGTTCATGTTGCCGTTCATTCCACCACCGTTCATGCCATTCATGCCCCATCCTGCATTGCCGTTCATCCCCTGGAAGCCATTCATGTTGTTGAATGGGGGCATGCCCATCATCATGGGGTTCATCATGCCCATGTTCATGTTGTTCATATTCATGTTTGGCATCCCCATCATCATTGGATTCATCATGTTCGGCATGCCGCCAAAAGGCATCATCATGTTTGGCATATTTGGCATACCCGGCATGTTTGGCATGTTGGGCATGCCATTCATCATGTTCATCATGGAAGTTTGCTGGGCTTCTTGAGCCTTTTGCATAGCTTTGGGAGCCTTAGGGATCTTCGGATTCTCCGCAACATCCTCTGCTGGTCGCTTCTTTGAATTCTGTTGCTCGCCATTGACAGTAGGTGTAGATTCCTTTGATGTGGGTGGAGGAGACTTTTGTGGTGTCTCCGAGGGTGACTTGACACTTGTTGGTGGTGTTGGGGACTTTGATTTGGTTGGGTGGTCTGGCACCTGCTCAGACTCAGTCTCTGTTGTTGTCTTCACCTCTTCCGGAGCTGGTGACTTGACTTCGGTAGGGCTGTTTGCCGCAGCGGGGCTCTTCGGCTCTTCTTTGGCTTTGACTGTAGTCTTCTCCTTAAGATACGCCTCGATCTTGACAGTTGCTTCCTCATCTGACTTGAGGTCGTCAATTAATACGCCCTCCGTCTGGCATCCGGGGCAGACGAGGTCGCCCTCAATGAGAGCATTGGTGATGCAGTCATTGCAATACGTCTTCGCACAACAAGGTGTCTTCATTGGGTCTATAAACATTTTCTTGTCGATGGGGCACAGCAAGCCTCTGTCCTGCAGCTCCTTCTCATCCTGCGCAGCAACTTTCTGCGCAGCAGCAGACGACTTGGTCTTGGCCTGGAACTGTTCCCACGCAGCCCTGTCAGGCTCCGCAATCACGAAATCTCCATCTGCATTCACCATGATCCCAGACGGAGTCTTAGAATCATCTTCGGCCCCATTCTGGGCTAATACCGTCGCTTTATCCACGGTCTTCAGGAACGATTTAGGAATACCTGTTGTCCTCTTTACACGTGGTTTGTTGTCAAACTCTGGGTTATCATTGGTAGGACACTGTTGGATCCAGTGGCCTTTCTCCCCACAACGATAGCAGATATAGCCTTGAGGGGGCTCATGGTCAGGAACATTCACGGGCTTTTTGGCGCCTGGCTTGAAGACTGGTGTTTGGCTGTAACATAGTTAGCAAATAGGAAGTTCTAAAGGGGCGATCTGTGCTGCTTACTGAGACATCTCTTCTTGTTGCGCACTCCACTGCTCTGTTTGTGCTGCAAACATAGCATTCATCTTTTCCTCTTCCGTCATGGCGCTGTTCATTTGGGCAATTGCATTCGACGCGGATTTTGCTGCTGCCTTGATTTGTTGTTCTCTGCGAGAGGAGTTCTTCGCATTGACCGGCATCTTGCCAGACACATATCGCGCGGCTCGACCAGCGCCTGCCTTCATGGGCGGTAACCGGCGTGCGATGACCGTCGTAGATCGAGGTATAATGGTAGTATCATCGTCGTATTCTACATTGCTGTCAGCATCTACTACCTTTGCCAATTTAGCAAAGTCTAACTTACCTTCACTTCCATCTTCGGTGTAAATGGCAAGGTCAAAGTCAGTTCCGTCGCCCAAGCCGCTCTTGATGATGATGTCGCGCTTGAGCTCGAAGACAGAGATGCCAGTACCATCGAACTCGACTCTGGTCGGCTCCTTTTGTGACTTGAACTTGAAGAAGACTGAGGACGTCATATTGACTAGTAGTTACGTGAGGTGTGATATTCTTTGGTTTGGACGTTCAGCAGGATCCCACGACAATGGATCTCAAGGGAACGGGGCGATTGCAGTACTGCGAAGTTAGACTGGCGATATGACGCTTCTTGGATGATTTTTTCGCACACACGCGAGGGGAAGTTCTTCTGTGTACTGTTTTTCTGCAATGTATTTCTCTGGTTGATTCAAGTTGCAAGAGGGAAAGGAGACATCAATTTCTGATTGTACTCGAAAGAACAATAGCTCTCGAACGGGGCCCAGCAAGAGAATAAGGTAGGAAGAAAAGTACAAAGTCCCAGCTGGCCACCTATTCACAGAATGGCTGTATCGCAAAGAAAATCTTCTCCCCCAGGTCGACCCTCGCAACAATCCCAGCGGATGTCTAGACAACCTTCTATTGCCTGCAACCGTAGACTTCTCTAGCAGAGTAAGGCAACGTCACGCGAAACAGTTGATGCACGGGTCAAGATCCGGGCGATGGAGATGGATGGGGTCAAGCTTGCTGTAGATTTCCGACGTCGGGTTCGTCTGGCGCCTCTGCCTCAGGACGAGGGCTCAGCTGTGTTAAATAGAGCGACGCAGACAAAAATACGGCACAAAACAACAAGTCGATGAGAGAATAAAGGGAGCGTCGTCACTTTGATGGGGAGATGGTGATGGTGATGGAGAAAGGGAGTGGCGGCGCGGTTTTGAAAGAGATTAGGTTGACCTCTGCGACCGTAGAAAGAGGGAGAACAAAGGTGACGAATCTTAGATGGGAGCCACTGGAAGGTGTCGGGGGGATGAGCAAGAAGGAAGAGGAGTCAGACACCGCTAGTCTCGTTTCGGACAACAGGTCATGTGATCCACGTTGAGCAAATTCAGGAGGCGAAGTCCCGAAAGGCAGGTCACATGGGAACCTTGGGGTATTAGGAAGAGACCTCAAATATGCTACAGGATCAACGGCTACAGAAGTATCTCAATGTCATACATATTCAACCAATTAGGCTCTTCTCTGACATCTCCGCACGACTTTCTCGGCTGACAATTCGTCCATTTTGACTGATCGGCAGCTCTACTCGTTCGATTCCTTCGAGCCTGGCCATTCATCGTGTCGCCGTCCTCCAGTAGATTGTCCGTGAAATCCGCCCCTCCTGCCTCATGTCGACTTCTTGACGACACCACCACCATTCTCTCAAACCTTCCTGTTCTTATTTCTCACAAGTTATCATATACTCAGTGTACTTATCTTTGAAACTCTTCTTCACACTTTCAAGACAATTCCGAATGGAGTAGCCCAATTACTCCGAGGAACAGCTTCGCATCACCTTGCGCTAGCAAAGCTTTCCTGTATCTCCGAACTGACCTGAACAACCCAACGATACCTCAAGACCTAGCCTTGCCTTACACATTGAACGGCGTCGTCAACTCCGAAAGCCTTATTCTAAAGCACTTCCATCAGGGCAGCTGAATTCGACTGGACATAACTGAGCTGTTTCCGATACCTCACCACAATGGTCCTCGAACATACGACCAACCATACCTACGCCCACCCCTTCCCGACAGTGACGCTCGCCTACTTCCTCCGTTACTGCTCTCCCCAGATCAATCCCTTTGCCGCCCATGTCCTCAGCACAGATACTATATCCAGTCATCTGGACCCGGATACTGGAAGGTTACACACGACTAGGATCCACCTTAAGAAGTCCCGTATGCCAGCGGCCGTGGTAAAGCTTCTCCCCACAAGCATCACCGGAGGCGGCGGAGACAAGGCATCATACATCTTGGAGACCAGTGTAGTCGATATGAAGGAGGGATGGATGCAGACGGAGAGTCGGAACCTCAACTTCGTGGGCGTCCTGTCTGTGGTGGAAAAGCAACTCTATACCTCCCCAACTTCCTCCCCTGTCGCACAGTCGCCATCCTCTGCCAACACAGACGTTGCAACGACAGTTGTATTCCGTTCTAGGCTAGGAGAGAAGCTACGAGAGCGCATCGGGCACCAAGTCGGCCACCACGAGGATGGCGGCAAGGAGGGCTGGATCGCGAAGGCGTGGATGGGCGGCTGGGGCACCAAAGGCATCCAGAGGAGCATTGAGACAATCGCATCCTCGAAAACGCAGGATCAACTGGGGAAGAGCCGCGAAGGCATGCGGGTAGTCCTCGAGCGCTTGCGTAAGAGCGGTGTCATGGACTTGCTCGAGCTGACACGGCGGGCCAGGGACGGCACCGCGGATGGCGCATAACGACGATACTCCTCCGCGTCTCCGACTCATACGACTTCTGATTTCATAGCGTTGGCTTCCAACTTTTCTTGGGTTAAAGCTCCGTGAGACCGGGGTAACGGTCTACACGCATGTTGTACACTACCCTTCGTTAAACCCACCCCCTAGCAAGGCGTTTGACACCCGGGTGATTGGTGTCTTTTGGTTTATGGTACTTCGCGGTGGATAACGAAAAGGGATATGGACCACGGCGTTTCTTCTCCTCTCTGTACAACGAGTACGAAGGTGCAAACATGCATCACGATAGGTAGCAATCAGGATGTCATTGAAATGAACACAAGTATAAAACCATCATTTGGCCGTCAACTGTCATAGGTGTCTGTGATTAGGTATAAGTTTTGTCAATTGGTATCATGCTCATCACTATCTACTTTTTGATCACTCAGCACCCCCCTTATGCCTAGAAACCGATCACTGCCATCAGTGCTACGGGCAGCACCGCGACCAGAGCAGACGGAGCTAGAAAAGACCCTGCATTGGTATCGGTGGAGTTGGACGAGCCGCCAGAGCAAGACCCGCCGGACGAGCCATTGGTGGCAGCGCTAGCCCAACCCTGCGGTGCGGTCCCGTTGCCCAAGTCGCCTTCGGGCTGCGTGAAATTGGTATTGGTGGTGAACGCATCCGTCCCGCTCATGCTGGAGACGCGGCCGAGCAGGAACTCGAGGTGTCGGTACGCGGCGCTGGGGGCGTACTGCGGAACCATGTGACCCGACAGGTCGACTGCGACGTAGGTGAGGCCGCGCTCCGTGTGGACGGTTCCAAAGACGCCGGCGCCGGCGATGGTCTCGAGCTGGAAGTCGTCGTGATAAGGTACGTAGAAGGGTTCGGTAGGAGCGCTTTGGAAGCCCATCTTGCCGCCCCATGTCATGTTCTGGATGCCAAGGAGAGTACCGTTGGCAATCAAGATCATGTCTAGAGCGCCATGGCCAATGATTACATTGTTCGTGCGCTCAATGACGCTGGGGAGGACTGTGATGCCAGACGGCGGGGAGGTATCGGTGCCGTCCACAAAGACATCATCGGAGGAGCATTCCTCCCAGGTGATATTGGGCGCGTTGATGGCTTTCTTGACATCCTCGCGGTCGAAGTAGATGCTGGCGCCTTGTGGAAGATATGTCTGTGAGCCAGGGACTGTGTATATGTTAGCATGCAACCTAGAGAATTGTGTTCGTTCTGACTTACAGCCGAGCACATCCCACAGCATGGGACAGGTTGTGGCAACCTGATAAATATCGAAGCAAGGATTTATAAGGAGAGCCGCCTCGAATGCATCCCAGTATATATTGTCACATTCTGGCCGGCTGGTTCCATTGCTGTCTAATCCGGGTAGCTGATCCGGGGGAGGTTGAGGTCCAGCAGGAGGATACACCAAGTACTTGTTGACATAGTCCGTGTATCCGCAGGACTGGTCGCGATCACGGAGATCGGTCCAGAAAGTGTCGTTAAAGGGGAAGAGGCCTGGATAAGTCAATGTCAGAGCTCCCCTTCTGGCATCATTACACTGTCTGAGCCCGACTCACCCTTGAAATAATCAACGAATGGCAGAGTCACGATTTGCTCCTGAATTGGATCATAAGTGATCACCGGGTCGTAAATTAGCACACCCGACATATTGAAATAAGTCGTGTCGTTCGCATCAAGGAAGCCGTTGGCGATATACGGGCAGTAAGCGCCTCTGTTCAAAGTTAGCAGCGTGCAACCACGGGAAATGAACATTACATACGCATAAGACTCTCCTGCAATGTACACGGTGTAGCCCTGCATTCCGAATGTGTCGACAAAGTTCTTCCAGAAGCCCATGAACTGCGACGCGATATCCTCCTCGCTGGTTGCCGTCACAGTGCCCTCAGAGAAACCGGTGCCCACAGGCTGTTCGATATAGACCACATTGGTCAGCTTATTCCAGCTCCAGGGGTTCGAATAAGGCTTGTATGTGCCGTATTGCCACAAGAACCTATTATTGTTAGCTATAGGAGCTCAGAGTTATGAGCGAATTTGCAACTCACGGGCCGTTCTCTTGCAAGAGGCCTTCAAAAGAAGAGCACCCAGGCTAAGTGTTGTCAGTCGTCTGTTAAGACGGAATAATTCTTTCGTGTTTAGCTTACACCTCCATTGAGCCAGATGAGAATCTCCTTCTCAGCCGAAGGGTTGGTTGAGGGGAAGAACCAGAAGAAGAGCTTGTCCTTTCCATCCGGATCATCTGTGATTGGCAACTGGCCGGCGTAACTTTCGCCAATGTCGAAGTCTACTTCAGGAATCCCAGTACCATTGACAGAAAACTCTACAGGCAGATGGTGGTCAGAATTTCTTGGATGACTAGGCTGGCAGCGGGGTGTCACGAACTGGTCGTGTTCTTGTTCAAGAACAACGGGTCGCTATCGGCACGCTCGACGAACTCGTTGAACCCGAACGAACGAGTTTCGAGGCCGGGGTAGCTTCTCTGAGCTCGCTCGAGCTTGTCTACAAAGGTCCCGACATGGCGCGGACTACGATGAGCCGAGACAGCCGTAGCAGCAAGAACGGACGAGGATAGAAGCTGTTGCCACCGCATATTGACAGCTTAGGTAGCTTCAATTGAATTGAATTGAGGTGCGCAAACCAGCGTGACAGCTTCAACGGAGCTCTGATCTGAGGGAGGTGGAGCTGGGCAAGCTCGTATATAAGGGACGTATGCTGTGATCCCACACGTTGCCCATGCCTACCCATCGACATCATCGGACTCCGCACGCTCGGCCAGGCCAAGATAAGAAAGAGACAACAAAGTGGCGCGGAAAGCTACCAATTGCCCTACCTGCTTCCTACTTCTGTGCGTACGAACTGGTTGGTGCAATTCCCAGGCAACAGGGTGGTGGGACTCTTTACAGGAACCCGCTACCAGACCAGAAACCCCTGCATGGGCATGGTTGCAGGACCATTAGGCGAGGGGACCAGCTCCCGTCAGGTCATTATCCAGGATCACCCAGTGTCGCCTGGGGACTGATATTGCGAAGATCAGCAATTCATGCGGGGTGAGGTGTGAGTGCCGTCGACCGTGTTGAGTCCTCGAGCAGCCTGACTGGCCTCATGTGGGTCATGCAGCCGCCGGGACTTGGCCAAGAACAACAGGTCGCCGCGGCTCTGGAGGCGACAGGAGCCGGTCTCGCCGGTGAAGCTTGGAAGAAGCTTGTCCGGTCTTGGGAGGTCCATTTGGGGTGGCTGAAGATGGGATGGGTATGCCAGAGTTAGTGAGGGAGAAAGTGGACAACCAACGACGTGGGATTAGAGGATGCGGCCCATGATTCCATCAAGCCTCGGTCGAATCTTTGAACCGTCTGATTCCTTGACGTGTGGCACAGTCGTACCCATCAGAGGCGTCTCGCCCACACTACGTAGGTAGGATTCTACATGCACACAGGATGCCTTGTGAAATGCTCTGCGGTATCACCACCTACTCCGAGGCTGACTTGGTGTTTTCATTTAATTGCCCACGTCGAAAATGAAACCGGAAACCGGCATGAGAGAAGCACTCAGATCAATTAGGACTTGGATATCCGGGTGTAACAAAAATGAAGAAATGATCAAGGTTGATCTGCAATGGCACGAGGAGCACGTGGCGGATTTCCTGCCGGTGCTGGCTTCCCGTCTGTCTCAAACAGTGATTCGATGCGATGAGTTGGACATCGGATCGGATCCACGCGTCACTTCACGGGAGACAGCGGCCCAACTGGGTGGATGAAATGCCATCACGTCCGAGTTACATCCTCTGAGAAATAGCTCGTCAGGCGTCTTTCAAGCCACAACTCCTGCAAGAAATCGTTGGCGGCTTCGCATTTCTCAAGCTGTCAAGGTCGTGCCGCTTCGCTCTCGCGTTTTACGGTGAGCCTACAGGGAGGCAGTTGCGGTGGACTGATCCTGTGGATGAGGCGCTGGAGGTTCTTCAGAAGAAGCAAATGCGACATTCTAGCGCCCGTTAGTCAGACTTTAACGTTATCTGGTGGCTGAAAGCCCCCCGCAATTGCTGCACGACGCCGCCGCCCGATCTGAATGGTGGCCTATCGTTGCTGGCGGATTGGCTGCACCTTGCCGAAGATCGATCGACCTGCCCGATGCAGCTGAACGGCCGTAGGCGTCGTATTGTACCTGTTTTGCCGCCCATTCAGCATTATGATGTTTAAGATTACCGTTTCAACTGCAATTACGTACACAAACAGTTCATGATTACGAGCATTTCACTTCAAATCTAGGGTCAGGAGTCTTCAAGGTCTCCATAAACATCACGCTTACGCTCATCTCTTTGGAAGAGTATGGCTCAGAAAGTATATACCTAGCCTCAACTTAAACAAGCGTCCCTACCTGACCGGAAGGCTTGATCTATTTTGTCGGTAAATATACTCTTTTACTAGAAGGGCGTTCGTCATATTCATCGCTTGTCTATGTTGCTATTCTACAGTTACTTTCCTAGAGTCCGTCGTAGATTTACAATTGTACAGTATAATATACATAAGGACCGCAACGGGGTGTCTACACGATCTGATTACTTCTTCCCCTTCTTCTCGTCCTCGATCGCAGCGGCTTCCTCTTCTGCAATCACAGCTTGGATATCTTCCTCAGCAAGCCAGTCCTTTACACTGTCGATGATTTCATCAAGCTTTTCTCCCCCAACAAGAACATTCGGCAGATTGTGCACGTTCAAACCACTCCGATGATCAGTACATCTGTCCTGGCTGTAATTGTAGGTCCGGATCTTGTCTCCTCGCGTGACCTGGCTCTTTGAAAGCACGCTGTTCCTCAGATTGTGTGCCAGTTCCTCCCTTGCTTCTTTGCGCTGCTGAGCAACTCTTGACCGCAGCAACCTCCATGCCCACTCTCGATTGCGGTGCTGCGACCGTGAGTCTTGCATGCTGACAACCGTCCCAGAGGGTATATGTGTGAGGCGAATAGCTGACTCCGTCTTGTTGACGTGCTGGCCACCCGCTCCCCGTGCCTTCATGGTCTCTGTGCGCACGTCCTGCGGGTTGATGTAGAAATCGCTCTCCGGATCGCTAAAGTCTGCGCTCTCTTCACTTTCATTCTCGGGAAACGACGGTAGAACCCATACCGCAACCGCGCTGGTATGTGTCCGCCCACTCTTCTCCGTTGAAGGGATCCTTTGAACCCTGTGCATACCAGCCTCTCCTCTGAATATATCGTATGCGCCGGTGTCCTGAACCTCAAGCACGGCTTCTTGTAGCGGGCTTTCACCATCCGAGCCGCTAGCGTCTCCCGCGCTATCCGACACCTCGTATTTCACAAGTCGCGCCCGGTAGCCCTTCCGCGAGCAATATTGTTGATACATCTTGACGAGCGTGTCCGCGAAGAATCGGCCCTCAAGGCCGCCGGGCCCAGGTCGAACTTCTAGCAAGCAGGGCATCGCCGCAAAACCATGCTTCGGCGTAAGGGATACACGGAGATTGTGTCCCAGAGTCGCGAGCTGTGTATTCGTAGATTCGAGCTCGTCTTCAGCAAGCTGACGCATTTCCTCGTCGCTGGACTGGAGCAGCCCCGTGAGCTCGGAGATGGACGCTTTCGCGGTCTCCCATTCTCGGAGTGCCAAGGCGACACCTGAGATCTCTCCGGCGCGCTTCGCGGTGGTAGTGTCGAAATCCGTCGCTAGGGCGGCGCTCAACTGTTGGTGCTCGGCCGCGAGCTTGCGCGCCCGGGCGAGGAGGACAGGAGGCAACGCTCCATTCGAGTCTACGTGCGAGGTTAGCGAGTGTCGCGAGAGCTCTGAGTCCAGCGAGACAAACCTGTGCTGGCTCTCCTGAGGAATTGGTTCCCTAAGGACCGGGGGAATGATCCCAGACAGCGTCTACACACCCATGGCGCAGCCAACATATTCATACATCGGCAATCGCACCAGTTAGGAGGGTGCGTCGACTTATATCAGAACATTTCGGGTGATCAAGTTCGCGAGAATAATTCTTAAGCTAATGCCTGCCGACAGAAGCTTCCCAAGCTAGGACCCCCGGGGTGCTCTTAGCTTCTACACGTGATGCACACGGTCAATGCTACAGAGGTGCCTTCCGTTGACTGAAAAGGATCGAGTGTCAAACAGAGACAAATTGGGAGAACCTCGTAATATAATACAAATAGTGTCTTTTTGAGCCTGGCTTGTAAAAATTAGGTTGACTGGCAAAGGAGCTTGTCTAGAGAAATCTGGCCAAGGTGATAAAGACCTGGAGATTGACTCACTCTAACAACCTCTAGGTGATATGGTTGGCGGTAAGGCGAATTGGGCCAAAATCCTTTTTTTCTCAGATTTTTGTTAGATTCACCCCACATTTCAATGAAGAAAATATGAGGTTAATACACTACCTACAGTACCTACAGCACCTACCTACCTACAGCACCTACCTACATACAGCACCTACCTACCTACAGTACCTACAGTACCTACCTATCTACAATATCTATAAGGCTCTTACCACTGTAGTTATAGGGCTCTTACCACTATAACGTAGGGTTAGGGTTAGGGTTATATAGTGCAACACTTTAGGTAGCTACTGTAGGTGCTGTAGGTGCTGTAGGTGCTGTAGGTGCTATAGAGTTAGTTAAATAATTTGATTAATTGAATTTTGATAAGGTTATGATAAGGATTTAATGAAAAGATGAGGAAAAAGTGAGTATACCATGAGGTAGTAGGGTAAATATAATCGAAAAAAATGATTTTGGCCCAATTCGCCTTATCGCCAACCGTAGGTGAGATTCAAAAAGTTATGCCCCGCGTCAATTGATTTTACCCCTCCAAACTTTCACCAATTCTCAGCGACACCACGACTGCAAACATACCAAACTCTGCGATTGCAGCTCAGATTTTCCTCGAGGAGACCGCATTCTTGTGCACTACCTTCGAAGTAGCGATTCGATTGCTTAGACAAAACGTGACGAGCTCTCAGCAGGATGACAGTCCCCAATAACGCTGAGGCTCTGTCTGAGTCACCTCTTCCCGCCTCGACAACGAAGCAGTCGGTCGATCCCTGGAACGTCCAGGGCGAGGTGAACGCAGATGGCACCGTTAAAGCCATTGACTACCTGAAGCTAGTGGAGGAGTTTGGCACCAGGGCTATTGACAAGGAGCTGCTGGAGCGTTTCGAGAAGGTCACGGGCCAGCGACCTCACCGGTTCATGCGCAGAGGCATTGTCTTCTCGCACCGAGACCTTAACCTGATCCTAGACAAGTACGAGAAGGGAGAGCCGTTCTATCTCTACACCGGACGTGGCCCGAGTTCGGACAGCATGCACATTGGACATACGGTCCCCTTCGAGTTCACGAAATGGCTACAAGATGTTTTCGATGTGCCCCTGATCATCATGTTGACGGATGACGAGAAATTCCTTTTCAGCGAGAAGCGGACGGTAGAAGAAGTAAAGGGCTATTCGCGCAATAATGCGAAGGATATCATATCGATCGGATTCGATCCCAAGAAGACTTTCATCTTCTCCGACTACGAGTACATGGGCGGCGCCTTCTACGAGAATGTAACTAGAGTAGCCAAGTTCATTACCCTCAACCAAGCCAGAGCCATTTTCGGCTTTGACGACTCCTCAAACGTCGGCAAATTTTTCTTTGGCGCAGTACAAGGCGCGACCTCCTTCGCAAATAGCTTCCCTCACATATTCGGCACCGACTCGAAGAGGACGCAAAAAATCTCATGCCTAATTCCATGTGCCATAGATCAGGATCCTTACTTCCGAATGACGAGAGATGTGGCGGCAAGATTGCACTTTGCGAAACCGTCATTGATTCATGCAAGATTCCTAGACGCTCTACAAGGACCAGGTAGCAAGATGTAAGTGGTGATCAGGCTGTATCTGTGAGTTTATTGTATTAATTGTGTTCTAGGTCCGCCAGCATCGAGACGTCAGCTATCTTCATGAAGGATACCCAGAAACAGGTCAAGGACAAGATCAACAAGTACGCCTTCAGTGGCGGCCAAGAGACGGTCGAGTTACACCGAGAGCTAGGTGGCAATCCTGATGTTGATGTGGCCTACCAATATCTGAACTTCTTCATGGATGACGATGAGGAGCTTGAGCGCATTCGCGTGGAGTACAAGGCAGGGAGAATGCTTACTGGGGAGATCAAGGGCATCTGCATAAAGTACCTTCAAGAGTAAGTCAGCCCTTGTGAGCGGACCGTCTCTCCTCAGTCCTGGATTTCTTTTTCTCTCTCACTTGCTGTTTCTTCGAATGCACAGACTAACTTCATCTCAGGTATGTGCAAGGTTTCCAAGACAGGAGATCTAAGGTGACGGACGAGACTGTTGATCATTTCATGGAGAGGCGCAAACTAGAGTACAAGGGCAACCCTCGCGCCCCAATAGTAGTTCCTGTCGTAGAATCCAAACCCGAGGGCTCAGAGGCAGCCCCTGAAGGAGAGGGCAAGTTGACGAAGAACCAGCTCAAGAAGATTGAGAAGCAAAAGCAAATTGAGGCCAAAAAGGCTCAAAAGGCCAAGGAGAAGGAAGAGGCTGCGGCTGCGGCTGCTGCCAAGCAATAGAACTTAGTGAAGATAGCTCTGGAGGAGAATGTTCTGTCTCGACAGGCCACTGCTGGACATGACGAGCGATCTCCACTGGGCCAAGAGATAGAACAATACTCAGCACGGACTTCTAATATCAACATGATGCTATGTGTAATGCAATGCGCTACGTTATCTAGGCTTTCAGCTCGTTCTTGGTGCATGCACGATAACGCCCTCTTGTCTGCAAGGTGATATGGTCGAGTAAAAGGCGTGCGTGGGACCCTCAGTATAAAATAACTTGCTCGTGACTCATGCCTAGCAACTCTGAATCGCCTGGCAGCCCATATTCACCGTCTCTTCAAGTACAACACCTCATTGGCTCCTTGGGGTCATTCAACACAACGATCGTCCGCGTTTTCATATTGAGAAGATGGGCTACACCCTATTCGTCGCAAACAAGAACTACTCATCATGGTCCATGCGACCATGGGTCCTAATGCGAGCCTTTGACATCCCATTTGAGGAGAAGGTCTACATGTTCGAACAGACCGAAGTGCAAGAGGCATTCAGCGATTTCTCCCCCAGCGGCAAGGTGCCTTGCTTGCACGATTCAAGCGTCGGGAAGAAGGGGCTCGCTGTCTGGGACAGCCTTGCAATCATCGAGTATCTCGCTGAACGAGAACCAGAGAAGGGCATCTGGCCAACCGAGGTGGTGAGCCGTTCATTTGCCCGATGCGCCGCTGCCGAGATGCATTCCGGCTTCAATGCCATTCGCAACGAGATGGGAATGAATGTTGGCATCCGTGTTGAGCTGGGCGAGCCGAGCAAGGCGCTAAAGAGAGATCTCGAGAGGCTGGATGCGCTGTGGACCGAGGGCCTCACCAAGTTCGGTGGACCGTGGCTTGCTGGCGACAAGTTCTCGGCTGCAGATGCATTCTTTGCGCCTGTTGCAACCCGTCTGCAGACCTATGGAGTGAACCTTAGTGAATTATCGATGACCTATGCGAAGAAGTTACTGGAGATGCCTGCATCAAGGGAATGGATTGAGGCGGGCACCCAAGAGACATGGCGGGATCCGGGACACGATGAGGAGGCTCTGATGGGAGGCAGGAAGCTGCTGGCTGATTACCGAAAAAAGGCATGACGAACCCAACATATCATGATGGATTCATGGATTTTGCGCATGGTTGGTGATGGGGAATTGCTCAAGATGACTTCAGTTATAAGACGAAGTATTGAAATGTTAATCGACTTTGAAAGTATGATCTCGGTCTTTCTACACCACCCTGTCGAAAGTCACGATCTTGACACTCTTGACAACGCCGTCCAATTGTGAGGGTGGAGAGAGCTCTGCGGTCTGCTTTGTCGACAATATGACCAGTTCCTCCGTATCAGGATCAGATTTCTCGATCCTCCACCCACTGCCACCCGGAAGTGATATACCTGCAACAACTTCTTCGACCTCTTTTCTCTTGTCACCTGGCACGACCCATCGCGTCAAGACTGTTGAGCTTTCTCTGATTTCCTCTGCCGGAAAAGTTGCCACACTCGGTAGTAACGCTGGGTCAACATGGAAAAGTTCAACGCCTAGAGGTGGCTCAACGAAGAACTCTATCATTTTGCCCATGACTGACTTGTTGTCATCGCTTGCGATCCACTCGTAGTGCTCCTCTGCAGTTGTCCAGTTCGTCACAATGCACGTCACATGCGGATCTTCGACACACTGCCAGTAATGAACAGCGCGGGCTTGGAAGTCTCTCTTCAAAGCCGCCTGAGCACGTTCCTGAGGATCAGCAAGCGCCTCTTCGCCATCCACATTCTCACAGAGCTGACGGTGGGCAGGGCTGTGAGCACAGTACCACTCATACTGCTTCTGAAGCGCCTCTGAAAATACCGCTCTGAACTGCTCCGATATAACGGGCTCTTTGAGCCTCAAGAGTGCGATTTCTGTGACAGGCATGATGACCTTGATGCACGATGAAGACTGGCAGACCAAAAAAAAGGGGGTCGTGGGAGACGGTGATTACCTAGGCAATTGAGCCAGTTGCTGACAAGCTAAATTAAAACCGCCTTTGTATCGTTAGAACCCGTCAATAAAGAGAGGTTTGAGTGTTTTAACTCAGAATTCTCCTTTTGCAGTTAGATTTAACTGAGAAAACGTGTTTCAGAAACATTTATTTGTAATGTACCGTAAATACGCAACATGAAGGATGCCTAAGTCCGGCCCGTGCCTCACTTTACACGGCTTTGGTGAAAGCCACCATGCGCCAAGCGTCAAACTCACTGACTGGTCTCAACCCTACGCACCACTACTTCATATGTATAAACTTGTTGGATTAATTCTAAGCACGATGTAGAACTCGGGTTCGTTAGCGAGGTATAAAGCTTATTTAAACTAGAGTAGAATGCACTTCAGAATAATTGTGTGGGTATTTTAGATGATATCAACTTCTCGAGTCTGGGCTTGATCAAATAGCTGATACTGTTTGGTGCATTCATAATAATCTATCCGCTCCATGGCATCAGGGTTGGCCCGAGAACGTCTTAGTACTATGCCCATCCTCTTGCCCACATCAGCTCCTTCGTGGGACACGTCGTATAATTGGAGAAAACAAGCCTCGATGCACACGTCCTCCCCAAGTTCTTGATACCACGTATCACAGTCTATCCAACATTCGCACTTTCCAGCTCAGGTATCAGCGCAAAAGACGGTCTGAATGACAATTGATCGAGATTGGGGAAATTAGCGGGCATGAAATATGCACCGCCGTCTCGATCTCGCTCTCTTGATGACATCCAGGAAGCGGCGACAATGGTGCCGAGCACCAGTGGCCCACGAATGATGAGGCACCCCTTGCTTGCACTGAACACATCTCGGCCGGGTCCATCATCCCAGAATAAATGTGCAATGCGGCACTCTGGATGTGGCTTGAAGATGCTGGCATCAGTGCGAAATTCTCTTTTCGGTATGATGTAGTCCCCTTCGTGCATTGACATACTAGCCCAGGACCAGCTTGGGACAGATCCAGCAGGATGTCTTATTGCTGAGATCGAGCGCAAAGTACGCTTCGAAACCCTCCACAGCAAGTGAAAGAGCAGCTGATCATAATCTTGAAGGGAAAACCCGGCGCAATATTGCAGCTTTGAGACGACGTGGAAATGACGCGCAATACCTGTCATGATGGGAGAATGAGCAGGGACTCTGCGAGATGATCCGATGTCTGGGATGGGTCTATCCGCAGCTGTCATAGTTAGTTGCAGTGGTATGGATCTTTCTTCTTGACCTAAAACTCACGAGACTGAAAAAAGATTTCACATTCTATGCGAGCAGAGTTACTAAGTGAACAGACCCATCTGGTTCTCTACTCAGGAAACATGGGTAAGAAAGTATGTTGAGGGGCCGCCCTCTGCGAAATCTTAAATGCGTCCACCACTTTTTGAAGCATCAAGCACATTCTGTGACTTTGAAGAACCTGGCGTCTCCGCTAGGAAAAAAATATTTGATGGCAGTCCAAATTAGCAGGCAAGTTTGACATTTTTCTGAGTTACCAAGTATTGTACGACCATCATTGGAAATCTTAGACTCCTTTCCCACTTGAGATCTCGACAGGTGCTGCACTTTGCCTGCTCAGCACCAATATCCGCCCACCATGGACGACGTGAATTGCTCGATAGTGGTACCTTTGCCGGAGGTTGAGCCATTGTATAGTAGAGACGAGAGAAACCTCGGCTGGAACAGTCTTTCTAGCTTCAGTTGTTTTACAACATCATGAGGCTCTTTGCAGGGCTTCGGCAGGAGCACCCAATACTGACACCACCTGAACTCGCCATTGCCAAGCCCTGCCATCATCTGTTAGTGTACTCCATTTCAACTTCGGAACAATGATTATTTGATACCTCCGGAATGGCTTTAAACACCAGTAGCTTACAATATCTTGTCTTCAAGCTTGGTCTTTCTCCAATATATGGGGAGAGTTGAAAACAACAGACCCATTGTGAAATTGATACGTGGTAGGTAAAGTGATAGGTGGCTCATGCCATTGACGTAACGAGATGAATCGCTTAAAACATCTCAAATATCACCAACGAATCTACCTGATAGTCATCTCAATAACGAAAGCCCGGAGTGCGGGCCGCTATGCTAGGAGCATTGGGATCGAAAGTACTCAAGGTATGGAAAAGTCTTTCAACGGGCAAGGTAATCACTCTGGTAACAGAGGCTCTAAATCATGAGGTCCAAGTAACGTACGCCACGGCAATAATTAGGTAACAGATGGCAAAGCGCCGGGAGTATGAAGAAGCACCACCTAGAAATCAACCTTACCCACCTCTTCACCCCCGCTTGGCTCGCTCTTGCCCGCATGTAGAAGCTGGAGGCCGTTTCCGAGTACCGGGACTCGCCCCTCGGGAGAGAGTGAACGATAAGGCGTGCTTGCTCGGCGGAGAAACCAACACACACAGAGAGACGGAGACAGTTCGGGGGGTTGGTGTTATCGACATGCTGAGGGGTCGTGTAATCTTTTCGTTGCGACTGGCTCATCAGGTCCGCAGGCATGTGCAGACGGCTATTCAAAAGCCGATGGCGCGCCCTGTGGAGTTCGCCGATAGCTCGACGACTGTGAGTGACGGGAGACTAAATAGACCGACGAACGGGCTGGCGTCAATTCATTATATTGCCTTTTCACATTTCCCCAATTGATTAAGCTACGCTCGCTGGAACTGATCTGGTTGATTCGTTGGTGTTATATTTACTTTGCCCCTTATCGACATCATCTTCATCCTCCTTGTCAAGGATGCCCCTCACAACACCCTCAGTCTTTCCCCCGCCGTCGCAAGTCCCGGTCAAGTTCCCCAGCAGGAGGAGTGTTGTGCACAGTACCAAGGGAATTGTTGCTTGCACACAACCTCTGGCGGCGAAATGCGGCATAGACATTCTGGCCGCGGGTGGCAATGCTGCTGTAAGTCGAATTCTTCATTAAATATAAGTTGGTCTAACATGAGGAATAGGATGCCGCAGTTGCTGTTGGTAAGAGAGAATGAAATCGTAGAATCCATTATTAAGAGGGTCTAACACTGGTACAGCGGCTGGTATGAATTTGACCGAGCCATGCTCAACAGGCATTGGTGGTGACATGTTTTGTCTCTACTACGATGCCTCAACGGGCAAGGTGTCTGCCTTGAACGGCTCTGGACGAGCAGGAGGCAAGTGCACCCTGGAGACGATCCGTTCCTCCCTTGGTCTCAAGGACGGACAGCAAGGCAAGATCCCCATGGACAGCGTCCACGCTGTCACTGTGCCTGGCGCGCCTGCGGGATGGGTTGACACCGTCGAGCGGTTCGGCAGCGGCAAGTTGAGCATGGAACAGATCCTGGCACCGGCAATTGAACTCGGCGAAAAGGGCTTCCCAGTATCTGAGTTGACTTCTTGGTTCTGGAATCGTTCCGAGAAGTTGCTCCGTGCTGCGTCGCCAAATTTCGCCGAGATGTTGAAGAAGGACCCCTCTGCGCCGGATGGAGTTCGCGCACCTAGACCAGGAGATATCATGAAGAACCCTACGCTGGCGAAGACTTTCCGGACTCTAGCTACCGAGGGTAAGAAGGGGTTCTACACCGGTAGAATAGCTGAAGAGCTTGTCAAGGTTGTGAAGGACCTAGGCGGTCATCTTGAGGTCGAAGATCTCGCGCACCATCTCGAAGTGGGCAGTGAACCGGTCGAGCCAATTTCCCTCAAGTTTCGTGGTCAAGGACTCAAGAAATCCCTAAAGCGAGACAGCAACGGAGACCTCAAGAATGGTGAGTCTAAGGACGTTGGTGTTGAACTCTGGGAGCATCCTCCAAACGGACAAGGCATCGTTGCCCTGATGGCCCTCGGAATCATCCAGGAGCTCGAGGCGCAAGGCAAAATCCCTACATTCACCCCTGAGGAGCACAACAGCACGCTATATATCCATGCCATCGTCGAAGCTCTGCGCATTGCCTTTGCCGATGCCAGCTGGTACGTGACGGATCCGAATGTCGAAAAAGTGCCTTCCGCGAAGCTTATTTCCCGGGCATACCTTGCAGAGCGGTCTCAGCTCTTTGACCCCAGCAAGGCATCCGACATCCTGAGCCATGGCGACCCATACAAATCGCCTGCGTTGCAGAGCAGTGACACGGTGTATTTTTCCGTGTCCGACTCTCAGGGCAATGCCATCTCGTTCATCAATTCCAACTACGGTGGCTTTGGCACTTGCATCATCCCCAAGGGATGCGGCTTCACGCTTCAAAACCGAGCCGCAAACTTCAGCCTCGACAAGGACCACCCCAACGTCATCCAGCCGCGGAAACGGCCCTACCATACCATCATCCCTGGCCTGGTGACGAATTTGAGCGATGGATCTCTGCACAGCGTCTTTGGTGTGATGGGTGGCTTCATGCAGCCACAGGGACACGTCCAAACGCTCCTGGGCCAGATCGTGGGTGGTCTTAACCCACAACAAGCCCTTGACGCGCCCCGTGTGTGCATAGGAGCCGGAATGCCCGATGCAGGCAACGTCTTTGATCGAACTGTATATGTAGAAGAGGGCATGCCTGCAGAGACTGTGCAGGGGCTACGGGAGCTTGGTCACAATGTCGAGGTCGTCACGGGCATGGGCCGATCTTTGTTTGGTCGAGGCCAGATCATCCGGTGGACGCTGGACACTATAGACCAGATTGGAGTCTGGTCTGCTGGTAGCGACATGAGAGGAGACGGAGCCGCATACCCAGCCTGAGTTGTCGTTTGAACGAGAAACATAGATGTGTATAGTGTACAGCGCTAGTGATGCAGGATCTTCAATATCCAGTCTATAATTGTACTCCAGCTCAGCATGTTCTTGCCGCACCGTGAGTTGTAAAGGGGATGAGGTATTATACAGAGAAGCCTTCAGTCGTACATTCATCAAGTTCACAGGATGACACTTCAGCCGCTTAGTCTACTCCGTCTTCTCCTCTTGAGCCTCTGGCGGCGCCAGTACCTTCTTGTCCTCAAACAGCTTTGCCAGCTCTCCGTTCTGGTGCATTGATACTAGAATATCGCAACCGCCAATGAACTCCTTGTCGACGTACAGCTGGGGGATCGTGGGCCAATCGGAGTACTCCTTAATACCTAGATACCAACGTGTGAGCCTCTTGCTATCATACAGTAGCGCATAAGTGATCTCGATCCTTACCTGATCGCAGCTCTGCGTCTTCGAGTACATTGAACGCGGCAAACTTGGCCGGGTCAACCCCTTGCAGACCGAGGATCTGGATGCTGGCGCGCGAGAAACCGCACTGTGGTGTCTCGGGGGTGCCCTTCATGAACAGCACTACCGGCGCCGATGATACGGCCTTGTCAATTGCCTGGCGGGTCTGATCGGAGAGGAGTCGTCGTTGCGCAAGCGACAGCATCGGGGAGTATTTGAAGGCGGATGCGGCCGGGCGAGCGGCGGCCTGCCGGAGCAGTTGCTGAGGATTGTTAGCATTGCAAAAGGTCGTGATCGCACTGGGTAGTATCACGTACAGAGGAGAAAAGCGACCGTGAGATCATCTTGGCCACGTGTTCTGGGTCGGTTCAAACAACGTTGAGCTGAGAATGCCGCTTGAGACTCTTGACAAATTCAAGTTGACGATGTCGCCCGAGGTCAATTTAAAAAAAAGCAGATGATGTAAGGACGCGGCCGTGTGGCACGGATTTGTGATCGATAAGAGCTCGCGCCACAGACCTACAGGTGATCGTCCAGGGCTGGGGGGCAACCTTAGCCCGCCCGAGTAAGTGAATTAGCGGACTCCTTACTGGCTCTCATCCTCCGATGTCCAGCGCCTCCTTCCCCCGGAGCATACCGGTCATCGGCAATCTCGCAGGTGCATTCTAGGGCGCTGCCACAGCACGGTACCCCGCCATATCTCATGCACAGGTCAGACAACGTCACGCAATGATCCTCCTCTCGAAAGCTTGTCTTCGTTGACTGCTGGACCAACCGTCGAGCTGGGAAGACTTGCAGAACACCACAGTCGGAGGAAGCGGGAGTAATGTGATCGTCGAAGTTTGCTGCTTCGTTGAGTGACGGTACGATATATGCTTCCGGAATCGTAGAAAACGGCCGTTTTTAAAGCGTCACACCTCGGTTTGTCAGCTGCTCGAATAGTACAGATACTTCTCCTCCTTTATCCCTTTTCGCCGACAAACGGAAAGATCGCATACCACCCGATAATTTTACAAACTGTTGATAAAGGACTTGTCTTGGCTCTCTCCAATCGACTGATATAGGAATATTTCCATTTGTGAAAGTAAGGTTGAAGACGCAGCGGTCCAGTGCTCACAAGGAGGAGCTTGGGCTCTGACAACCACAACCACACTTCACCACCACACAACAACCCCCACAATGCTACAAGCAATAAGCGGCGAACATGATTCGCATCACAACACCACGGTGCGGAACTCTCTAGCCTCTCTCACAGCCTCCCGGACAGATGGCAAGAAGCATCTTCTTTTGGCAGCCTGTAAGCAACTCTCGTAGTTACCACTCCCTTCTACAGCACATATCTGAAGTCCCTCTGTAAAACTCTAGCCAGAGACATCACCCTACTCTCTCTTGTTCCCAGAACGCAAAATAGTAACTTACAAATCACAGCCGGCTCCGTGGCAACGATCAAGATCCCCGAGATCATCAAGGCCCTTAGCCCCTACTCCCCCGGGCTCTCGATCCGGGTCATCCTGACGCAGTCGGCGCAGCACTTCCTGGCCGGCCAGGCCGCCGAGCAGCCGACCGTCTCGTCGCTGCTGGACCTGCCCGGCGTCGACGCCGTGTACGACGACGCCGCCGAGTGGCAGGAGCCCTGGCGGCGCGGCGCGGGCATCCTGCACATCGAGCTGCGCCGCTGGGCCGACGTCCTGGTCGTCGCTCCGATGTCCGCCAACACGCTCGCCAAGGTCGTCAACGGGCTGAGCGACAATGTAAGCCGCTCTCTTGTGCATCTTCCGTATTGGCCCTCGAACATTGTGTTCCCGGCTAACTCTAGATTTCTCAGTTACTAACAAGCGTCATCCGTGCATGGGACACGGATGGCAAAGTCGACGGCGTCAGAAAGCGTATTTTGGTAGCTCGTAAGTGGTCTCATATCCCCTCATACATCGCAGAGAAGGCATTCCTATCGCGGTATTCTGGTTTGGGAGCCCAGCGACCATCAAAACTTCAAAGCTCTTTTCCAGAGGCGTAGCCTTCCCAGGACCCCTTTTCGCCTTGTGATATCATAGATGCTGATATTGAGCATCTAGCTGCAATGAACACCGCCATGTGGCAGCACCCCATCACAGCAAAGCAGATACGTGTGCTGGAGGAAGACTGGGGCATCAAAGAAGGGGCGGCCGACACCGAGCAAGGCTGGTTCGAAGTATTGAGACCGCAAGCGAAGATACTGGCCTGTGGGGACATAGGAGGCGGCGGAATGAAGGAGTGGAAGGAGATCGTGGAAGTGATCAAGGAGAGAATGGGCTTGGGTTCAGGCGGACAAGCCGCGTGAATTCATTTTTCGATTAGTTGAATTAAAAAGGCGTGGGCATGAGTACGAGCTTTCAGAACACCCATTTTGGAATTACTTAGGTGTCAAACGAGATGGTACAGCCAAGAGGTTAGATACTTGTCTGTTTTATTCGAGAATCTCTATTCTCTGCATATAATATTACAAAATGAACATGTGGACCACTTGGTGTAATCCAGCAAGTTTTGTCACAGTCGGCACCGAATCATGATCAACTGATCATCCCTTCCAAACACTGCAAACGCCGCCCCTCCTGGTTGCAATGCAATTTCTGAATGTCAAAATTCATTTCCAGTTTTGAAAGATGATGCTTCCTTCCTTTCACAATGTCCGAACTCGAGACTAGGTCTCATGCAATTACCTTCACAACCGACGCCCGAAGATGAAAATGACAAGAGGAATCGTAAGTGGTGCGAGAATGGTAGTGAAAGCTCTCAAGAGTAAGTCCAGAGAAGCAGCGTAAAACACACTGCAAGATTGACTTCGACACACAAAGTTACATGATAGTCGGTACAATGCTATCTTCCGATATGATATGGTTCGGAGGATAGAAATCTAGTCGTGACGGAAAGTGCACTTATCGCCCTTGTTACAGGTTCCGTTTGCCCAGAAAACACAGGGCTTCGTACCGATCTTATCACGATTAATGCCACGGAGATGAGGTGGGATGGTGTTGTTGTTAGAGGTTGATGACTTGGCTCCTGCATGGGAACCGGAGGTAGATCGAGAGCCTGCTGTCTGGGGTTTTTGCTGGCGCTGTTGATCGTAGCCTGGAGCACTGGCAGCCTGGGCGTTGTTGTTCGATTGTGGTTGTCCAGCCGCCCATTGTGCCATTGCCGTCATGTAAGCTGCATAATTAGGATCGTTGGGGTTGGGCACACTTGCAGCCTGTGCGTTCTGGTATGGTTGTGAAACTTGAGGTGAAGTTGCAAGTCCAGCCAAGAGAGCTTGTAGCTGAGGATCAGCGTTAGCAGCAGCAGGTGCTGGTGCTCCTTGTTGCCCAGAACCCAGAGCCGACAATAACGCCTGTAACTGCGTCTGGTCGGCTGAGATTTGTCCGGCAGGAGGTTGTTGAACAGGTTGGGCTTGTTGATACATGGATTGGTAGTACTGGGCCCAGGCATCCTGTTGCTGATTCGTAGCTTGGTTCTGTGGCTGGTTGAATTGTGCATAATATGCGAGAATCGCAGCCATATCGCCTTGATTATTTGCCATGCTAGCAGGTGCCGTGCCTTGAGGTTGAGAGAGTTGGGCAGGGGCATTTTGCGTCCGAGATTGCTCCTCATGAGCACGCTGCCTGTCCTTGTTAAAGCCGTAATACCATTCATCGATCCTAGTTTGGTCGCCGGTGAGCCAGGCTGGAGGCTCTGTAGGCGGGAATGATTTGCCGCGCAATTGTTCAACAACCGCCTCGACCGCATCTGCGGCTTTCTGCACCTCTGGAGTCGCATAGTCATTTCGTCTATGGGTCTTGGGATAAGTGGGGTTGTACGGATCCGGGTCTACCCACTGCTTGAGCTTGTCAGAAGTAAGCAGTGCATAGACCTGCGCATCTCTTGATGCCGCGGTCGCGTGAGGGTCCGGCACTGCAGATCGGCTTAGTTGCTGCGCAGAGCCTTGGGAGTTCTGCTGAGCCATTGAGCCCAGATTGTTGAGAAGAGCCGTGGCATCAATGTCGGAACCGGACGATTGCTGCCCATGAGATGCCTTTTGTTCTTCCACTCTTCGCACAGCATTGTACAAGGCCCAGGAAAGACCCATATGAGCGGTCTCGTTCCATCTGCGCTGAATTTCTTGATGATCGGCAACGCTGTTGACAACGGAGACCCCTGCAGAAGTGGCATTGTCGCGGTCCTGCTGAGAAGGCGGAGGCGGCGACTTCGGGGTTGGAGGAATATCGGCTGGGTCAGTATAGATGACCATAAGCTCGCGGTTCTCTCGTTCGGCAATATAATCCTGTTGCGGAGTGCGAATGGCTTTATTACCACCGCGATTAAGGAATGAATCTTCTCGCTTGTCCTCTGGAATAGTGGCGAAGCTGACTCCAAGAGGCTCGAACCACGGACGATAGGGAATCTCCTCTTCCTCATCCTCATCAAGCTTCATGCCTTGCTTGAGGACCATGCCTTCTGACCGGTCATCGCGGGCGTCTCGGATCATATTTCCAGCTCGGCCTTCATCTTCGCCAATATCCTTGTGAAAGATGCGGACCTGTGTCAACTCGTCGCCTTCCTTCCAACTGACCCGCAATTTGCGACGCTGCTCCCTACGAAGACGACGCTGTTTCTCCTCTGGGGTCTCTGGTGTTTCATTGCCAGAGTCAGGTGTTGCCACCGATTGCGCAGCCTTAGCAGCTTTAGGCTTGGAAATCTCCTCTAGCAAGGCACCCAATTTGGACGAGCTTGACTGAGATGCATCGCTCCTAGAAAGATCGGGCTTCTTGATCTTGGCTGGGTCGGATTTCTTGAAGGACGGTAGTTTTGCCATGTCCGGTTTAGTGGCATCTCCTTTCGTGAGAACAGGTTTAGGAGCTGGCTTAGCAACCGGCTTCGATTTGCCAGGAAGGAGCGCGGATCCAGACCATATCTTGCCTTGCGAGGAAGGAGCGGGATTTGCGGTACTTGCAGATTTGGAGGTGGGGGGCTTGATGGTGCCTTGTGCAGATGAAGTCGTGGGTGGCTCGGCAGCGAGTTTCTTGACGTTTCTTGAATCTGGTTCTTCATCGCGAGGTCGCTTCGCAGAAGCAGGCTCGGAAGAGACTCGAGTAGCCGATGATGGCTTCTTCTTTACGAGATCGGCGGGGCCCATCTTCTTGGCGACTGTTGTAGAGGGCTGCTTGGTTTGTGATGATGCAGAGGAGGCTTTGATGCCTTCTGCTGCAGGTTGCTTCTCTTTATTCAGTGCGCTTCTAGCAGCCGCGTTGTCCGCGATTGCTTGGATCAACTCCCTTACTTCTTCGTCGCCCTTTTCAAGAAATTTCTCCTTGACTTTTGGCCAGTTTGTCTTGCCAAGAAGCTCATTCGTAATCGTCTTGCTATGTGACATCAGACGGAGGACGGCTCTGGCAAAATCTCCGTTGTGATCACCAATATTATTGCCCACGCGTAACGCGCTTGTGAGATCCACCACGAGCCTCTGATTTCCGCCTAGATTTGCCAGCACTTGGGAATCGCCCTTATCCTCAGCAGCATCTATAGCGCGGTATAAGGGAGGCGTTTTTGAGATCACCTCACTCTTCAAGCGATTGATTTCGGAGGAGTCTTTCTTTGCTTTTCTAGCCTTATCCAGCTCATCACTGGCAGATTTCACCGGGACCATGAGCCTCCTGACCAAATCTCCTAGGTGAGCGATTGCGACACCCACCCTGGTGTTTATAGCTTCAGCAGAGGTGACTCGATCTAAATCAACAATCTGAAGCGCATCCCAGGCAGCGGCTTCATTGGGGTCTTCAGGCCGAGTGTCACTTTGGACCTGCACAGCACGCTGAATTAGTATACCATATACTTAGAGCTGCGTCGCAATACAAGAAATTGAATGTACTTCAGGGGCTACACGCCTCCTCGCCTACAATAGAGCCAGGCAACACGCCAGGATCTCGAGATCAAAAAAGTCGATGACATTATTAAGGAAATGAATTACGCTTACAATTTCTTCGCTGTCCTGGTTGTCCTGGTCCTCATTTGCAGTGGTAGGCTTCTCTGAACCTTTGATTGAACCTTTGATTATAGACCTGTACTGCGCAGGGAGTGGGTCACCTAGATGCCGTTAGATGTATGTCTTTTCGAAGTCTGGAGTTGAGGATTTTTTACCGAGTAGATCCTTGAGTTGCTTCTCTAAAGCTCGGCGTTCTTCCGTGGGCGCCTGCTGATACTGATAGATGAGTTCACAGGGCAATAATCGCTTTTGAGGAAAGCACATCCCTAGCTTCTTGTCGGGGTCAACCGCAACAGGGTTGAAGGGACGAATGTGCTTCGGCACATTTGCGGCGCTGATGGTCCGCTTCTCAAAGGCAACAAACAATGAGCCTGTCGTCTTGGCATTCTCTGACTGAACTGCCGCGGATGTGAAGTCTGGAAGAACCCGAGGCAACGGAAGATTGGGTATCTGGCGAGGCGGAACCGGCAAGGGGGTTGGAACACTGCGAATGAAGCCACCATCTTGGGAGGCTAACGCAGGGGTACTCGCAGGCTGCACCACCTGCTGGGTGCCTACCCGGCTAGCTGGGTGAGGCTTGGAAGTTCTTGCAACTGCTGGTACATTGACCTGTTTCTGCTGCTGCTGCTGTTGCTGAACATAGGCGGGACTCGGAGAGGCACTCTGTGGAGGCAATTGAAGTAAGGTGTTGGCCGGTGCAGGGCTGTAGTGGCCTGAGAATGGCGCAGTGTTCTGCTGTTGCAGGGGCGTACCTCGACCGGATTGAGGGTGGTTGGCTCCTTGATTAATACCACCCGGAGGCGATTGCTGGATGTACGTAGTCGGCTGTTGCGAAGCAAAGGGCTTTTGAGGACTTTGCCATTGGGGCTGTGTTGTTCGAACATCGGCAGTCTCTCGCTGGGGCGGAATGGGAAAGTGTGCATGTCCACTTGGGGTCGGAGTGGAATGAGGCTCAGGGTTCGGGGTCAAGGACATTGGTCCAGGTCCTCTATGACCAGGATACGGAGTTGCTTGCCCAAATGGCGAGTCATCACGGTGTGAATTCTGCATCGTGCCACTCGAGTACTGATTAGTGGACTCCGGCCGGTTCCAGACAGGTTCGATGTGGCCAGGATGGAGATTATTCGGCATGGTGTCATTTACGAAATGGCTGGGAGCTGGGGCATATTCGTCGTGCTGTTGAGGAGCAAGGGCGTTCCCGTTCGTGAAGCCTTGGTGCTGGATATATTGGGATTCATACGGATTGTCTTGGTAAGGCTGGGCACCTCCCGTGGGAAATCCGTTGCTAGCGGCAAACGCAGAGCCATGATCAATACTCGATGAATATTGGTGACCGACAAAGTCATGGGTGCTTTGGGGCTGTGTAGGTCGTCCTCCAGCGGGGGCAATGTACTGTGCATTTGGGCTGAGAGGTTGCCCCTGGCCGAGCGAGGGATTAGTGCTTTGAGGATAGGCGAAAGCGGCATTGGTATATGGCTGGGTTGAGGTAGGACGACTCCCTCCCTGTCCATCATATCCCGGGTAACCGTGACCTGATTGCGGGTTCGCATCTGGAAGACTGAACTGATGCAGATTGGGGTCGAGGTTCGGATCCAGGATCAAGTCGTCGAACTGATCGTGGCCGCCATTTCCAGGGAAGTCGCCTGGATACGAGCTCCAATCAAACAAGCCGTTTCCAGGTGCCTGCGCCATAGTCGTCGCCAATTTAGACAGAATCACTTGTCGGCGAAGGCTCAACGCAACCAGGAGGATAAAGGGGAAACAGCGACACGTACTCGAGAGCTACGGCGCCCAGAGCAGCGCGAAGCCCTCGACAAAAAGACCCCAAGAACACTTTGCTTTCAAGTCAGTCAGATATGTGAAAGCTCGACAATGTCTCTCAAGTCAAGTCTTTGTCACTTGTTTGCCTCGTGGGTACAAAGGGGGGATATGATGAAGGGTATCACGTGAGAGTCACGTTACTGAGGGTTGTTGTGTGGAAAATGGAGGGGCGTGTGAATAACAGTTTTGTGGGGGGTTTATAACCGGATCCCAGAGTGGGATAAATTCGGCCCGGCGACCTAATGATGCACGCTAAGCCCGACTAGGAAGTCGACGCTAGGCAAGGAGGGGTAGGATGCAGGCGACCTAGGACGAAAGGAGTATCAGCGACCAGGAACATGAGAAAACAGTGATTTTGTGAGCCAGAGCGCAACGTGAAGAACTTTGGTAGGGGAACGATGGATGGATGGGCTATCAGCGGCCACGCTGCGTGCGACAAGCTGCATGGCCAGCCAACAAGACAGATCCACAGCAGCAGCAGCAACAGTAAGAGCCAGGAACAGTTGCAAGACGATCTTTAGACGAGCTGTTTTTTTTGAAGAGCAGCTCTTTGATGGAGGGTTTCGGGGCCTGGGTCCTGAGCAGAGGATCTAGAGGGTGCGGGAGCCATTAGAGTGGCGGGTCAGTGTGGTCGCGCGCTTCGATGTTCGCTCCCGCATTCAGCAGAGTGATGATGCCTGCAGCTGAAGTGTGCGCCCCAGCCAACAAACACGACCCTTGGCCCATGACAGTGTATATCGATTTGCCGTGAAGCTGCTGCGACCAAGAGCAACGAATGTCCCTGTCTCTTGACTTTTCAGAATGTTCGAGGATTGCTTGTTTCGCCATCTGTCTCTATCACTGACTGAATGACTGCCTGATTGATTGATTGACTGTTGCAACCCTCCTAGATCCATGCAGGCTGATGAAGTGGGTGGTGCGACTCTCTCATTCTCTCAATTGCAAGCCACGCTGGCATCGAAACAAAAGTCAAACCCTAGCCATCCATCCATCCATCCATGGACGAGAGCTGCAACATTGAGGCTTAATCGACTGTTGCAAGCAGGCTGTCCATATTCAGACAATTTTGAGGCCATTTAGTGGCAGTATTCTGGCTGCGGTCCTCCAGTCGAGCTGCACCGCTATCTCCCGTAAATGGGAATTTCTTAAGCGTTACTCTCCCGGAGTCTGCTTGGACAGGACACCATTTCTCACCGTCCACCTGCTCCTGCTGTCTCTCGCACTCTCCAACGCGCAAATTATGGGCTGCGGCATGGAAAGCGGTCGAGAAGCGAGCATGCAACAATTTCAAGAGTGATAGGATACAGTGTTGCTGTGCATGTGACATGCTGCGCTGCGCTGCGCTGTGCTGTGCTCAGTGCGTTTGAAGGGAGGAAGGGGAAGTGGAAGGGAGTGAGGTGGGTGGTGATGGTGATGCATACCCTTAGATCAGAGAACCTGCCCACGAAAGCTTATCCTTCCTACGCCGCGACGGCTGCCTCATCATCTCTCTGCTTCGTCACGGACGAGAGAAAGACATGGCGATTACAGGAAAACGTTGTTCTGGTAGTTGAGGGACTCAGAAGGAAACGGTAGAGTGCAGTTTGTCTATTTGAAGAGGCCAGAAACCAGAGGCCGCGCCTGAAGAGCGACGGTCGCAAGCAGCCAGAGACAGAACCAGCAGCAGCCCTATCGAACCAATTACTCCGATCAAAAACGACAATGTGATGAGTCTAGTTGGTCTAGAGAAGAAGATCCTGCGCCGTCTGGGGACAATTAGAGAGCGTGCGAGATGGCCTTTGCGTTTGTTGTCTATCGAGTTGATGATGATGGAGATGGAGAGGAGAGGATGCAGGAGGGAGGAGCGAGGGTCCGACGGGATGTCGTTGTTGCAAGGAAGAAAAGTTGGTCATTGTTTCCCAATCAGCCGCCCCAGCAATCAAAGACGGCGGTCCAGCCACAGCTCTCAAACCAAAACTACAGGGCAGCTGGCCAGCGCCTAAGTCACTGAGGTCACCTGGGACAGGACACCAGTCCATCCGTCCAAAGCCAAATTTAGTGGCAATAATAGTGGCGGCTGGGCTGGAATGAACATGGTCATAGCGTTTCCTTTCACTGACTTGTGTGCTCGGCTTAAGCTTAGAACAGCCAAGTGCTTCGCCCGGATAGGGCGTTACAATGCCACCGAGGCCCCGATGCCAATCCGTACCTTGACTTCATCTGCAGGTGAAGCTTCGCAGTCAGCTGTCCCACCAAAAGTGAAGCTCCTATGCAAGTGAAAGCTGTCAACAAGGTGCACCACATAGGTATCCATAACTCCAGGTAACCACGGCATTACCCATCTCAATTCTGCGACCCATTCCCTCCAGTGCACCCGTCCAAGAGTTTACTGAGAAGTGATCCTCAACCTGTCCTGGCCTGTTCGTCGATACTGGATACAGGCAGTTCCCAGCACGATTCTTGTCGCATTTCATCAAGGACCTGTTGGCCTCGAGACTTGCCGACGAACGGCAGCCCGACATAGCAGAAGGAAGGGCGTTTGAATTCTATGCTAGCTGCTGGCATCTGAGATCTGTCCTAGACTGCGAGCTCATGCCGGCCAGCCTCATAGCAATCATCGACACAACTGGTCACCATGGCGCCCCGCGGCAACTCGCTGCGAGACAGGCAAATAGCATCGCTTAGAAAGATCCTCAATCTCAACGAAGCACCCGAGTCGACAGAGGGAGGCGACGATTCTCAGACAAATGGCTTCCTAGCGACCGCCACGCCGATACTGGATGCTGAAGGCGACCCGATATGGAAGGTGTTGGTGTTCGACGACCTGGGACGGGATGTCATCTCCTCCGTACTCCGAGTGAGCGACCTGCGGGCAATGGGAGTGACTGTGCACATGTAGGTGCCATAAAACACTCTAGAAAGAGAGTCAAGTTCTAATGTCATCCTTGTATAGGAACATCACATCCTCGCGGCACCCAATACCAGATGTTCCTGTCATCTACTTGCTCGAGCCCACACCCCAGAACCTTCAAGGCATCACCAGCGACCTCCAAAAAGGGTTGTACTCTCCAGCTTATATCAACTTCCTCTCCTCGATACCGCGCCCCCTACTTGAAGATTTCGCCTCGCAAACAGCCACTGCAGGGACTTCGGAGCACATAGCCCAGCTATTTGACCAGTACCTCAACTTCATCGTCGCGGAGCCAGATCTATTCTCCCTGGGCATGGAAAAAGAGCACACATATTTAGCACTGAATAGTGCGAAGACAAAAGACGAAGAGCTAGATCATATCGTGGATAGAATCGTCAGCGGTCTGTTTAGCGTCGTGGTGACCATGGGTATGCCACATTCTATGCTTCTGTTTTATACATCCAAAACTGACCATCTAAAGGTGTCATTCCTATCATTCGCTGTCCAAAAGACGCAGCCGCAGAAATGATTGCCGCGAAGCTTGATCGCAAGCTCAGGGACCATATTCTGAATTCCAAGGACAACCTCTTTTCCTCTTCCTCAAACCGGCCTGCTTCGTCGGCTGGAACTCCTACCTCCCGCCCTGTCCTTATCATTCTCGACCGTAACGTGGATCTACTTCCCATGCTCACACATCAATGGACCTACCAAGCCCTGGTGCATGATGTGCTGAACATGAAGCTCAACCGAATCACCATTGAAACACCGATAGACGAGAACAATCCAGCGAGGGGTGTCACCAAGAAGGCTTTTGATCTGAATGCCAACGACTTCTTCTGGCAGAAAAACGCGCCGCTGCCAATCCCTACTGTAGCGTGAGTACTACTCTTCCATTTCGATATTAATAAACATCGGCTAAAGGACCTTAGTGAGGATATCGATGCCGAGTTGACTCGGTACAAAGAGGATGCGGCTGCGATTACCAAGAAGACAGGCGTGACAGACCTCGAGTCTTTACAAACGGATACTAGCGCCAGCGCGCAACACTTGAAAGCAGCTATCACTTTACTACCCGAACTTCAAGAGCGCAAGGCGGTCTTAGATATACATATGAACATCTTAAGCGCTCTCTTCACTGGGATCAAGAACAGACAGTTGGACAACTACTTTCAGATCGAAGAAAATGTCACAAAGCAGACAAGAGCGCAGATGCTGGAACTGATTAAGGATGCTGACAAGGGCAACCAGCCAATGGACAAGCTACGGCTCTTCATCATCTGGTATCTCAGCACAGAGCAAGAAGTGAGCAGGCAAGACTGGCAGCAGCTTGAAGAGGCACTTACGGCCGCTGGCGTGGACGTGACATGCCTGCCCTACATCAGACAGTAAGTTTTCACAACCGACCCTCCCAACATACTCCTGAATTATGGACCTAACCCACACCCCACAGGGTCCGCGCCACCACGAAGATGACGCAACTCACGACCATCAACGCCTCGTCCGGCCAGCAGGCGCAATCGGGCTCGTCAGACCTGTTTCACCGCTTCTCCAACATCTCGTCGCGGCTCACCGACCGCCTCAAGGAGTCCGGCGTCCCCACCGGTGCCCTGTCGGCTAACATCGACTCGTTCATCGGCGGCATCAAGAATTTCCTGCCCGCGAACCGTGACCTGACCGTCACCAAGGTCGTCGAGTCCATCATGGACCCCGCCACCGCCTCCTCCACCGCCATCGCCAAAACCGAGAACTACCTCTACTTCGATCCCCGCAGCGCAAACGCCCGTGGCACCATGCCGCCGCCGTCGGCGTTGCGCGCGGGCGGTGGCCTCTCGGCGGGCTCGACGCCAGGGGCGCTTCCAGGTTCGCAGGCGCCGGGCAGCGGGGCGTCGTTCGGCCAGAGGCGGCAGGGCTTCTCCGAGGCGGTGGTCTTTACCGTCGGCGGTGGCAGCATGGACGAGTACGGCAACTTGCAGGAGTGGGTGACCCGCACGAGCGGCGGCGGCGACCGCACCAAGAGGCGCGTGGTGTACGGAAGCACCGAGCTGCTCAATGCCTCGGAGTTCATTCACGAGGAGCTCGAGCGGCTGGGCCGTGAGGTCGCATCGTGAAGTTTGCGAGCAAGGGACAGTGGCTAGCTAGCGGTGGTGATGATGAAAAAGCACCCCGGCGTCAGCACTGGGTGCCATTAATAGACTGAGGTTGTATATACAATTGTCCAGGCCAGGCAAAAATTGTCTCGTGTCCACGTTTAGCACGTACAGGAATAAAATGGCGGATGGCGAGCCATCGCTGCGGTGTAATGAAACTTACTGACAGTTTTGCTCTCAAACAGTGTTGTAACAAAAAGCAGTGATATTTGCAACTGTCCACCGGCACACACGCAATCGCTCAACCCCTTTACCTATGTCGACATTTCATGTCACCACGATGGGATAACATAGAGCAGATGTATTTTCAAACCATCATGTTCACATTTCTATCTACTTTCTGAGATTCCTTCCTAGATTCGTGCTTCAATCCTCTCTTCACTTTCATCCACCGAGGATTGTCATTGCGTCAATACTGGAGAGAATCATCAATGATCCACCCGGATAAATAGTAGAAATACAAGTTACATGAATCAATTCTGTATCATCTAACATACTTGACCGCCAGTGTTTACATGTTGGCGGATTCCAGCCAGCCCCATCACTTCAAGGGGATTAAGTAGACATTTCGTGTTGACCACCTGTGTGTTTCTTGTTTTTTCTAGTTCGTTTACAAAAGACAAAAAGTGACGTTCCTTTTCTCATAGGACCGCAATCGCCATGCATCAATCATGTTGCATAAAAAGACGTCAACAGAAGAAACTGTAAATAAACAATTGAGAAAAAGGGGTATGAGAAAATTGCCAGTCTCGCCGGCTGGTATCAGCTTCCTCCCATTCTAAACTCCACGGAACATCCTGACCACCAAGAACCACATTGCACCCAAGAATTTGAAGCCCGAGAGAACGGCCACAGAGTACAGCACGGCCGCCATGTAAATCGTGGCTCGTTTAGACTCTGACGAGTCTGAAGGTGTTATCTTCTCCAGACCAGCCGTACTGAGCACCAAGGCGGCCAGCGCGAAGTTGGTGATCATCCACACGAGCACGACCACCGTTCTGACGCCACGATAGTAATCTAGCTGTTTCTCATCAAGCTGCGATGGCGTAAGCGCCTTCACCTCCTTGACAGGTTTCCTCGCAAAGACTTGGAGTTCACGCTCGTATTGGGCGTTCAGATCTCCCTCATCTGGCAGATCCGTCTTACCCTGACCGTCCTTTGTGTTGACGGAGGGAAGTTTGTCAGGCTTGTCATCTCCCTTAGTACCCCATGAAATATCGTGCGTATTGCAGAAAGCATAGACGTTGAGAATGTTGGTGAAGGTAGGAGTGAGCAACATGTACTGAACCAGAGAGGTGAACATGTGCCAAGGGTCGAACATGAGCAGAGAGGCGATCAACCAGATACCATAGGTGGACATGACAGACACAATAAGCGTGTAGAACACCTGGTTTTTGAACAAATCTGAGACTGAGAAGCCGTCAGAGATGTCCGCTTGGATGGCCTTCACGGAGATGAAGACGGCCGCAAACATGAGATAGCTACAGAGACAGATTAGTGTAGTCCTAAGAATTATGGCTTCAAATACTCACATGAAGATGATAGCCCAGAAAACAACCATGGCCATATAGTATGGACCCGAACCTGCAGGACGATTGCCCATGGACAAAACGAAGCAGGTAATCAGGGAGACACCATAGAGCCATTCGAACACTACACCAAGAATCTTTCCAACATTGCCAAGGAGATTGGCATCTCCCAAACTCGTTGTCAAGATCTTGAAGACCAAGAAGAAGTTGCCAATAGCGAACCAAGCGAAGATCATGTTAATAGTGTTGAATGTGAATTCGATGAAGAAAGCCAGTTTTCGGAGGATAGAATGGTCAGAGCGGAAGAATTGGTAGAAATGAGCGGTCGAGTAAATGGCAGCGAAGAAGGACCCGTTCAGCCAACGACGTCGCTGGAGAATCAATTCTGTAACTGTATCCGGTACATCAGTTTCGCCAGTAGCTGACTTGACGTACTGAAGGATCCAGTGACAATTTCGTTTGGTGACAAGTTCGAAGCAGAGAATTCGATCCTCGGCGAGGTACATATTCGCAGTAAAGATACCAGCTCCGGCGCCATGGAGCGTCTCACCTGCGAAGTACTTCTCCAACGGTCCGTGGCCATTCTTGTCGTTCTGCAGCGCAACATATCGATAAGCCGAGAAAGCACCAGGCAACACAGAAATGAAACCGAACGCCGACTCAAGTGGCTTGTCGAGGATATTGCTCATCTTGTACTCGAAATTCTGAGCTGCCACAAGAGGATTGACCAAGTTCTTTCCACCTGTCCCCAACATAGCCTTGATCTCACCACAAGCACCGGCGCACATCGGTTCGAGATCGAATGCTTTCCAAAGATGGTAAATCGAGTTACCACCGGGCTTCGTACCAGCATCGATAAGAACGCAAATATTTGGGTCTAGCACACGACCAAAGGCCTGGAAAAACCATCTGTGCGAGTTGATCTTCTTTTGGTTCTTCTCCTTCAAGCAGAACAATACCTGAACAGGCTGCTGCTTTGGAATCAATTGGACAACATCGTTCTTGATCTGCAGACCGACTTGTGTCGTGTACTCGTAAATATGCGCCGTGACATCCTTCCCGTTGACTTGCTGCTTTCCAATGCCCTCCTGGTATACACCTAGACCAGAGAGTAAGGCGCGCGTTCTAGGGTTGATTTTAGCACGACCGTCGCTGACAACGCAGACCACGATCTTCTTCCAGGCATCCTTGCCCCAAGTCTTGCTTTCATTACGCTTGCACATGTATTCGATGTTCTTGAAAACACCAATCATTGTCCTTGCGAAGAGAATCTCATCTTCGTTGTACATAGTAACCACAATAAAGAGCTCGGTATGGCGGGGCTTGCTGAAGAGCTTCTGCCGTAGGGTAAAGTTTTGCTCGTAGAACTCAGACGGATCGCAAGTCGCCGCAGAGTACCTCATGTGGGTGAACTCGTCGCGCTCACCATGAGGCAGCTGATTTAGCAGTCTTGGTGGAACCGGGCAGTCAAGAACCAAGTTTCCACGGTACAAGAGTACCTGTTTCACTGTCTTCCATCTCTTGATAGGCGCTGGAGCCGGCTGCTGTTGCTGCGGGTTGTCTTTGTACGGATCGCTGGCCTGCGAATCTTGATGTTGAAGCATTGGCCGGCTATCATCGTAATCATAGCCTCCTGGGTGGTCATACCCAGCGTTAGGATCTTGAGGGTGCGGTTCGTAAGGTTGATTATAGTATGCATCGTGATGAGCTTCGGGGTTGACTGCGTAGTCATGGTAACCTGTTTGTGTCTGGTCATAGTGGCCAAGATTGTCCATGGATTGCTTAAAGATGCTGTCAGCAATGTCATCAATCGACTGCGATAAGCTCACTTACCGCTGTCTGCATATGTAGAGAGTCGCCAGGGCTGTAGGACCTGCCAGGACCCATGGGTATATCGAGATTCTGCTGTGATCTACCATACGGGTTGTCGTCTAGCTGATACCCATGCTGTAGAGGATGGCCCGGCGAGGGCGTCCTGTGCGGTCGATTATCCATCGTTGGGCGATGGTCGTAATAGTCGTCGTCTATTGGGGTTGGAGATTAGAGAGGCGAATGAGAATTATGATTAAGCTGGACAGAGAGTAGAGGGCCGAAAAGAATCAAAAGAAACGGACTCGCAGAGCCAGGTTATGTGATGTTTGGCTGCCTGCGCCACGAAGTCCACGTCGTTGCCAGCTGAAGGACAAGAGGCCTGTATCCAGCGCAAAACGTTGTATGACTTGCGCAAGCGGACGGTGAAACAACTTTGCCAGCTTCGGTGACAGTAACGGAGAGTGAAAGAGCAACAGACAGACTGACTCTGAGTGCCTATGGGGCGTATGAACGGTGGAGAGTGTGTGACTAGGGGGGAAGTGGATGATGGGACGGAGGTATGACGCAGGGGAACGGCAACTTGAGTCTGGCGATGGGGAGGGAGGGAAGTGCCAACAAAGAGTAGGTTTGGGAACTTGCCTAATCGATTATACGACATGGTTGCTGAATATTATCCTCGTCGGAGGGAGACAAAGAGGGGTCGGATGTGTTTCTCTATGGAGGTGGGAGTGGTGGTTGGTTGACGATTCGATTGGGGGAGGAGAGGGCGATCGTCTGTGATGCTCTCGATTCGATATTCGGCGCAACCGCACTGTCCTGAGTGCTTGTTGTCTGTCTATCGTCCCTTCCTGGACCTTGGAGCGCCTTGGTGGTTCTTTCCTTTGCCGAAGCTGGTGTTTTTCGCACGGCAAGCTGAAGAAGTGCAGCCCCCCTATTCTGCTTTGCTAGTGTGGGTTTGCGTGAGTCTGCTCGCGACCTTATGCCGGCATCCGAGTCGCAACGCGATTGTCAGTGGTTCTCGACAGAAAAGAGTCGGCGGCAGGGCAAAAGGACGAGTTTCAGTCAGAGGGTCCTGTTGCAGGTGACGGAACCTCAATGGATAGCAGCCGGGGGGTCGAGGGCACGAGCGCAGCAGAAAAGGAGGGAGAGCAGTAAGCCTTAATTCAAGGGATAAGCCAGCTCTGGGAGGCTGTTGTTTCAGGTCGCCCAGCGGGCCCGCAGCACAGGGGCGCAGCAACCCACGGCCAAGACGGGCGTTGACGTCGCTGGGGAAATTGACAGGGGTGGCAGGGGTCTCCAGTCGACACCTCTACAATGTACCGGCCGCCTCTCCTCGCCCATCCAGCTCCTCTGATAGGCTGACTCTCTATGTGTGTGTGGCCTTGAGAAGGGCCGGGGGGATACGTCGTCGTCAACACGAAGAAGAAAAAGATGGCGAATGGTCAATTGCTGGTTCATTCTGCCATGTGCCAAAATCAGGAATTTCTGCTATTCAGGCCCATGCTTGCTCTACATTCGGCAATACCGCTGACCTGGACCTTCACCACGATCATGTATGGCTATGTAATCGCATGATGATCAGTTGCTAAAGAAAGAGTCTTGGAAGTCTATAAGACCTGCCTATCGTATCGAAGAAGCCAGCGGTTATAGCCAGAGGCAAAGACATGGTTTGGCCGGGATATTGCATCACTTGACCCTCTCAGGGGTGCCATTCCAGCTCCTCTCTGTCTGCTAGTCAATTCTCCCGAGCAAAGGATACGACCAGACAAACAGACAGCCACACTCGACGTCAATGTGCCTTCCCGCAACACTAAGGTAGGTCCTCGATTTGTGAGGCAACCTGTCGAGTTGAAAATAGAAACATCAACGTTAACCACAGGCCGGCACTCGCCACACTGCCTTTTAGCGCGGCTCTCTCCACTAAGCCTCGGCGCGGTTGCTTGGTAACGCCGCCGCGTGCCAACGACACGCAACACCATTACCGACTTTACCGGATCCTGCAATAAGTTAAGAAAGAAGGCTAACTAGAGTAATGAGGCGGAGGGAGCCGTTCTTCACGACTTTCCGTACGGGGTTTTGACATGGTAATCACGCAAACTCTACGATATTGACAGCGCCGCCTAGGCGCTTTTCACGAAATGTTTTGCATCTGACCAGGCATTGGTGCCCAGTTCTCGGGTTGCTCCAGCCATGCGGCCCGAGTGATCGACGTCAAAGGGTTGTTTGACCAGCCAGGACAAGCAATGCACTCTCTCGCTCTTCAAGTGACTCTAATGATATTAGCACACCCAGGCGTTTACTCTCCGCTGAGTTGAGATGGCTTTTCCAACCATTTGGCTACTGACAATAATCAAAGCCGCAATCCTGGACGATATTAATGCAAATGTTCAGTTGCCTAGATCCGCTGCGCTGATGACTCAGGCCTAAATACGTATCATCCTGTCAGCAGAGGCGTCGAGTCGACTGTGCTGGCTTCGGATTTTGTCAAATGTTATCCCGTTGATTTCCGCTTATGGCGTTCCGGACAATGCTTTCCACAGCCACGTTGCAAAGTCATGGAATTGAAAGCTTTCTCAAGAATTTGACCGGCCACATCTACAAGAAATATCTTTTGACAGCATGCAGTGTAGAAAATATCGACAACGTAGATTAAACAGGTCAAAGTAGCCTAGTAAAGAGGTAGATTAGGTAAATTCCACACTTAGGAAGGAGTAGTGTCAACATGATAGTTAGGAGGTTTACAACGCCAGATGCGCATTTGAAGGTTTGAACATCTACTCTTTTAGCAATGTTCACAGGCTAAAATCCACATGCATGCAGAAATCGGCTTTCAGGAGGCATGCAGAAGTTGTCCCAATACGAGATTACATGATCTTGGAGCGAATGAACCTTCTGCCTGCTTCGAGCCTACACTGAAGACTTTTGCTATATCGAAAAGCCAACTTCGTATTGCGTTTTCTGGATTCTGTGTCAAGGATTCAAGGACCCGATTATTTACCATTTCTTCTCCTGTTGACATTGGTTGTCCAGCTACTTCTATATTTATGGTTACGGTCACAGCTTCTTAAACAAGATGTTCATAGATGGGGCTCCATGTCAAGTACGAAAGAATTGAACTTAGCATGATAATATTAAACATGGAGCAACTGGCTCAATAGATTTTCTTTCGAAAGTCTCAGCTGAGGTGTGTAACACACGGCTAAGAGCTGAGCTGTAAGGGAGAGCTGGTCCAGACCGCCTAATCGATGGTGGGGTGGCCCTGAGAGCTGGCGACGCGGGGTGAGCTGTAGCTGTGAACACGACGACCCCACCTCCGTCATCGGTGAAGCTAAGTAGGGATTTTTTCGAGTCACAATCCATCTTCGAAACAGCTCACCTACGACCGTCCCATGCAGGAGGTATTGATACGCCAGCGACCTCAAGGGAGAATTGGAAAGCGTTTCTTTCAAACCACCACCAGGGAAAAGTCAATTGCAGTGTCGTGACCTCCAGAGCTGCCCGCCATGGCGACCGAGTCCTTCATTATCAAGACGCCGTGCTCGTCTGCGAACATTGGACCTGGCTTCGACGTCATCGGCCTCGCCTTGTCCATGTATTTGGAGCTACATGTCACCATTGACAGGTCGAAGCAGAAATCTGAGTGCCCACTCAACTGCCGTGTCACATACGAAGGCGAAGGAGAGGATTCGGGAGAGATTAGCTTGGACCCGGACGTCAACCTACTCACCCGAGTTGCGTTATACGTACTTCGATGCAATGGCCAGCGAGCGTTTCCCGTGGAGACCCACGTTCACATCAAGAACCCAATTCCTCTAGGGAGGGGATTGGGATCATCTGGAGCGGCGGTTGTTGCTGGTGTTATGCTGGGCAAGGAGGTTGGCAAGCTTAACTTGACCAACGACCGGCTCTTCGACTACTGTCTAATGATCGGTGAGTCACGTCCTGCGTGCTTTGAAGTGACAGTCATCTTCGCTGTCGCAATTCATGAGCAAAACTGTCAATGCCATGACCAATTGGACTCTACTAATGCTAGGATTTTAGAGCGTCATCCCGACAATGTTGGTGCCGCCCTCTTTGGTGGGTTTGTCGGCACATATCTGAAGCCTCTGTCGCCAGAAGACTTAGCACGAACCGAAATCCCCCTTGCAGAGGTGCTGCCTGCTCCAGCAGGAGGAGTTGATACAGGAGAGACGCCCCCTGATCCACCTCATGGTATTGGACATCACATCACCTTTCCATGGGCATCCGAGATCAAGGCTGTTGCCATCATTCCCGACTTCGAGGTACCCACCGCGAATGCGCGTGCAGTCTTACCAGCACAGTATCCTCGTCCTGATGTGGTATGTTTCTACACCCTTGCACCCTATGAATCAAGTCGCTGACATGCCCAAGACATTCAACTTGCAGAGAATAGCCCTACTGCCAGTAGCATTGGGACAGTCACCGCCCAATCCCGACCTTATCTATCTGGCAATGCAGGACAAGTTGCACCAACCATATCGGCAGACGCTGATCCCCGGCTTGACCGAAATAGTCGAGTCAATGACACCAAGCACGCAGCCCGGACTCCTGGGCGTGTGCTTGTCAGGAGCTGGGCCGACCATACTGGCTCTCGCCACGACAAATTTCGAGGAGATTGCGACGAACATCATCAACAGGTTCAAGAAACAGAATATCGAGTGCCGGTGGCAACTACTAGAGCCAGCAGCGGGCACCCAGGTCGTACGACAAAGTTGATAGCTTCAATTGATACCCAAAAGTTCACAATATGGACAGCTTTCTTTGGAGAGTATCGCGCTGTTGGTCCTAGGCTTCAGTGACGAGGACGAGAGACATATTGATCATTGAATTGTGAACTATGAAGAGCATACGATGACGTCGATCCACCCAACGAGCATGAGGTGCCAGCAACGGACTAATGACTTTCAACCCTGGCCTGGGTCGGTGGGATCAGCCTCAAGGGAACGATACGGGCTAGCCCAGGCCCCAAGCAGCGTCCTATTCATGGCTACACTACAGAGCCCATGGCGGCGGCAGGACCCTTGGTGTTACCACCGGAAGACGATGATAACCAGATCTTAAAGTGTGGGGTATACTTGCCATCAGTTTCAACAGGCCGGACGCGCGCCTAGTTGACCGATGATAGCAGGCCGGGAGGGTGCGGAGAGCGGATGGTTTGACGCCGGTCGTCAGATTGCGGTGGTGGTGAGGATGGGCAATTCTAGATTCCCGTGTGTCGGCCGCGCGCGAAAGTGTGTTGGCAGGTCGCCGGAAGGCCATCGTTCGATGAGCGGAAGTTCTAGGCGGCGGTGGACCCCATTTCCGGCGGCTGCTATTCGTCCAGAGTCATCAAGACCCTGCGCCGCCCGAATGTCTGATTTGGCAGAGGACGATCAATTTTGGACCAATTAGAGGGCGGCTAGAAACACTGCACGGCGGGCTCCGATCACCCCACGTAGAGCCATCTGGGTAGCGAAAAGACCCTAGAATCGTTCCATGCCGCAGCCTTTTGAGTTTGCCCATTACTCGTTCTAGCAGCCTTTGACGCCATGCGTGGTGCCATACCCAGCGACGGCCAGCCTGGATTGGCTCCTCGAGCCACTGCATCTGTCGGTTTCTTAGTGGCAATCGCATGATGGGCTCACCCACTCCAGCGATTTCCTCCCAGCTGGCATCGCTGCCTCATCTCCTCTGAGCCCTCTCATCCCTTCTGGGCCCGCGCACGACAAAATGACGGATCCCAATCTGGCCATTACGGCTGCGGATGCTGGGGAAGGCGCCGCAACGCCGAAAAGGTAACAGCCGAACGGGTAGGTGCATCTCCATCTTTTCAGACTATAAGAGTTGCAGTCCGCAACCTGTGACTTCCCGTTTGTTGTTCATCATCATCAACAATCATCACCATCCAATCAAGACTCTCCATTCAGTCCTCACATCTCTTCAAGAGATCCAACTCCACACACTTCCTATTTACGGAACACTCCACTCCACGGTACACAAACTCAACTCTCTCAGTCACTTCGACTTTTAAAAACAAACCACTCAAATCATCAATCATGTCTCCAATCGTCGCTCGTGCTGCCATCCGCGCCGCTGGCCGAAGACAATTCTCCGTCATGCGATCCATGAGGAACTTTGCTCGCTCCTTCGAGGCTCATCCCTTTGAGAGGATGCCCGTCACATCAAACTCCCAGGCTGCTGATTGGGGCAAGCAATTCAAGAGAGTTGGCTCGCAAGCTCTGATGTATGTTTCACCACCTCACAATCCGATTAATAGAACACAAGCTAATCATCACACAGCTACGTCCCAGGCTTCGCACTCATCCTTGGCTGGCCAGCCATCTTTAAGACCGTCCTCGACGGCCACATGGGTCAATACTAGACGATGGGAATCGACTACTGCATATGAAAACCGGATACCCTGTTGAGTGTCAGCCGGTAATGGCAACACTCTTGGGATGGATATGATTCCATGTGAATATTGCGACTGGATTACAGCGCTTTGTATATGTTGCATCTTAAAGGAGTTTGGGGATGGCCAGGATCAGTTTGACTTCGGGAGACTTATAAAGCCCCGACAGCTTAGAAGCAATTCACTTTGTTAATGACACTTCAACTTATTCTCGCCTTGTGAATGTTCGCTTCTGTAGCAAGCGCTTGTCTTGGTATAGCCCATCTTGCACTGCGCATTCTAACTCTTAGACTGATTGTTTAGAAGTCACTGTACTACAGTACAGCTCTTAGATTTACTGATAATGCCCTTGACCCACTTTTGTTGAACATTGTAAAGTGCTAGAATGCAACTCCAATGGACCAGTCTATCAAAGCAATCATAATCGCCAAACAAAAGGAATGGCATGGCAAGGAACGCAGTATCCGGCAAGATGTGGTTGGCTTGGATCCTGACAACAGTCTCCTCTAATGCTTCATCACCTGCTTGGTTGAATTTCACAACGAGAATGGATCCACCCAATGTATCAAGAGCGAGTTTCTCAGATTGAGGGTCATCCTATGATGAGACTTCGAATTCATTGCACAAATATCATTCGAGAAGTATCGGTCTGACCATAACATTCATAATTACCATCTTATAGACAGGAGGATAATCGTCAAAAAAAAGACTATGCCGTTGATTGTCCATGACAAAACTGCCTGGCCAGTTCATTTTGAATTTCAGGATCAAATCAAGAGAATAAACTCTAAGTCTCTCGGAGGTCATTGTTTCCTATATCTGTGTTGAAGATTTTTGCTATGCCGCCGAGAGATCGGTCGTGTATGGACACAGGCGACAGCGCGAGTATACACAGGACCGGACGCCATGGTGGGCCGTGCACACGTCTCCGTTCAATCGGGACTAGCTCAAGGGACGGCCCCCCTGTCGACCCTTTCAACAGGCGCGTCGTGTCTGGGAAGCTCCCATCCCTAAAATTTCCCCAGATTTGGCATTAGGAGAAGCAATACGACACTCATCCATCGAGCTGCAGCGTCTGATTCATCGGTGCCGCCCTACGCGTCCTTCCCTCCCCTCCGAAACCCTCGCGTCTTAAAATGTCCAGCGCCCCGGCCGTATAGCGTTCAGAAGCTGCGCTGTGCACGAAAGGAAGCTCCCCAACGGTCAGCCTTGGCAAACAGGGGCAACGAGGCTCCCGCCACAAGATCGCTCCACGAGCTGCGGTGCGAGTTAGCTACGACGCGGCGGACATTGGATACGTCGTGACGGTGCTTGGAAGTTGGCGGATGAGCATCTGACGGAGCTTCAAACATGGCCGACTCACTGCACAACGCCCCTATTGTGCTCGACAACGGGTCAGGGACAATAAGAGCTGGTTTCGCGGGTGAAGATCTACCAAAATGCTACTTCCCGTCGTTCGTCGGTAGACCGAAACATCTCAGAGTGCTGGCCGGTGCTTTAGAAGGCGAAGTCTTCATCGGCCAGAAGGCAGCCACCGAGCTAAGAGGGCTGCTCAAGATCCGTTACCCTCTTGAGCATGGCATCGTGACGGATTGGGATGACATGGAGAAGATCTGGGGATATGTGTACGACGAAGGACTAAAGACTCTCAGTGAAGAAGTGAGATGCAACTCCATCGCCGGTATTCTGCATGGTCCTGGGACTAACGCTAGCTCTAGCATCCCGTCCTCCTCACAGAACCGCCCCTCAACCCTCGCAGCAACCGTGACACCGCGGCACAGATCCTATTCGAGACATTCAACGTCCCTGCTCTATACACATCCATCCAAGCTGTACTATCGCTATACGCCTCCGGCCGTACTACCGGTATCGTTCTTGATGCCGGCGACGGTGTTTCACACGCGGTGCCGGTATATGAAGGCTTCGCCATAACAAACAGTATCCAAAGAATCGATGTGGCTGGAAGGGATATTACAAACTACCTGCAGACGCTATTAAGAAAGAGCGGCTACATCTTCCACACAAGTGCTGAGAAGGAAGTGGTACGGCACATCAAGGAGGCGGTCACATATGTTGCCCACGATCCGAGAAAGGAAGAGAAGGAATGGGCTGCGGCGAAGATGGACCAAGGGAAGATTGCCGAATATGTCTTGCCAGATGGCAGCAAATTAAAGGTAAAGTTCAGCAGCTTCAAGATTCGTACGATCTATCACTCGGCGGGCGACTAACACAGGACTATTACAGGTTGGTGCGGAGCGGTTTAGAGCACCAGAAATACTCTTCGACCCCGAAATCATAGGTCTCGAATACCCCGGTGTCCATCAGATCGTTGTCGATTCCATCAACAGGACGGATCTTGATCTCCGGAAGGCGCTATACTCTAACATCGTGCTCTCGGGAGGCAGTACGCTTACCAAGGGCTTCGGAGATCGGCTCCTGACGGAAGTTCAGAAGCTGGCAGTCAAGGACATGCGCATCAAGATCTTCGCGCCTCCGGAACGAAAGTACTCTACCTGGATAGGAGGCAGTATCCTGGCGGGTCTGAGTACATTCAGAAAGGTGAGCTTTTTCGAGTATATATTTACAGTGAAGACCTTTAATGCTGACTTTCTTGTAAGATGTGGGTGAGTATTGATGACTGGCACGAGAACCCAGACATCATTCACACTAAATTCACATGAGCATGTGTAATGCGTATAGAAGCGAGTGGTTTGGAGAATATGAAGAGTTGGTCTCAAAGTAGGAATTGGAGGCACGGTCACACCCGCGGAGAAGTATGAAGAGCCTCCTCTTCCGGGTGTTACAAATGAGTCAAGGAGCATCACGAAATTAGAGCCCGTGTAAGTGAGCGCGGGGCGAAACACCAGCCGAGTGGAGGATTCACGAAGCGTCCAATGTTCCACAACTTTGTCAAAGTGTTCAGGGATCTGCGTCGTATAGGTAGAATCGATGATACCCAGTATTGACGGTGGCGCGAACTGTATGATTTCCTGGTAGCCTGTGCATGTGCTGGTCTCTGATACGTGTGACAAATTGTTTGGATTGCCCTGACTCCTTTTTGGTCGGTCAACCTGAAGCTGTCGTGGTGATGATCATCTTTAATCCCAACAGCAGCTGCTATACAAGACTTGTCGAAGATCGGTATTTACTAGCAGGTCTAGATTTCTTATTCAGAGGTTTGACCAATTCATTTCAGTACCATGGAGGGAAGTTGCTATAATACCGGCAACTCGACAACTGTCAACTTGGGAGTTGTCCCAGTTGCAAGTTTATTATTACGAAACACCGGCGGGGAAGCAATGCCGAGGGCTGCCTTTGTACGTAATGGGCATGCAGCACTTGCATTGGGAACAGACTAGACTTAGTGCGACAAACATGTATCCGGGAGAGCTTCTGCGACGTTGCCTTGGAGAGACGGGGCAAACCTGCCAGTGCTGAGCCCTTCTATGCAAACTGGAATCTGCCACCAGCTCCAAAAGCTTTCAAGAGGAAATTGATCATATGACGACAAGTGCTAGGAGTCATCTTCTAGAAGGGCGATATCGGTGGCCGGGCCTTGGCTGAGGCTGAACAGGGCTTCTGTCAGCTGTGCCGACATCAACCACCAACTTCGCCGTCAGGCGGTTTTCCAGCTCGCACACAAAGGGGAGCCGAGCAGAAAAATTCTCCTGATGATCGATCCGCTTGCTTTGGCTTCTTTCAGAGCTCTCTGGACTAGGCTAGCTCCGGGGTAAGGTCTCCACCGCCTGGCTTCAAGAAAAATAGCACCAAAGTCTCGACCGCGTCATGCGGGCAAAGCGCCTAGCTCCCTTTCGACATAGATTGTCCTCATGACAACATCTCGTGGACGGGTTTCGAGCTCGAAGAATTCGAAGAACAAAGCGGAAAATCAGCTTCCCGAGTTTACCATTGGCTTGGACAGAGTTGAACAATGCCAGCTGAGCAGCTCGAAGCGCTTCACTGCCGCTTTCTTCTCCTGAACCAGAATGCCAGCTTGTCTTCAAGCTAAGTTTGGATGTGCTCGGGAAGGCCAAGATGGCGTCGTGCGGAGAAGAGCTAAGGGAGCTGTTTACATGCAGCCACCAACGCTATACACCGCCAAAGCCTGCGGCCGTCTCCCCTCGAGAGAAGTAGCTAGAGATCGATCGGCGTATGCATACCGTCGAGGTGCATACCGGTACAACCTCTGGCAGCTCGTCTATTCTAAGCTGACGTTACTCTACGGCTCCTCAGTTTCGGTGAAGTTACTTTGTGAAGTGTCTCGGCAGACAGCATGTTGAAATATTCGTTGGCAAGTCCAACGCCAGATGTATGGAGACCACCAAGATTTGTGGTGAGATTTGGGGCTGAGTTGCGCGGAGATACCGAGATCAAGCTGATGTCTCAGTGTGATTTCGTCGAGACGGAGGAACGGAGATTGTCATGCTAGGCCAAAGACAATTCATTTGTTCATGGTTGGCATCGTGGTCCAATTTGTTGGTGTCCAACCGGCGGTGGGCACGCATTGTGCCTGCAACAAGGGAGGCTGCTGATGGTGTCTATTGGAGCACAATTTCCATCATCGATGGCGCCAACTTCGGTGAAGCTGCCCAGGAGTCAGGACCAAGGGGGTCTGCCATATCGAATCAGCATCGTGCGAGGCAAGGCGTGATGGGAGCAGGACAGGCGATGCAATTCCATGATGGCGACATGAGGGACGCTGCGACGCAACCACTTAGACGGGCCATTCTGGGCACACCAAGCACAAGCACAAGCACCAACCAGCAGCCAGTGTCTTGCGTACCTGCATGATGTGCTCATGCCCCGGCAAGTACTCACTGCACTGGAATTGTATGGCCGAGTGACCTGGATGGCGCGAGACGTGGTTAGTAACAGCCGCAGGCGGGAGGCAATCTATGGGGTAATGGTTAGGTACTGGAAACCAGGTTGGGGCGGGCGCGTGATGCTGTCTGGCACCGTGTTACGAAATGGTATGCTAATGCCCGTCACGAGGTGACTACCGCTCTGCCTCTGAACCCAAAGCCCTTGCCGTTAACTGCTAAGCGCCAGCGCTGCCATGGAGCAACCTTCCAGCAAATTTTGCTGCCAAGCGCTGGAGCACCGCCCAAAAAGTGCACAGAATGCCAGTGTTGTCATTGACTCCAGTGGTGTAATTTTTTTTTCCTGTCCTGCCTTTCCACAGCACGAGCGCACTAACAGAACCTTCTCTCTCCTTCTCCACACCTTGCCGTCTCGCCGCTTCCAAACATCGTCAGCAGGTCGCGACTCCCTTGTAAGTTGAGAACTGCACCAAAAAAGATTTGTAACTTCCCTTTGAGTCACTGCGTAGGTGGACAGTACGTAGCTACGTACCGGTCATGCGTTCCTTCCTTTCTTCCCCCAGATTGCCAAACAAAGTGGATGCCACCAAGCTGGCGGCAAACCTAGGGAAGGGGCAGCCCTACCTTTTCTTGCCTTGCCTTGCTGCTCCTCTCCCGTCCTCCCGGAGACGGGTATAATAAGCTCTCCCTCTCGCTCACGATACCCACCATCTCGACAAGTGTCACACTAAGCAAACCAATCGAGAACAAAGAAGAGAGCAAGTCTTGAAAGAGCGTCTTATACACGATATATATCTTGTTGCCAGTCGTAGCAAGATCTCCAGACTACACTCCAGACCACACTCCACCTGATATCGACATCGATATCGAACACAGCACCATCACAGAGAAACTGCAAAGTATTACATATCTCGCAATGGCTTCCTACACCGTCACCGAGCCACACCCGACCGTCCCCAAGAACAGCTACATGCACTCTGGACGGGGCGGTGCCGGCAACATGTTCCGTGCTCCTACCAACACGACTCCCTCGACGGGTGTTCCCACTCATCCCGTCTCGGCTCCCCAGCCCACCGGCCGGTTCTACAGTGGCAGAGGAGGAGCAGGCAACGCTCATGCTGCTTCTGAGCGGCCCACTCTGTCTTTCGATGAGGAGTACGCTCGTGCTGATGCCCGGGAGAAGGCCTCGACCATGGGCCATGTTGGACGTGGCGGAGCGGGCAACGTCTTTGCCAGCGTCTCCACCAACGCTCACAAGGAGCGCAAGCATAGCAATGCTAGCTCAGCCAGCACTTCTAGCCGACGAGACAGCAGCTCAACGGACAACAGCAGCATCCGGTCTGGCTTCTTCGGACGCCTGAGCAGCCACCTAAGCATCGGCGGCCACCACTAAGAGACTCCAGTCTCGTGTTGGCTTCTCTCATATATTAGCGTCATTCGGCATCATTCTCTGACCGTCTCCTCTATCACATTCATATTTAGCGACATGGCGTTTTCTGGAGTTTTATGAGTTTATCATGACGAAACGGCAAATTCCATGGCTGGGCACGAATCAGTAGCCCTAGTGAGATTCAGCGGAGGAAAAGTTATTGGTAGGAGGAAAAGCAAAAAGGACGAGGTTACTTGGGGCCTCAGAGCAAAACGGAAAGCTCAATTTTTCAGGGATAAGAAAAGTCTTATCCACCCCTGGCTGGCAGACTCCAGGTGGCACATGAAGCATATTGCGCGGCGTTTGTTCTGGTGAACTTTGGTTGAGACCGTATCATATACCCCCCAAAGCGAATGCTTTGATGGTTCTCCCATGGAGACAGCGATATATTGAATTTTGAAATGAGATAGCATGGATTTAATAGTAGGCAAATTCAAGCATTAAACCTACGAGCCTAATTATACTGCACTGAAAGATGTGAGCATTTGACAAACACGCTTTATATCATTACTGGCTGCATCGATGATGGCTCAACGACCTCTTGAAAGGCCAGATTGGCTGCAATCCGAAGGGCGCTCTTGTGCACTAAAATTGCAGTGTAGGATGGCTGGAACTTCCCTGGAGTAGGTCTCAAAAAGTCGGCAGCATATTAACTGCGGTGATGCCCCTCTACCGCCATGTAAACTTCCTCTGATAAGCAAGTCATCACATCTTTGGAAAGAAACGCGCCCCAATGTCATTTATTACAAAGATAGAGTTGGTCTGAGGGTATCTGCGACGAACTTTTGCTGGCTATGTCATCATCAGTTGGAAGCAAGGAAGGCTTCAATATCCTATACCCTTTTACAATTCGAAAAATTCCCAAACCCCGCTGCAGGGGAAATATGACGAGACCCCCTTTTCTCTCTCCCATCATGGATGATGATCTAGTGTGGTAGATGAATCCCCTGAGATCGACCACCAAATGCCGTCCAACGCATTGCCCTCTCTCTCACACTCGCTCAAGTCCCCCCTAGGAATAAAAATGCACAACAATGCAGCAGAAAGACGCAGAATAGATTATCTCTTTGGTCATGTCGTCATGAAAAAGTACCGGGCAAGAGATGCCCCTTAGGTCTGTCTCCCTGTCATCATCTCTCGTGCTTCTTTTTTCTTTTCTCTTCGCTTGGCCCCCATTTCTGTTCCAAGCAAATGAATGGCTATGACCAACGACACGCAGACACGCGGAAACAAAATCAAAACCCTGAAATGGAAATCTGAGTATATGCAGCGAGCACGCCTCAAATCAATGTCCAACGAAGTCTATAAACGGGGTTCCGTCGAGCATCGTCGACATTATGATATAAGCAGGAGGGTAATAGTGGGCAGGGGAGGGTCGGGGCCATCCAGTGGCCGCGTTCATAGTCATTGTCATCTGTTGAGATGATGCTGCGGGTGCAGCCATCGCCGGAGGGGCTGAGGCGCCTTTCCCTAAAAGGTCTCTGATTCCTGTGAGGCAACAGTCCCGAAGGTATCTGACGGGGGGAGGCAGCGTTAGCCATCTAGTCATCATAATCATCCTGGAGCTTGTACGCCCCGAGAACTCCGGAGTACGGCATGGGCATACCTCTCTTTCTACGTCTCGCGTCCGCTTCAGCCTCGTCGCCTTGGCCGCCAACGCTCCTGTCACTCTTCGGCGTCATCGCCCGCGGGCCACTGGGCCGACGGGTCGGCACGCCAAGATGAGCGCCACTCAAGTTGCGGTTCTCCAGTTTGGGGCTGCCGGTGTAGCTAGCACTCGGAGCGCCATGAGTAGCTGTCCCGTAGCCGGACTCTACACTATGGTACGGGAGGGGACTAGCTTTCTGCAACTTGGAGATCCTGTTGCTCTTAGGAGGAGTCTGACGATGGCCCTCAAGTGGCTCCTTGGGAGGTCTTGGCGGGCCTTGGGAAGAGGCTCCTGGCGCAGGAGATGAATAGTAGTACTGCTCATCGGCAGCAGCAATGCCGCCAGTGCCGGCGGAGCCATTGCTGTAACGATGGGTATTCTGTCCAGGAAAGCGGTGCAGACTTGTGGCAGAACCAGCCCAGTCGGCTGATTTGGGTGACATTGGACTATCAAAGTCTTGGGCCTGGTTCTCCAGGGTATTCCTGAAGCGCTCGGTCTGGCCTGGTCGTGGCTGAGGGTGCATGAGGTTGACCGAGTTGCGATGGGCCTTATACTTCGGGTCTTCTGGTGTCATATATGTTGTAGGTGGAGGAGGCTGCTCATGGATAGGACTGGCATGACCATCCTCATCATATTGCAGATCGGGTTGAGAGAACCCGGTATGGAGCTTATCTTCGCCATAAGGGTCCGTACGATCGTAGTCATCGTAGTTTGCGAGGTCAGAGCCTGACCGCGAGGGTGGATTGTGGAAATCACCCCCGTCGTTGTTCTTGCTGCCACGGAACACCCGGCCAACGCTGGAGGTGGTTGTCTCGGACCACCGAGAGATCTTAGGGAACCAGCTAGAGGAGCTAGTTGACTTGTGTTTCTTACCCTTCTCTGTGCGAGGGGTGTTCTCATTGCTGAGGGATGCTTGCACACCAGCAGCGGGTTGAGGTGGTGTGCCGAGAGGTACAGAGCTTCCTCGCTGGACATTATGGCCAGGATCGAGAAGCATCTCTGGGTTGCTGAGATGTGTATCATTGTGATCCTCTTCATAGTAGTCGTCATCCTCGTTCGCCTCCGGTACGGTGCTGATCCGGTGATCCGAAAATTTGCGCTCATATCCAAGCTTGGTTGAGGGGCCACGAGACTGAGGGATAGACAGATGACCAGACTGGCTTGCATGGCTGGCTGTCGATGTCCCTGCGTTTCCCTCTGGCTCGTAGCCTCGGTCCTGTTCGTACTGAATGGCAGGCTGGATATTCTCGAAGGACTGACCGGCCTGATTGCTTCCACTACCTCCAGGAGCAGTCTGTGCCTTCAGAGTGTCGACTTCCGTAAGCAGTTGCATGAGCATTTCCTCAATACGACCCAAGTCCTTGTCTCCTTTGGCACTGAGACCCTTCAGGGCCCGGCGGAAGAGATTCTGCTTCTTAGCACGCAGATCATCAGTGCCAGCTTGTGAGGCACCACCAGCAAGTGACCTTGCACCGCTGCCAGGGAATGGGCGTGGTCCGCCAATTGCTCGCTGGACTGTCTTCTCAGTGTTCTCCTTCACCTCCGTAATAATGACATCTTCGGTATCGGCCAGCATTCTCTTAATATCTTCGAACGAGTTGCGCATCTCTGCAGCAGATCGAACGAGAGTAACAAGGATCTCAGTGTCACGAGCACTTCGTTGAGCGTCGCGCACCATTAGCTGTAATGTGTTAGCCAAACCATCCATACAGCATTAATCAGCAAAACTTACATGTTGCATTAACGCAATGATATCCTTCGACTCAATGCGGTCGATGCCCGCTCCTGTGGCTGCATCATACATGGGTGATCCCATACCCTGTGAAAGGCCACTCATGTGTCTAGCATGCTTAGGTGTGTAGAAAGGATCTTCTACCCCGCCGAGATTAGGTTCTTGGCTGAACTCAACGCCCTTGCCCTTGCCTTGAATCTCTGGTGTTTTGTTCGGACCCTGAGATATATAACCTTCATCGATCTTGGGGCCCAAGGGGCTCCGTGTGCCATAGTCTGCGACATAGGGATTGCTACCGAATTCAGCTGCTCCACCCATAGGAATATCGTTCAATCCAGGAAGGTTGACAATCGGACTGGCGCCTTCGTAGGGATTGGTGATAAGGGTATCTCTCTTGCGGTCATCTGAAGTCCGATGCCAGTCTTCATCATGCTCCTGACTCGGTTGACGGCTGTGATGTGCGGATGCTAGAGCAGCCGCCGTGGCAACTGCTGCAGCTCCAGCAGCTTCCATGGGTCCAATGCCGTGACCATTTCCCTTCTGCTGGACCTCAAGCTGCTCAGGCTCATAATCAGCAAAGCGCTCTTGGGTTGGCGTCTGTTCTTCGTGCCAATGATCCTTGTCATTATAAGAAGTGTCCAAACGCTGGCCCACAACGGAGGGGTTGGTCTCCAAATCATCATCATAACCAAACCCTATCTCGGGCATGGGATCATTCACATCCGGCAGACCACTATGCCCAACCTTTGGATGTTCGTACTCATCGACCAGGCGGTCAACACTGTGCGTTGGCGTATTTGCGGGAAGGTGACCGTCTTTAGTGCGGTCTTTGAAGGATTTGTTTCGTTGAACTCCTTCGCCAATCCATTCCTGTTCCTCCACAGATCTTTGCTTGCCTCTGTCCTTTGCTGCCTTGAGAGCAGCAGCAGCAGCCAATGCAGCAGCGCCGGTGATAGCGGCTTCTGAGGACGTTGGCGACTCCTGGTATCTCCTTGTTGACCTAGGAACTTTGTGTCCAGCCTCATCGAGATCATATTCCTCGAATTCTCGAGATCTCTGGTGCTCTGCAGACATAGGAGAGATGTCGCGTTCCTCGGCGTAATGTCTCTGGCTATCGTACGAGCGCTGAGAAGGCGTATGGTTTCCATGGGAGCGCTCTTCATCAAGAGTCGCCATCGACCCACGATGACCATATTGATGGCCACCATAACCAGACTCTCCAGTTAAGACAGACTCATCAAGCATTGAACCATCTACAAGTGATGCAACATGTGACTCGACTCCAATTGGGGGGATGACGAGGTTCGGGTTGGTTCCAACAGTGCGAACAGCCTGCTCAGAAGCGGTTTGGTCCAATTCGCTGCCTTCAGTAAAGGCAGAATTCCTATAGTCTACACCGGAGCTTCGCAAGCTGCGATCGTCCTGGTCGAATTCGCGGCTGCGCATATTGCTCGGAACTGAGCTCGGTGATTGCCGGCCTAAGTCATGGTGAGGTGACTTTTCAGGCGACGAGAACGACCCCGTCTGTGTAAGCCTGGAGTCGCGGTTGGGAGGCTCACTGCCGCCTTCTGTGTATCCAGAAACGCTTGGAATAGGGCTGAGTCCGCGACGTTCTGGTTGATACGGAGTGTACTTCAGTGGTGGTGGGACATCTTGGGTGTTATAGTAATCTCCATATTGCGCTGCCACTGGCTCATCATATTCGTCTTCATCATACTCCTCTGGAGGATGGAATCCCGACGGCTCTCCGTACTCGTGTACTTCGTAATTCTCCTCGGCGTAATCGCCCGTTCTTCTTCGAGGAAGAGCCTTGAGATCGCCATGTGAAATGTTTGCATGTTGTGTCCCCAAGCCAGTTTGAAGAGTTATTGGAGTTCTTGTTGGAGTCGGACTGTTCGAGTCCACAGATAGCGTGCCCCTGGAAACCTCTTGAACTGGGGTAAGCTCTTCGCTTGCAGAGTGAGGGCGATCAGTCTCTGCAGAAAGAATGGACGTCCTCGTAACTTCCGAGGGGTTGATCTCACTCATGAGCGGCATTGGAGGAGCAGGCTCATGATATTCTGAGTCTTCGAACTCCTCTGAGTAGCCACGCCCCTTCAACTCAGCTCTGCGGCGACGACGTTGCTCTCTCGCGCCCGCGGGTGATTTCTCATTCAAGGCAGTAGCAGCCAGACCACCAAGCGCTGCGCCGGCGGCAGCAGCCTTGAGCTTGTCATGGCTTCGCGCTGGTGTTTGGTCGACCTCATGGAGAGATTCCTCATAAGATTCATGACCGAGGCTGGGTGCTGGACTCTCAAATAGTTCATGTCGAGCCTCTCTGTCCCTTTTATCCTTGGATTTGAGGCTATATCTTGATTTTTCAATCGATCGATCATCTTCAGGTTGGCGGCGATCGCTAGCATAGTCCTCTCGCGAGACTGATGTTCCACTAGAAGTCACCGAGCCTCGGCGATCTTTGTGTTTGCTTTGCTCCCGCTTCAGCGCATTTAGCTCCGGGAGGATTAGTCGTCGAATAGCATCCTCGACGGTCTCGAGCAATTTCGGGTTGTTGATTGATGATTTGGAGGCTCCTGAGCGGATGGAATGCTGGTCATAGGACCGATGACTTGGCGACACAGCCGATGATAGCACGCTTGAGTCAGCTGCTGAGACAACAGATTCCTGATTTCCTTTGCTTGACCGTCTGCGCGGCGATTTAGTTCCCTCCGTATATTGCTCGCTGATGCTGCTCGTGCGGCTCTTTGATTTATGTTTCCTGTCCGACTTGTCTTTATCCCTTGATTTGTTGACAACTACTCTATCCTTCTCCCGTGAGCGGCTCTTGTCGCGCATCTTGTCAGCCACAGCGGCAGTGGCTAGACCCGCGGCAGCTCCCGCAAGAAGATCCCCACCACGCGACGGGCTCTTACTGCGCCGTCCTTCTCCTAATTTAGTAGAAGGACCTGATCCGTCTAGAAAGCTGTCTGTAGGGATGGCTGAGATGTCAGACATGTTGCCTGGCTGATACGATGCCTTGCTGCTGTCAGCGGCAGGAATCAGAGGGCTAGCGGGTCGCCGACGACGGTGACCACGGCGGTCGATTTCTACTTCGATTGGATTACGGGACACATTGGACTCTTCTGTTGCAGATGCGTACGAGCTCATGCTCTTTGCGTCTGCGTCGCCTTCACCACTCAGTGCGGATAGCGACTCGGACTCAGCTTTGAGGGCCGTCGGGGTCAACGGCGTTTGTCGCCGTGTCAGCGATGCTTTGCGCCCACTCGACGACTTGGTCTCTGTGATCTGGATGCGGTCGTCCTTGCGATGTTTAGACGGCGTCAGACGAACCCGCACGCTAGGCTTCCGTTCACCGCTAGAGCCGCCTGCGGCGCTGGGCTTGCCACCTTCGAAGTATTCGATCAGCAGCGAGGTCTGGGAGCGATTGGATTTGTGGCCACGGGTCTTGATTGTGACGGGCGTGCCGTCCTCGGGGAGCGAGTACGAAGACTTCTCGTCGGCGGGCTTGGACACATCGGTAGCGAGCTCAGTCGCCAGTTCCGTGGGCGTTGTGTTCGTGGACTCGGTCTCGGTGGGGGCTGGGAGTGGTGGTGCAGGTGCCTTCTTCGAATCAACACCCATGGTGTTGGAACGATGAGGTAATGTGTCACTCGATAGCCGTGTCGAGAACCCTCCTGATTACCCGATCCAGTTTCCTCGTTGCTAATACTGGACCATCGACCCGGATCGACAGACGGAAGAATCGAGGAAAGAGAAGGGAAGAAAGGCGGAGGAGAGGGGAAAGGGGGGATGTCGTGGACAAGGATCGAGTGTTTTGTTTTGATCAAGACATCTGGTGCGGGAAAATCTGGAGACGGTGGAGAGTGAGCCAAAGCCTCGTCAACGGGCAAGTCAGGAGGATGCAGCTGAGCTGCAGGAGACGATTTTCCCGCCTGTACATACAATCCAATACGACACAATTGAGCGTCAGCCAAAACAGAACGGTAAAGAAAAAAACCGGCTGTAGAGCAGCGGCGGCGACGTTGCTTGGTCGTAGGCCGCAGGCGGGCAGCTCCAATGAGCGACTCTTAGTATGCGTCGATGCGCGCAAGCTGCAGCAGCGAACTGCCCCGGGACGCACAGGAGGGACAGAAGCGACTAAGATGCCGGCGATGGCGAGGGGGAAAGCGACGGCGGTGATGTCGTCTCGGATGTGGGAATATGTACGGCTTAGGCGGGCTTGGGATGCAGACTGAGGAGGAGAGTCTTTGGGCAGAGAATCGACGGACGGACGATAATAGGCTTATTGGGGCTTTGTTATGGTCGGGGGAGGGATGAGAGGCGGCTGGGGTTGCTTGATGAGCTGGCGCTGCTAGTCTGGCTGGCCAATTAAGCTGCAAAAGTGCCCTGTCGTGGGCAAGTGGGCTGCAGGCACTGCTGCACTGCTGCAAGAAGAGGCAACAAGAAAAAAGTCCAGAGCGTGGCAGGGCAATTCTTAGTGCATGCACTGTTCAGTACTGTACAATAGATTTCCATTCACTCAGTCATTCGTCATCTATTCACTTTGAGTCTTTGGGGGGCGAAACCACCAGATGAGAAATGCATCACTCTGCAAACGAGGCTGTGACGGAGAACATCAGTTGCCTCGACTTTGTTGACATTCAATTGCCTGGCCTAAATTGGCTGAGCTACCCTACCTCGGTACCTACCTACCTTAGGTAGAGCTGAGCTTGCTTATCCGGCCACTAACTTTTTTTTGTTGACAGTCGTGGAACAGCCCACTCCGCTCTACATGTATAACGTTAACTTATCGGTCGGTCAGAGTGAGTCGATTTCGTTTTACGGATCCTCGGGAGGGCCAACTCGAACGGGGCACCCAGCGGCCTTAGCGTGTGCTTTGACGGGGTGACGAGTGACGATCATAAAAAGCGATGAGACCCCCAACCTCGACCGGGGCTACCCAGGGCCGCCGCCGAGACAAGCTCACGAAGACCCTATCGAATCTATCATCTCCCTAACGTTCAGACATACGTAGACGGGAGGGTAAGACCGCGCATCCACTATCTGGCACCGGCCGAGCCAAGGGCATCATTGAGAAGTGCTCAGCTGTTCTCGCCTCAGTCGGCGCAGCTCCCACGAGACGGATTTCGGTCAAGACACGAGCTGCCACTGGTGGTTCCCCGCCGACACTAAGGCACCTGCGGATGGACCACATTGCGACGTTGGATTGTCTGAACCAGTAATTGCTTTCCAACCCTTCAGAGCCTCCTCTATCCTTTATGAAACTCATCAGTGAACACAGTAAAGGCCTGATAGAGTCTCGCTGGTTTCGCTCATTTATTCTTCCTTGAAGGAGTTTAAATAACAATATCAAAATAAAATTTAAGGAGAATTAAGGCATTGGGTATCAGACTGGCAAAGTGAGCACTCACATAATTGCTTGATTCAATATTCGCGCCGTTTGACTCTCAGTCTACGACAGAGGTCTACTCATTTGTGGAAAAGATCATGCTCGGTGTATCTAGGCACCTTGCCTTTCTGGCCTTCCCATCTAGATAGATAAACGAACGGTGCATGCAGAGAATCACATCACAGCGAGCTCAACTCTCACTGTCCGGGTCCAGCAATGCTTGGATCCCACTTCATATTCGCCATGACAAACTCCTTTAAGCCCATATAGACTTCACCTAATCCTTCCAGGCTGACCCTTCTCTCCTCGCCAACGACCACGAACCCGAAGCGCTCATACACGGGCTTTCCCTGAACCCCCGCCTCTAGGTACGCAGGCACGCCGGACTCCCGCGAGCGCTCCATTCCCCATCGGATCAACAAGCCCGCCGCGCCCTTCCTCCTTTGACTCGGCCTCGTGACGAGGTGCATCAAGATCCAGCAGGGCTTCCTGCTCGGAATCCACTGCTCGCGGAACGAGTCCCGCTCCGTGAGGATGTGGTTGTGGAGGCGCACGTTGAAGTTCGGCGGCGGGTAGCTCTCGCCCTCGCCGACCTCGCCGTCCTCGCCCTCCGCCGTGTTCAGGGGCGCCATCTCCCAGTGCGCCTCACGCTCGTACTTGTAGCCGCCCTCGTAGTAGTGCCAGCGAGCCACGGCGACGACGGCGCCGCCGCCGCCGCCGCCACCTTCGGGGCTGTCGTCGACCACTTTCAGGAACCTGACCGTCGGGTCCTCGAGGAAACGGCGCCTCTGCAGCGCAAAGCAGCGCCGCGCCCGCTGCTCGGCCTCGGGCCGCGTGCTGACCGGCCATGCGACCGGGTTGGGCGGTGCGACAAGGTCATCGCCCGGAGCGTACTTTGACGCATCGGAGACGAAGCTATCGAAGTCCGACAGCTCGACTGGTGCGACGCGGAGAGCCATTTGTTCAAGGTAGGTAGGTAGGTAGGTAGTTACGTTTTAATACTACCTATGATATAATAAGGTTTCAAGAGAACATTCTGATCTTCTAGAAGACAATCAGAAGAAAGGAAAACCGCGAGAGAACGCTGCCGAAGGAAGATAGATTCGGGGCATAGTGGAACTTTTGAGTCATGGTTGTGATCTTCCAAAAGCGGCTCTATGAAAGGCGTGGAGATGCTAAATGCTAGACTGGAACTAAACGCTTCTATGCCTCAGATACTACTTGATTTATAATGCATGCAGAAGAGCAGACAGACCGACTAGTTTACAGATGTTTCAGATGCGCTTACAGAAGGATTCGAAGCAAACAAAAGCTGTCACCCGCCTCAACTAGTCAGCTATACATGAAGTTATTCGCATTTCAGCAATCATAACCACCAAGCAACTTCAACTGATTATCAAGTCAACGAAATCCTTGGATTATTTTCCATTCCGAATTCATTAGTAGATAATCATTTCAAGCCTCGAAATACCCATTAGAATACCCTACTATTCTGAAAGGCTGCAACGGTATTGAGAGATTGCAACTATACAGAGAGCAGGCGCAGATCGTCGTTGTGGTCTAATACCCCGGAGGAGCACATATGAGGCACAGTCCACGCCCTCCCGTATACATGATCCACTTCCGTTATCTTGATCGGGCATTGAATATGACTACGCACGGGTCTTCCTTTCTAGTTGTATACCTGTAACTGGAAATAGTTACCAGATAAGTTATGTTAACAATCATTTTCGTATATGCTGTATCGAAGTGTCAGATTGCTACAGGATTTTCTGTACCAAAACGAGGTACGTTCTTGACATCGGGCTTCGATCTGTTTACTAAAAGGCATGCATATACCCAGGTAGTATGATAATCGAAAAACAGCAGTACTCCAGCTGTCATTCATTGCCTTTTACGGTATATGGCAGCTTCCTCTTTACTTGGCGAGCTTGGGACATTTAAGCCTCCAGCTTGATCCGTTTGGCAGTATCTTCCTGAGAATAACATTAATGCCCACCTTAGAGCAAACCGCCGGGCAATTAGTCAGTTCGGTCTCTGCCAATCTACCTGGGCAAGTGTTAATTGCCACTCCCGTTCCTTCCACTCAACATAAGCGGGAGGAATGACGGGCCAGACAGCTGACAGCCGTCTCTTCTATCACGTTGCTGATGTACTGGCTGGCTTGTGTGCTTGTGCTACCTATGGCCGCCGTGGTGGCAAATGGCATTGCACGGACGAGTACCTACTCTAAGTACTGTACAGTAGGTGCAACTAACCTACAGCCTACCTACCTGCTTATTCGTTCAGTCTCGATGTTCCAAATGGCGGGTGCGGATGTTTGTCTCACTCGGACCCTCAGCACTACACAGCCCTCGTTGCGGCGGCCTCTCCCGTTTGGCCACGGCTCCCAAGCCTTGGTAAGGGTCCATCAGCATTCCTCACAGCCGGACGGCTCTCCGCCTCCAATATATCCTCCCACAGTTCAGAGACTTTGTGGCGTAACCAGGTTGCTTTTCTAACCAAGAGCAATCGCCCCGGTTGGGTGGGCGGCGGCTGAGAATCAGCACTTTCAGGTGCGATGCGCTGGTGAGAGGAGCACATTGATCTGCGCGCCCATCCAATTGTGTGTGACATGTCTCTCGACCAGTTTCGGCTGCATGCATCATGCTAGGGAAGAGATTCGAGTGCTTCCGTGCCGACAACAAGCGGTTTCAGATTCGTTGAGAGAGCAAAAAGCAAACAAGTTTCTCATTGGAACATGCTATATGCACTCGCTGCGTTTGAGTGCAGCCTCGAGAGTTAGTTTCACACTGCCTGATGGTGACGTATCGTATAGATGACGGTGTAGGTTCACTGCAGCGGAGCGTTTGGGCATGGTCATTGCTAGAAAAACTCAGAAATCCTTGTAGAATATGCTGAAGCTAGAGCTACTCTATCGTCTTCTTCAATGCTATCTCTCTGTCTCTTGCTGGCGCACATCCGTCATGTTCCTATTTCAAATGCTGCACGCATGCCCTTGGTATCGTGTGCTGTCTTGATGATGACCCGTACCAGCCTGGTGACCTGTCCGAGATCTAATGAATAGTAATACAATGCATGAAGCTGAAGAAAACTAGAACAAAATGCAGTGGTATCAGCCGTCCTGTCAGTAACCGGCCTGTCTGCGCTTGCCCCGTGCCGCGAGCGCCTGGCTCCTCTCCGCTGCGAGCACCTTCTTGAGCTCGCCTGGGTTGATGATTCGCTCCACCTCAGCCTCGTCGAGAGACTCCTTGATAAGGGGGTTCTGACTGAAGTGTGTGTCAAAGCCGCCGGCTAGGATGATCCTGAAGAGTTGCACTTTGGCTTGGAGAGACCAGCTGTCAATGACCATGTACACATTATGCACTCTGATCTTTTCGCGATATCCGAATTCCTGAATGTCGCTTTCGTCGGCCTCCGCCTTTGATCCGCCGAGATGCGGGTTTGATGTCGGTCGACCCGAGGTAGAATAGCCAGGACCCTTGCCGAGCTCCAGTGATGTGACGATGCTGGAGAAGTCGCCGCGCAGAAGGCGACGGTCGCGCTTAGAGATGGACTTGGAGCCTCGGGAGATCTCCTTCATCTGGCGGATCAACTTGTTAGGATCGTACCGCAGGGTCAGCGTTTCACCCGTCTCCTCCTCGTACTCCCGCGCAGACTCAAACAATAGGGCGATGTTTGAGCCGGCACCCGTCTGTACGCCGACATCAATACTGTCGAGCTGCTCGACGAATGCGTCCATGGCCTGCTCGCTTTGATCTGACAAATCTCCCAGGTAACTCGCCACAAAGCCCCAGCCCAGTTGTGCTGCGACCACGACTGTTGCGCTGTCAGGAGCACCCACTGCCTGGCCGTCGCTCTCAATGATCTCGATGAGAAACTCTAGGATATCTTCTGCCACCTCAGTGGAGCCGTCTCCGTGCATGGCGCCGACGCATAATGCATAAACAGCATCGGCTTTCACATTTTCGTCCTCATCATCCTGACAGACGACCTTGAGGCCTTGCACGATGCCCTCAAAGATGCCTTCAGAGGGGTTCGTCAAGATCGACACGCAGAGCGACCTGAGAGCCAGTGACCGCTCCAGCGGGCTCCCGCCCGACTTGATGCTCTTCATCAGCCCCTCGACAAGATCGCTCATGCTGCCGCCGATCTCCTGCTTGCTGTAGTAGTGGCGGACGATGTGGAGGTACGCCTTGAGCTGCTCCTCGCGATCCTGCACGCCGATGCGCTTGCGATCGCTCGTGCGCCCGGCGAGGATCTGCGAGATGAGCGTCTGCAGGCGGTCGGACCACGCGCTCTTGGCGTTGCCGTCGTCGTCGAAGGCGTCGTCCGACACGGAGTTGGTGCTCATGGTCATCGAATCGTCGAACTCGGAGTCGCTGAGGCCGCCCTCCTCCTCAGAGGCGTAGCGACTGCCGGCACGCGAGTTGGTCCGCGAGCCATGTCGTGAGCCGCCCGGGGACGTGGCCGGGGAGCCAAAGTTGGAGTCTGGTCGCGAGCGGGACTTTCTGGATGTGGTCTTGCCGCTCTCGAGGAGGGCTTTCTTGCGAAGATCGTGCATTTTCCGCGGGGGGTTGTGGTCTCTTCGGTAGTGGCGACTTCAACAGAAGCGCAGAAGCGCAGGTGTTTCTTGAGTAATAGTAATGTGGTCTCACTTTCTCCTCTCTTCCCTCCTTTTCTTCTTATTGTATGCGGATTTCAAGTTCTTTTGGATTGAAATATGGGCGGAGAGTAGTTGAGGGCCTGGTAGTAACGAGTCAAGGCAACGATTCTGGATGACGAAACTTTGTACGGCATAAAATCCATGAGGAAGGCAGCAGTATGCAGTATTGGATAACTAAGGTAGGTGTGCAAAGTGATGACTATTGTACGAGCGAACGAACATACGTTTGCTATTGTTCGAGGTGTGTGTGGTGTTATTGTGTAAGAGGGTAGGGCAACGGAGATAGGAGGGATGGAATAATACCTAGGGAGCAGCACAATGGAAGGGAGCGGAGGACAAGAATTATTTAAATTTTTGTGACGCGAACCGAGGAGCAAGATCAGATCAGGTGGTTACCACCTGCCTAGGCTCAATATTGGGAAGGAAGATCGCCCTCCAGCCCTCCCCATTCGATCTGGTGGCCAGACGCGACGGCAAAATTGCCAACACAGAACGCGCGATTCGATACCTCGCACAGAAACATCCTGGCCGCCTTAGCTGGGCCTCTATTGCCTTGCCTTGCCATGCCTCGCCTCGCCGGATTCGTGATGCATAATAAGGCCACCCAAAAAGGCGGGGTATCCCAGTCCGGCTCTCTGCAAGCACTTAAACACCGACTCTAAACCCCTGCACACTGTTTCTCCGGGCTGCTTTTACCGCCGGAGCCACTGCTGGTGCTGGTGCACTAATAAGCCCCTAAGATAGCGATAATCCCCCACAGCAGATATCTGAAATCCACTCCACATGCCGCTGGGAACCTAACAGGCGGGCACTTATCGTCATGTCATGGTCATGCGCAGCCCCACAGGCACAGGAAGCTCGGCTCTAGAAGAAGCATTGCTGTTTTCACTGGACTCAAATTACGACAAAGGCAACTTGACGAATGTTTTGACATACCTTACCTAGGTATGTGAGCGTAACTCCCGTCGTGTTCGAAGATAGGTAAGACTAGTGGCCAGGCCAGGTTCAATATTGAGAAGCTCAACAGTCGCGCAAGGATTATACCTAGGTAGCGTCTGTTAACTCCTCTTACTAGGGTGCACCTAAAGACAGGCAAGTTGCCTTAACACGAGCAACAAGTGTTCAGACCAACCCCATGGAGCTGCCAGGTCATGGGCAAACGGGATGGAGGAGGTGGCTCTTAACCTCTTAACTGGCCGACGCGGAGGGTTACCAGAGGCTCTGGCAGAGCAGACCTCCCCCCCCCCCTCCCCTTCGCTGGCGGCGCATGTCTGCTCCCATTTTTACTCTGGTCGGATGAAGGGTAAGGCAACGAGGGGTAAGTATCTACAGATGCACGTAGGCAAGCGAGGCAAGCTAGACCAGTTGCCTACCGACGTACCTCGATGACACAGAGCTTCCACTTGTGAAGATATTCTCTTGACTATAGTGCAATTTAAGGTCTACACGGACTGAGAGTCAAATTGTCAACTCGATATGTCATGTGCAAGATCAGGGTAGAAGAGCGATTGGAGAGTCTCCGGAACATCCAGCCTGTTGCCCTGCTTATGTGGGATTGAGGGGCAACGCTTCACGTATAGGGAGGGACCCAAGTACCATGGAAAGCGAAACGACGATATTGTACTTGCCTCCCGAGATCCTCCCTCAAAAATATCCAACCTGAGAATCGATAGAATTAGGCGCGTTCATGGGTTCTTGCGACACCCGTAGCCAAGTAAATGGTCACATAATGTGGTGCCAACGAGCAAGCCCGCAGAGCGATTGACAATAGCTGTGCATTCAGCTCACCTAGCCGCCCATAAAGCACCTGTCAAGAGGCTCTGATCTTGCCGTGGGCGTGCCATACCTTCCCAGAGAGAGATTCATTCGCGCACCACAGCGACAGTAAAGCAAGCTCGAGCGAGGCAAGCTCCCGCCCACAGCCGTGTGTTTCTGACAAGCCCCCTCGCTTCTCGGTTTCCTTCCCACATCCTCCCCCTCAGCTTCCATGCTCTCTCGCGCTCTCCCCTCCCACTCCATGGTTGTCGGACTAAGACTGACCTCGACAAGATAATTCGTCACGAAACCCCCCAAAACAGCACTTTCCATCCCTCGCTGGGGATATATATCTGTGACCTGTATCCTTCTTATTCGCTCTTGATTGCAGCCTCTCGCACCAGGACGCACCTGAGACGCACTTGACAGCACCGGCGGACCCCTCCCCCCACTGCCTTCCCAGGTAGAGTGAATTGTTAAAGTGAGCTAAGCAGCCCGTCGTCGGCTACCGTACGTTAGCGGCAAGTCCCTCCAGGCTGGGCATCCACCTGAGCTGCTACGATAAGCACTTCAGTACCTCTTATCAGGTTATCATCATCACCTACGTCCGCCTGCCTGCACTTAGACCTCCATCCCTCTAAGACTGCCCCACCTCTTCCCCCCCTCCAACACTTCAAACCACCCTCGACTACCTGACGCCTTTTCCTGCCTCATCACCTAACTCGACTTTCCCGAATCGATCTTCGCTCTCTCTCGTTTCTTTTCAGGGCCTTTTATCTAAGGAGAACCGTTCGCCCTTTCCAAGAGCAAGTTTGGACTCCATCCTCCGCAGTTATCGGCACCTTCTGCCTCCCCGCTTCCCCTTCGACGGGCTCTTTGGCCCAAGGCTGCCACAACTGGCCCGAGCTCGTTCGCCCAGTCTGACTGACCCGTCAGAGACCCAAACTCTCTTGCCTAACTCTGCTCCGTCTTCTCTGTCCTGTTCACTCTTCTACCTTTTCGTGGCCTTTTACCTGCATTTCGGTATCGCTGTCGAGGAACGAGTCTCTACAGTGTTGTATCTCGCAGTCAAACCACTGTCAAAGTCAAGATAAGGAGACGATGGCCACCGAGGGTACCCAAGACGCTGCCAGCGGTAAGCTGCACCTTCTCTATTTGATCTGCCTTTCCCCTTCTCGACAATATCCTCGCGGAAGGCGAGCTACTACAGATGATACTAATATTAGCATTTAGTTCTAGTGAAGCTGTCCAGCAACGGGCCGAAAGACCTCCCGTGGCCGGAACGCCGGATCACGCTCACAAGAGATAAATGTGTGGTCCCGATCGGACGAGCTTCCAAGGTGCGGTCCAAGGGCTTTGTTGCAGCCAAAACAAACGGCTGGTTCGAATCTCCAGTCATGTCCAGGGATCATGCGGAGTTGGTCGCGGATCTTGACACTAGAGTGAGCCGTATCTCAGCCTCTCTTCAATGCGCAGCACTAACATTTCCAGACCGTCTGCATCCGCGATATCGGATCTCTGCATGGGACCTTTATCAATAGCGAGCAGGACCGGATCGATAACAATACTGAGCGGCCTTTGGCGACCGGAGATACTATCAAGTTTGGGGTGCCCATCTGGCGCGGCAAGGACGCCTTTGCACCTACAACTGTGGGGGTTGGCCTGGAGTTCACGGCTTCGTGAGTATCCCCCATACATATTAAAGGAATGATCAAATACTTATGCACAATAGGGTTGAGGTGAACCGGAATGTATTCAAGGTTCCCGAGTACAACAGCGATCTCGAGGAATCCGACAGCGAGAGCGAGTTAGAGGACGAATCAGATGAACCCGACACAACCATCCATACGGGAGTATACTTCAATAACCAGGTATCAGATCATATTGACCTGACCAAAGACGACGAGAAGCGTGCTAGTGTTGTGCACGAAATTGTGCAATTGGATGGCGCTGCCAGCCAACGTGTAATCGACTTGACGTCCCCATTACGGGAAGAGAGTCCAGGAGGCTCATTTCTAGGCAACCATGACGATCGAGCAGCATCTGAGGATGGAGCAAGCGTTGTCGCCTCTGAGGATCAGTTCCGTTCAGAGAATGATGTTGACTTTGATAGAGACTCATCTATCCGCCTGACAGAAGAGGAGGATGGCATAGACTTCAGCGACGAGGATAGTGATAGCGATGCTGAGGATAAGAGCGACATGAGTTCCGAGAGAAGTGAAGATTTGGAGGGCAGCGAAGAGGAGGCAGACTATTCGTCTGATGACGAGCCTCTTGAAGATGGTAAGTCCTGCATTCGCTGATTCTAGTCTATGACAAAGTGCTCATAGTTCATACAGGAGATCACGGCCTCATGGCCTGGCCCGATGCCGACGTCGAGGTCGAGCTGGCCCCCATAGCACTCCAAGACATGTTTGACACGCCATTGCCGCCATTAAATACTTCAGTTCCCACCACCAATCTTCTGCCATCAATTTTACCAAACGCGCCTCTTCCAGCGACTATCCCATTGCCACCCATCAATGCTGCGGCTCTTCGAGAGCCAAGCCCGTCGGATGCGGCAATGATGAAGAGTTCAGTCAAGACGCAGACGATCACTAAGCCGATGATGGAGATCCTCAAGGAAAAGACGGGCAAGCACGCCTTTTTTGACGCTCGTGAGGAGAACAAGGCTGCTCTCGCTCGACAAAGTAACACTTATCCATCGCCGCCAAATGCACAGCCAGTCAAACAGACGAGCGACAACGTCACACAGAAGCCACCTGTCTGGCTTGCTCAGCCAATGCCGGATGCTCAAGAGCCCATTGACCCAATTCAGCCGGCCTCCTCTTCACAACCACTTGTCAAGTCGGCATGGCTCTCGACTGGTAATGACTTCTTGAACTCGCCTCAGGAAGGTCAAGATCAGCCGGAAGATGAAGCGGATTCCGAAGCTGAAGCAATGACATCCGCTTACAATTACCATCTGTGGAAGCAATCTCGTTCGCAAGAGAGCGAGACCGGCTCACGTCGTATTGGTATCAACGACATTGTCGTGGTCGAGGACCTTTGCGATCAAGCTCCAGATAGTGCACAAGTGAAGGAGACTCCTAGAAAACGAAAGGCTGCTGCCATTTCGACTGCTACCCAGGAAGAGCAAATCTGGCACAATGAGCAACGTGATGAAGCGCCTACTGCCGACGCAGCCGTCCAGCCCCTGTCTCCGCCTGCATCCCCTGTAGAGCCAGTTCCACGGCTTGCTGCTGATACCTCGCGACCAACAAAGCGAATGAGGCGTATCGCCGAACGTGTCGGCTACGCCGCTCTCGGAGGTGCTACAGTTGGCGCGATGATCGTCACCTCCCTTATTTACACAGCCCCATCCTTTGCCTAATCGACGGCTACCAAGCTTTACCTACTCGAGGTGGACGGGAAGTGTTTCCGAGTTGGACGAAATTAAACCAACCCTGCATGGACGAGCAGCTCTGACAACAGACTTTGGCTTTACGGCGTACCTGTTGCCTGTCTATGACACCACACAACTCTCATACTTAGCTCAGTACGGATAAAGTGTCTGATGGAAGAAGTGTGTGTTGATTGACGTCTTTGTGTATGATTGACTTTACAAGGCAAGATCTGAGCAGTCCTGCTCCGGTATTCCGCCCACCTCCTTGATAGCTGTTGCTCGTCGAGAATAACATGCGTTTTACGAGATGCCACCGGCTTTGAGAGTACAGGGGAAAGCCGTCTTTACATGATAATGGTTTCCTACTCCCACACGATTCGGGTTTAGTTGTTAGGTTCCGCTTATCTCTGCATTACTACTTAGTCCGCTGTTAAACTTTGCTTCCCAGCTTGGTCTCCTAACATTCGGGTGTGGGCTAAGCCCAAATATAAGGCATTTACATTTCATGATTTTCCTTAGACTGCCGTTTCTGTTCAGATAATCCCACGTGTCGTATTGACCTTGTATTTCGTAATTCAAGCCATACTTGACTTTTCGAGGAGATTTCTTATGATTCTGCCTCTACAACCCCATTCGCTCTTCTCTCTTACGTTAGTCGACGTTCGGCATGACCTTTGCATTGAGGAACGTGCTACATGGCCAGTGTCTGCAGGTAGCATGCACCATCTTTTCCGTGCTATGACACCGACTCTGATGATGAGCTGCGCCGGAAGCAATTCGACCGGCGAATCGAAAGTCCGCTTCCCTGACTTTGGCCTTAATAGCAGGAGAATGATATGCGGATTGGGTCCTCTTCTCCCCAAGTATGAGTGACTAAATAGCTAAAGCCCTTTCGAGCCTCTATTCTCTTGAAAAGCTTGATGAGCATCAATATTACATCATATCCAACTGACAACGTGTACAAGCCATTGAGTTCATAATTCAAGATCATGACCAGGAAACATGGAGGTGTACTTGCGAACCATAGTTCTGAACGGAGAGGTGATCGCTGATGGAGGGTCGCACTGCTTCCACTAGGGCATGTGTGCAGACGGTCATGACCGTGAGGGATAGCAGAATGAGGCTATCGTAGTCCGAGCAGATTCTCTGGTCAAGCTCTTGAGCAGTACAAGCAGACTTGACGTATTGCGTCTTCGAGCTTGACATAACATTTTATCAGCGAAAGCCTGAAACATTGAGTTGTCCACTGCTGCTCGTCTCTCTGCTAAATCTTGTCCCTTACTGCCCAAAGAAGTGGTAGAAATATAATGGGATCCTCGACGCCAGATTTCTATCCTATCAAAATATGTTGAGATAGGTTTGACTGACACGTTTCAGTTGACGGGTGCCCCATGCCCCAGATTGTATGGAAAGGAGCTTTCTCGTCTACACCGAAACTTCTGAAGAACATTAATATAATCCAGCCTCCGCTCACTGGACTCGAGGATCGTGGGAATCTGTATCCACCCGGTTGTCAACGTGTACGAAGACATGTGGCGCCCTGCCAGAACCCTTCGGAACTTACACAGCGGTTTCGGGTCCAGGGCTCTCCTTGGCTCCGCGCGTGGAGGATGCTCGAGCTCTGGGGGCCGGCGCGCGGCAGACTGCATGAGCAACTGCACGAGCTCCCGCAGAATCGACACGCCTATCTGGGCATCGAGAATGATATATGACAGCGATTGCTGGCGTGCGTCTTCGTTTATCTTGGTCTCTTCCGACAAACTCAGATGCGGCGGGAGAAACCCTAAATAAAGGAGTCGAGGGCACACTTGGTGAAACCATGGATGGCTGTCTCTCGAGTTTCCTCATTCGGAAACGAACGGGTCACGCTGAGTATCGGGTGGGAATAGTCGTCTTCGTTGAATTATGACCGGAGTCGAAGCCACGTCAAGGCCAAGGGTGGGACGAACGTGTCATCCACACTTTTATACACCGTACCACACCCTCCTGATTGTCCATGACTTGTGTAAGGCAACCACAGCCTTGGGTGCCTGTGATGATCAGGCGACGCTCTACTCATGTAATGAGCCGTGTTACTAGTCCGCTGATGTGCAAGAGTTGGTCGAGTCCTCCGATGTGGCGGTGAGCGTATCGGGCTTGTCCGGATAGTGATGAGATATCTTCCAGTCTTTGATACTAGAGCATGTTCTCCCTTCATCTTCATGTGATGGTCTGAGATGTCTATATAAAGAATCTTTGTCCCCTGCAATTTCTAGGATTCAGATCCTTGACTTGTCTCAGACATATAGTCAACCTTGATTGATTTATTACTCCGAAGCTTCCCACTCTGCGAGCTCAACTCGCGATGTCTTCGTATGTTCAATCACTTCCGGCAGGCTACGTCTGTGGCTGTCACCAAGGCTCCCATGCCATAACTTGCCGGGCTTGCGGTGGAAGCCTTAAGATGTACGTTGTCGTCCGGCCTCTAGAGTCTTTCAAATTGTGAGAAGGAGTACTAAGGGAAGAGATATTGAGTAGTCACTGCTCTGTTTGCAAGAACACAAGGCTCGAACACGAGCCTTGCCCCAACACGCACGAGGCTGTCCCATACTCTTCAAGGTCGTTTACATCTCGTCGGACAGTGTCTTGACGGTAATCTCAAGCTATGGAACGCGAAAAAGATACGATGATCATAAGTCTAGGGGGTGTTTAGCTTTATTTGAGCAAACAAATGAATTGAAGGAAATACCATGCCAGAAGAACAGGGACTGAAGCGATGGGAAATTCACAAACTGTGTACCAACACTGAAGAGTGACGTGATGGATCGTTACAATGTCTGCCTAGTGCATCGTGGGAACTTGTGAATGACGATAATCAGACTATTGAAAGTAATTGTTGGGATTTCTAGGGCTTCGATTGTTGGTTTCCGTTTTGGCTCGACGCAATACTTAGTTATAGGAAAGTAGGAAAGAGTTTCATGGCATCTCCTAGTCGTGAACTTTGAACATTTCCAAACGTTCAAGAAATAATTGTCTTAACCTCTGGCTCTGACACAGCATATTGAATACTTTCCTCAACTGAAAGGTACGAACATTGCTTGATTTGACCTTTGGCCTTCATTTGTACAACCCAACATTTTTAAGTTAGAATAATATGTTCAGAATCTTTTCTCTTAATAGATTGGCATTCACGACCATGTAATTGAATTAGTTGCCTTCTTCGGGTAAATGATCTGCATTATCAATTTTATCACAACTTGTTGAATCTATAAATTAGGAAACTATATTGTGACACCTCGATCGCTAGCTCTAGGCAATGCTCCATAAAGGTTGTCAAATAGGCTATCCCATAGCACACTGAACGAGTGATCTTGGGTCTCGTAGATACCAGAATACTTGAAAATCGGCCTTCTGGGTGCGAAGTTGATCATTCACAAGAGGTAAAAACTGATCTCACTGGTCAAAACAATCAATTATGAGCGTGTTTTTGTATTCTCGAGTACCCGGCCAAAATACTGATGACCGATTACCTTTTCTTAACAGCCGTAATATTGATAAACCAAGTGCTTTGGTGTCTCTTAAATCAAATGCGTTGTACCGATTTTAGTGCATTCTGTCAAGTCTACTCCCAGTCCAGCCTATGCTGAATAGTCGAATACTCATTCTTGGTCCCACCTGAGTTGTGCTACCTAGACATTGCCCCACAGACAACCACTCGCCTGTGGCCCCCACTACACACACCTTGAGCTGGACCATTATTCCTCCAGCTTCATCATCGGCTTCAATCGAGACAGATTGTGTTTGTCGCAGCAGCATTACAGCCTCTACGAGTGCGCATAACAGCCTCGAGTATAGGAAGGGCTATTGAGCCTATGATGGACTGGAAGCTGTGACGTGATGTCTGTGATTCTCTGTACCGGTAAGCTTATTCGTCCTGCGAGAGCTTTGCTCGGCATCACAGCTAATCTATTGCAACAGCCGGCTATGACCACACAATAAGGTGCGCATCTCAAGGAAGGGCGATTAGCGATATGAAATGATATGACTGTGCTGATGCCTTATCGTTTACTCTAGGTTCTGGGAGGCCCTGTCAGGCATCTGCTCTCGAACGATCCAACACCCAGACTCGCAGGTCAACCGCCTCTGCATCTCCCCCGACAAGCGCTTCCTCGCCGCCGCAGGCCATCACACCGTCAAGCTCTTCGATATCAAGTCGACTAATCCGAATCCGCTTTTAACCTTCGAGGGCCACACGGGAAATATCACCGGCGTGGCATTCCACTGCGAGGGCAAATGGATGGTTACAAGCTCCGAGGACGGGACCGTCAAGATCTGGGAGACGCGCAGCGGCAGCATACAACGAAGTTATAATCACGGCTGCCCAGCTAATGATGTAGTCATTCACCCTAACCAGGGCGAGATCATCTCCTGCGACCGCGGCGGAAGCGTTCGAGTGTGGGATCTGGCCGAGAACAACTGCTCACACCAGTTGATCCCCGAGGAAGACGTCTCCGTCTCTAGCGTCACAGTAGCTAGCGACGGAACGCTCCTTTGCGCTGCAAATAACAATGTACGCTCCTCCACTACTGTTCTGGCCTCTGCTCTTGGCTGACTCCTCTCTTCTAGGGCAATGTCTTTGTCTGGCAACTCCTTCAGACCTTTGATCGAACTCAGCTCCTTCCCGTCACTCACTTCTCCGCGCACAAAGAATACATCACGCGAATCCTTCTCTCCCCAGATGTGAAGAAGCTCGCAACATGCAGCGCAGATCACACGGCCAAGATCTGGGAGGTGGACATCGAGCCGTCCAAGGTCGACACGGAGCCAAAGCCATTCCCGCTCGAGGCCACCCTCACGGGCCACCAGCGGTGGGTATGGGACTGTGCGTTCAGCGCCGACTCGGCGTATCTTGTCACTGCGTGCTCGGATCACTACGCACGGCTGTGGGAACTACATAGCCAGCAGATTATCCGACAGTACAATGGACACCATAGGGGGGCGGTCTGTGTCGCGTTGAACGACTATTCAGAGGCCAGGTAAAGGAACAAGGACGAAAGACTCTTACCCGAGTGGCTTCATGCATGTTTGCTACGGATACGGGAGGCTATGTCCGCGTGTCTAACCAACAGTACACAAGTGTCACGGAGACGCCACTTATGTAATGTGAGATATTTTGTATTTGCGGGAGACAAAATCTTGCTGACGAGCCCGGCGTTTTGGTGGATCTCATGGTAGGGGAATGGCTACATGATGCAACTATTTAGGTATCGCACAATGTATCTTCTTTTTTTTCATTTGCAAGAGTTGTCGAATGGTATCCTGCTTAGTTCTGCTTCGCATCGGGAATTATGCCTCTTAATGCTTTAGCCAAGTAAACTCCGTACTATGCCGCTTTCGCCTTGCCTTGCACCCATATTCAGAAATCTATACTACCATGTAGTTCTTGCGCTATTACCAGCCATCGCCCCAGCCGTCATCGTCGGCAGTTTCTTTTGGCTTTAGATCAATTTTCTTTGCAGCGATTGGTTTCGCGGCCGGCTTCGTTACAGTCGCTGGCTTTTTAGCAGCTAGAGAGCCAGTTGGTTTTGCCAGTCCCTTGGGTAGTTGTTTGCCTGGGCCCGACTTCTTCTGAGCTTGAGCGGCCAGCCACCCAGCAAAATCTGGCTCTGCACCATCGTCAAAAGGCGCAGCGCTGCCGCCACTTGTTGTCCTGCTGCCGGATGTGCTCTTCTTCGGCACCGTTGTGGACGATGAAAGAGACTGCGGTTGACTGTCGTTTGAGGCATCAAAGAAGCCATCATCTCCACCATCGTCCATATCACCCCAAGCATCAGCATCGTCCTCGGCCACTTCTGATTCAGCAAAGAATGATTCTCCTCCAACATTACCTTGTGAGGAACTCCGTGACAGGGACGCAGAAGGGGGAGGGGATTTAAGCGCTTGCCGGTGTAGCGTCGATGCAGACGAAGTTGATGGGGCAGGACGTTTCGCGTCTGTAACCGCCGAGGATGGTCGTGATGCACCATTGGATGTCGCCTCGATTTCGCCAGCAGCCGTTGACAGCTTGTTTGTGAACGAGGAAATCGCCCATCCAGCCCACCCAGCTGAGGATGACTCGCTAGGCTGCGGAGTGCTCATGCGAGGGGCAGGAGTATGATCTCCAGTGGGTTGTGGCGGTAGGACTGTATCCGGCATGCTCGCTGCTGCCTTTTTGACCTTTTGGATATATACATCCAGAGTTTTATGTGCCTGGTCGCGAACCAGTTTCTCTTTATCTATAAGGAGAGGGCAGATTGCAGGAAGTAGCCGAGCTGCGCAGTCTTCTTCGCTGAAGCAATCTCCCGTAACTGCCAGTGCAAGCAGAGCTGCATTTCTTGCATGCACAAATGGATCGCGCAGAGACCGCGAAAATGCAGCAATTAGCACCTTTGCTCGGGAAGAAGTACCTAAGTTTTTGGCAATCTTGCCTAGGCATATTGTGGTATTCGTCCTGATACCCGGCTGCTCATCGTTTGCAGTTTTTGCAAGGTATTTCAGGAGCTCGCCGTTTACAGTACGGTCAGAGAGTTTCGATATAATGACAAGTACTGACTTTAGTGTTTGCTCTCGAACAACGGGAGCCAAGTCGGTAAAGCCAGTTACTAAGTGGGGAAAGATCTTATCGTTAACAACCCTTTGAGACAGCCTGTCGATCATCAACGGCAGACTATCGAGCAAACAGACGCGAATAGCCCGATCTGGGTTTCCAAACAGCCGTATGATGACCGGAGTAACCTTTGTGTCAAAGTCATCATTTGAGAGTTTTGCCGAAATTTTCATGACCACGTTGAGGGCCTTGGGACCACCACCTCCGAATTCTACAGATTTCAACAATTCTGGAAGAACCTTCATTTTAAAGAAGTCTTCGGGGAAGTCATCCGTAAGTTGATCGAGATCACTAGGAAATAGGAGTTAGCATTTTTTCTTGTTAGTCAGAAATCACTTACTCAAGAAACTCGTCACGCTCTTCAGCCGACTTCATACCGAGGTTATCAACTCCGTCCGTAAGTTTGATCAATGGTGTATCAAAGAAGGCCCCGTGGCGAAGGCCTTGCTCTAGAAAATGTCCGACACTGAGCCTGGCTTTTGGGTTTGCATTGACCAGACGCTTGTAGCTGGACTGCATGGTCGGCGGAATGTTCTTGGTCTGCCCAGCCTGATCTGCACCCATAAAGTCGCCATTGAAAACTTCAAAAAGTAGCGTTCCGTAGTTAAAAGCATCAACTGCAGAATGAGGGCTCTTCTTTATGGAGTCCCAACCGGACCGCGCCAACTCTGGCGGCGTGTATCTTGATGAGTCAGGGACTAAGCTCCCGTATGTCTGTAGAGTTGTCAGAAATGTCCAAAGGAGAATGAGTAAGCAGCCTACATAGATCACAGCCTCATCATCTTTGACATTGCTTAGAACCTCAAAGCCTCCAACTTTCCATTCGCCGCTTTCCGATGTGTATATCGACGCCACTTTGAGATTGCCATGAATCGATGATGCATCGTCATTGATGAATTTAATGGTTCGCTGGGCAAAGCGTTAACGTAAGCCTTAAATCCGGTGAAAGTTGAGTTAATCTTACAGCAACACTGTAAAGACCCCATTTCATGGTCTCGGGGCTAAGACTCTTGCGTTTCACATGCCATCGTAGGGGAACCAGCCGCTCGGTTGCAATATAGATATATGTCTCGGTCTTGGAAAGAAATCAGCGTCTGTGGTTCGTCGCGGAATCTCGAATGCGCTACCTCGACGGTGTCCAACACTTTGATCACCCCGGGATGTCTCATAGTCCTCAGCTTCTTCAGCGCATTCTTCGCAAGGGGCAGTCGCGATTTGTTGTTTGTGATGTCGAATGAAAATATGCTACAGTTCGATCCGTCCTCCTATAGGAAAGTTGTCAGCGCACGGTAGTCGAGCGGAGGATGCGATGTTGTGGGGGACGCACTCGCTTCGTGCCATTGTACAGAGTCCAGATAGACTGATCCACGTCGACGCGATCGCCAAACGTATAGGGGAAGGGAGGCCCCTGAGCAATGGCCGAGGCCACAGCAGACTTGAGAAAGTTCATTGCGAAGCATATGTCTGCTGCCCTTGTGTGTTGACAAGAGGTCAAGGCAAGACAAGCACAAGCCAGCTGTGGCTGGTTCCAAAAGGGGCAACGTCGAGCTTGTCACAAGGAGCGAGACAAAAGGCCAGGAGTTGCCTTTAGTGTGCCTCTGTCTATCGCGACCTGAAAGCTGTTATCGGGATCTGATCCCCCGCGCTAAAGTTGATAGTGGGGAAGACCGGCAGACGGGTTTTTCCGGGCAATATGAGCAGGCTGCCAGGTGCCTTCCTGCCTTTTCCATCTGCTGAAGTTACACACACATGGCACCCTAGCTAGTAACGCTTAGTCGCCAGAGTAAGGTTCCCACTGTATTTTGTCTTGCGACTAGCGTGATATCACGCTAATTGGTTTCGGCTGGCTTTAGTAGGAGTATTCGTCGGGTCCCCTCTTGTCATCACAACACCTTCATTTTCTTTCCTAAATAATATTCTCTCAACCAGCCCGTTCTACGACACTGATATTGGGCCATACAGGCCTCAGGCGCCAGGTCGACACTTCATGAGCGCCTCTGACAAAATCTCACTACAGACGCCTAGTTATCAAAGCATCACTTGGTCTCTCATATGGGAGTGACCTTACAAGGTTTCTTATGAGGGATAGTTGAGGCCAGCAAGGCAGGGCTTGTTCTGTATCTGGATTGTCCGCACGGTGACGCCCTGGCCGGGGGGAACTGCAAAAAAGAGAAATAATCATCACATTGTGCGTATGGATTTTCTCTTCTTCTGTTTTCTTTCTTTCCGATCAGGCCGCCGTCAATGATGCATTATATGGTAAAAGGTCAGACTGCCAAGGGTTCTTCTGGCATTGTTTATCTCTTCATTGTCGCAACCTCTGTTCTGGCCTAGCCAAACAGAGGCCTCTGCCACGCCCATATTCTCTGTGCAACAGTCAGAGTGGATGCTTGCACATCAGCTGGCAGAAGACGACATCAATCAATTAATTCTCATGCCCTTTGTGGTTTTGAGTTTTTTTTTTCGCTGCTATCCGGAGCCAGGCCTTGAAATACTGCTATGAGGCGGGGCCAAAGGCTGCGGCGGACAAAACACCTAAACCAACTTTGCGCCAACTCTCGCGCAGCGCGACTGAAGAAATATACGAAGCCGCCGCGCCAGGCAGGATGATGACCAAAACAGAAACTGAAAAGATCTGAGACGGCGCCGTTCGCGACTCCTTTTTTTCTTCTCTCCCCAGCACTCTTGCATTTCGTTTGGCTTCGGTTTCACTAATGGAGAAGGCGACTCAAGGCGCCTCTAGGCGGTCGATGACTCCGGTCTGCCGCGCTTGCAAAGAACCTGAACGACCATTTCAGCCGCTGGTTCGATGTGTCGTCTGTAAGAGACGGTATCACGCCGCCTGCTACAATCCACCTCCGCTTGATTCTCAGTAAGTAGATTGCCAGCTCCTATATCCTCGCGGAACACACTCTCCGTTGCCCTCTCAGGTGCCAGACTATAGGCGCGTTGCATGGATAGCCTCAGGCGCACATTCGCACAGTGTAATTTATGCCACGCTCATAATTTGCATTTTCAAATGCGGCGTCCGGTTTATTACCTCAAACCCTTCTTTCTTGGCTTTTGGGACATTTTCATCGATTAGAGCACTTCTAACTCGTTCACAGAAATTGGACTTGCAAGAAGTGTATCCAGCCTGAGAGTAACAAGCGCTACAATGAGACGTGGTCTACAACAACGCTCGGAACCCAAAACAGCTCCTCGTCAACGTCTCGCCCACAACTTGACTCCACCATGTCACGCACTGGATTCGCTTTCACTCCGCATAGTAATGATGCCATCGGCACCATGGGTATGCGTTGTTCGTTCAGAGGATGCACTAGCTTATCCGAGGATGGCGGACCCTTATGTAACTACCATATGGACTATATGATTTCAGGTCCAGACAAGGCACTCGAGAAATCGTCAAATGGTGCGAGTCAACCACTCAAGGCTAAGCTGCAACCCGAGAGCAGATCCGGGAACAATGGTCCTCGCATCAAGATGACCAAGACTGCTCCAGGACCAACTCTGGTAAAGCCAATTCAGAGTTCTTCTAAGCAAATAACCTCGTTCACTGCGACCCCGAGATTGGTTGCTTCTCCTAATTCGACCAAGTCGGCTTCTCGACGGCGGTCTATATATTCACCAGCGGATGGCCCAGCAGGAACAGGAAGTCCTGCACATAAGAAGGCTCGACAAGCTTCCGGAAGTTATGAACTCAATAACAACAAGAATCATGTAGCTCAGCCAACTACATATGAGTTTGCTTCAAATCCAAGCAAAAGGGCTGATCAATTACCCGTCATAGCGCCATTTCTAAACGGAAACCATGCACGACATACCACCAAGGACGTCCGTAACGGAATAGATAATGGGTCTCTTGCTGGAACTACCTCTCAAACCTGGGACTATACTGAGTCTGATAGCTGGCTACCTCTCCAGATAAATCGGACGAACGGTCTGAGTTCAACTCATAAGGATAGTAAACATGCTGAGAACGGCATTCTGCACAATAGAAGTGCCAATCAACGATGGGAGGAGAATAGCGCACCCAGTCTCTTCCACTCCTACTCGGAGACCAATTCGCTACAAGCCAGTAATGGCCTGAGCGCCGCCAATGGACTTTCACAAGATGCAATTAGGGCGTCTGCATTTGATAACTTTAGAGGACCGCGAAATAAGGCTTCGCCGACGCCAAAATCGGCATCAAAACTTGACACCAGTACAGCTCGGCGGACGCTTGATGGTCTTAGTACCAAGACTCGGCCTCGAGCCTCGAAGGACACCATAGAGACTGCAATCAACGTGCCACCTCTAGAGGCTCAGCGAGAGCGTTTGGCTCAGGCACGAGCAGCAGATTCGTCAAGTTTGGACGCTCTTATATACAATCAAGAGGGTGCTGCGGAGCCTCCGCCTGGAGTCATAATACCGGAAGCTCAGCCTCGTCCCGCGAAGGATCCGCGTTTCTTTGCACATATCGATCCCCGCATTCACTGGTGCCGCCCGCACTCTAAGGAGTGGCACGAGAAGAAACAGGCAGAGATCAAGGAGAGGGGCGGGCGCAAAGCCAACTTTGGAAAAGCTGCCGAGCGCTTGAAGAAACAACGACTTGAAAACCCCATACCAGAGGAGGACCTACTCCCGGAACGCGTGAGGGAAAATCCGGAATGGATGCGAGCGCAGGCCTGGTTCAAAGAGTGCAGTCAGAAAGACTGGGAGAAGGATAAAGAAGCTACAAAGCGAGCTGATGCGGAAGCTAAGTTGAAAGCAAAGACAGGACGACGTCGGTAGTTCATAACTAGCAACAAGACGATTGTCACCGGTCGAAGTCCTCTGGGCTTCACTCAGGTACATAAACCTCTCCCGGAGGTGCGGCGGATGAAGGGATTGTTTTGTGAACATGTCAAAGTTTCATTGCGCTATCTGACTTGTCAAGAAGCGACGCGCTATATATCATGAATGCCAGGGGGTAAAGGGAGGGATCGAGGGATCGAGGGATCAACGCATGGCCGTCATTGCCATGGTTTGGGGTGTCTTCTGAGATACCATCCATATTCAAGAAATGGCTCGGCGTTCTGCTTTCTAGGGGCATTTTGGCAGGTGGCATCGTCTGGAAAGGATTGTATGGACATTGTACCAGGAGTTTAGGAAATCAGTGCTGCATCTAAAGCATCACAGCTGAGCCTCAGATAGATGGTTCAGATCCAAATCTGCACTTTTGCGGATCTCAGAAAGCTGAATAGTGAGAACCAATACACACTCGCAGAATTGCTCTGTGATCAACTAACTAATCATGGTCGTAATTTCGTGAAAGCCTGCCGAGCGGGGCGCAACGTAATATATGGGCAAACATGTCGAAGTAGGTAATTAATTGGCATAACAAAGGAAGGGAATGGCCCCCAACTTATAATAGCAACCAAGGCACCCCGACGGCATTAAAAGGTGAGATATTGCAAGAATGAACGCCTCAGTATTTACTCTAAACTCAGTGCATGGTATTTACATTTTACAAGACCGAAGCCGCCCCTAGTAATTCCCTGATACCCAAACATCAAACAGCTCAAATCTTATAGACCCTTGGACAAAAGATTCAGTGCGCTTCCCGCAAGGATGAACAGGGCCTGGTCCTTGCTGACGGCGTGCTTCGTGGGAATCAGGACCTCCTCGCCGTTCTTCTTCGTCACCCGCAGACTGACGTCGCCCTGGCCACCGTTCTGAAGCATGTCGTACAGACCCACGGTCGCGACCTCGTCGCACGCGTCGATCTTGTCGTAGTCGGTCTCATTAGCCAGCGTCAGCGGCACGACACCCTGTTTCTTCAGGTTGGTCTCGTGGATACGCGCAAAAGACTTGGCCACGATGATTCTGGCGCCGAGGTAGCGCGGCTGCAAGGCGGCGTGCTCGCGAGCACTACCCTCGCCGTAGTTGTGCTCGGCGACAACAAGCCACGGCTGTTGGCGCTCCTTCCAGAGCTGTGCTAGTTCCGGGATGGTGTGCTTGGAGCCGTCCTCGTCGTATGCGACGTTCACCTCGCCGGTGGCGGCGTTAACGGCGGTGTTTAGTGTGTTGGTGCTGATATTCGGCAGGTGGCCCTTGTACTTGAGCCACGGGCCGGCAGCTGAAATCGTGTCGGTGGTGCACTTGCCAGTGACCTTGACAAGCACTTTCAGGCCAGACAGATCGGACTTAGGGAAGGCGTCGAAGGGGTCTAGCAGAGCAAGTCGCTCTGAGGTCGGAGAGATAGCTACCTTAACGTTGGCATCTGGCGCCTGGGATAATACCCCAAATGTCTTGTTGCCAAGGTCAAACGGTGTCTTGGGACCCTCAAGACCCTTCGGAGCTGGGAAGCGGAACTCCTTGCCGTCAGGCGTTTGCAGAGAATCCGTCATGGGGTTGAAGGTGGTAGAGCCAGCAAAAGCCATAGCAGTGACGATTTCCGGAGAAGCAAGGAAGTTCATAGTCTCTAAGTTTCCATCGTTTCTTCCACGGAAATTTCGGTTGTATGATGTGAAAATAGCATTAGGTGTGCCTTTTTGCATTCCATCCTGACGCTTCCACTGACCAATGCACGGGCCGCAAGCGTTGGAAAGGACAATACCGCCCGCGTCGACGAATGTCTCCAGAGTACCGTCTCGCTCGAGAGTCGCACGAATTTGCTCGCTGCCAGGTGTCACGTAGAAGCTAGTCGCGGGCTTGAGTCCAGCTGCCTCTGCAGCCTTAACGATGCTCTCGACTCGGGTCATGTCCTCGTATGAGCTATTGGTGCAGCTACCAATGAGGCCAGCAGAGACAGTCTCGGGCCATCCCTCTTCTTGTACAGTCTGCTTGAATTGCGACAGAGGAGTGGACAGATCAGGAGTGAAAGGACCGTTGATATGTGGCTCGAGCTCGGATAGGTTGATTTCAATAAGCTGATCATACTCGGCACCCTCGTCGGCCTTGAACTTGAAATAAGCGTCTTCTGAAGAGCCTACACCAGGGAAGCTCTCGAAAACGGAAGCAGCTTTGCTGAGGTCGCCTCTTCTAGTTGATTCCAAGTACCGGCCAGAAGCTGCCGTGAAGGGGAAAATAGAAGTTGTAGCTCCAACCTCGGCTCCCATATTGCAGATTGTAGACATTCCCGTAAGACTAAGGGTCTCGACACCAGGACCAGAGTATTCAATGATAAATCCCGTACCGCCTCGGACGGTCAGCTTTCCAGCGAGGTGGAGGATGACATCCTTCGGTGCAACCCAGTCATTAAGCTTCCCTGTAAGGCGCACACCCAGAATTCGGGGTGCCTTGAGCTCCCAGGGAGCACCAACGAGCGCCTCAACAGCATCGGCACCGCCAACACCAATAGCGATTGTACAGAGACCACCAGCGTTAGGTGTATGACTGTCAGTTCCCAGCATCATTAAACCTGGTCGTGCGTAGTTCTCCAGCACAGTCTGATGAATGATACCAGCTCCGGGCGGCCAGAAGTCAATGCCATATTTCTTTGCCGCAGACTCGAGGAAGTCAAAGACCTCCTGATTAACCTGCATACCCGCCGAAAGATCCTCGTCTGCACCACGCTCGCCAACGATCAAGTGATCGCAATGTATGCTCGCTGGGATCGCCGTCTGTGGGAGATTGCAGGACATAAATTGGAGCAAGGCCATCTGCGCAGAGGCGTCCTGCATGGCGACTCGATCAGGCTTGAGGCCGAGATTGGCCTTGCCCCGGATGTCACGACCATTGTTGGTGTTGGTTAGGAGAGTCTCCTCAACCTTATCGAGGTGGCTGTAAAGAATCTTCTCGGCCAGGGTGAGTCTCTGGGTTCCAAGAACTCGGCGCACTTCGGCATACTTCGTGTAAAGCGTCTCGTAGATCGGAGGAAGTGGAGGGCCTGTCGACAATGAGCGCCTGCCCGAGAGGCATCGGACCTGCGGTCGTTGGAGGGCATGCTATAAAGTCTAGTAAGTTTTGTTGCTTTCAAAGGCTTGCTGAGATCCTGCGTACTCTTAGGACCGCTCCAGAGCGGCTGGCCAGGTCAATTGACCTCATCGTGGGCTACTGTGTCCAAGTTACCTTGGGAGAACGTGATTGTCGCGGGGCGTCAAATGCTGTCGAGAAAAAAACTGTTAGGGAATTATCGTTATCGGTCATCGCGTGCCCCAGCACCCCCGATTTGCGGAGATGCGGGAGCCAATAAGAACCTCGACATTAACTACCCTTTTTACATTGCCGATGCCGACATGAGTGGCTCCTTACACGTCAAATTCGCACTTACAATTAAACACCTTCTTCGATCGCTTTTACATCGAGAGAAGGCTTTACCAGGAGCAGGTAAAGTTCAATTCTAGAGGTCAGGAAGAGAGATTATGCTCGGTAGATTCAGCATAAGAAGGTATCGATTAGTCCTCTTGTAACACACCCGGCTAGGGCTCGAATTATGGGTTGACTATAGTCCTTGCCATCGCGAGCGACGAGCAACGTACCTAGGTAGCTAAGGCAAGCAAATTAGAAAGTCATTATACCGCCATGACACTCAAAAGCTGCATGGGTACACTTGCATGCGTTTTATAACACGATATTGCACTAAACAGCTCATTTTAACATCTTTTTTACGAAGTCTCTACTGGGCTAATGACCATTGGTGTTGATTACCTACCTCTGTAGACAAGAACATTGATGGCCCATAAGAAATTTGTCTACCGGCAACGCACCGCTATATTATTTCCATGGCCTGGTATTAGAGGTTCAAGACCAATTGATAACTATGATCGCATGATAATATCCTCACTTGTTTCTTCAAAGTCAGATGCCGTTGGTGTTTTCCTTGATTGGTATTAATGCTCTGGTTCCCAGGCGAGCCTTCATTTCCCGAAACTCGCTCAGACCGCAAACTGCTTCTGCCTCAATAATTGTTAAAAGACTCATGTTTTCGACGGACAGCTACTTCTAGGGAAAGGACAACAACTGCACCTCAGGATTCATTACCATATGTCAAGAATCCTAAGAGTTCTATTGAAGTCATTCGATTATATAGGCTAGCGACAGGTGTTGAGACGGCAGCATCAAGATGGTTCTCTAAGGAAGCCTTAAGCTGTAACACTTCCAAGCTTGCACGCTTCTACAATTAGACAACTCCCGTGCATTCCATCATCCTTCATAACAGAGCACGTTCCCATACCAATAACCAGAAACGTGAATAGTCAAGCCAATTGATATATTTTGTCGACGTCGATCTACCACAATCGCCACATTTGAATGCTGCTTGCACAACTTCTGAGGAAGGTTCACCGCGGACTGTTGACTTGATTTAAGCAGAGTCTGGGTAACCACGCGACGTTATCACGCAGTATCATAGTCCAATCTAGACATAAGACCTCTTCTCCTAATGTTTAAAACCATTTTCTCTCCGCTAATTTTACAGACAGCACACAGTGTGAAATACACTGTGCCGAATGGTGTTCAGTGGATTTTCGACCTGCTTAGTGCTTCTGTGCACTAGCAACAGCTCTATCAAGGAACGGGTTTGACTCTCCTTGCTGGTTGGAATCCCCCTATCCTGTCTTTCCTTAGAGGAAGAGGTTACCAAACTGCAATTCTACTAGCCTTTTCAAACTCAAGATATGACGGATCTGCTAAAAGTTGATCACAGATTTTTGGCGTGAAAGAGAATGTGGATTATAGTAATCTTCAGGCAAACCAGTAAGTAATTCGCTGCTTAATTGGCCAATGTGACCCACTTCACGATGTATTCAAGAATTCGACTATACCCAACTCATATGAGGCGCAGCGGAGCTGAGAATAAGTCTTGTAGGCAGATTGCTCATGGTAGTGCCGCCAAGATTTAAATTTGCCAGTTTCATACATAATTGATTCAACGACGGAAAGGGGAATGGTTCGATTCTTATTGTGAACTCGCAAGGTTGAGTCAGCTCTGTAAACTTCACAGAGTACTCTATCGTTAGTCCGGACGTTTTCAAATTAGAGCGATTTGAATTGTCCAACTAGCACTCATGTCGACATCTCCATTCAACCCGACAACTTTCCACAGAGATATATCACTTTCCAGCACCGAATATGATTATTCAGATACACAACTACAATTGAAGGATAATATTCGACTTCTCCGCCTTCTCCCATGTGACCCCGAAGCTCTGGACCAAACGCTACGATGTCATGTAACGGTTGAGTGCTTATCGGCCAAGCCGGCCTACAGCGCGCTCTCCTACACATGGGGAGATGACTTGTTCCCCGAGATTCTGATGATAGGGAACGCCCCCATCCGCATCACCCAGAACTTGTACGATGCATTACAGCAACTACGCAAGAGTGACGAGGATTTGGCTCTGTGGGTTGACGCGATCTGCATAAACCAACACGACGACACTGAGAAGGCAACTCAAATCCCGCTGATGGCCCAAATATATAGCAATGCCAGCGTAGTTCACATCTGGCTCGGCAAAGCTTCCGCTGAGACCTGTGAAGTGGCACCATTCCTGCAGGATATCGGCAGGAAATTCATTACGCGCAAACGAGAGCTCCTGGAGCCCGGAAACGATGCTAATCTCGAGAACCAAACTATCTGGGCGGATCTGATGGAAAATCCAAACTCGCAAAAGATCAGTCTGATATGGGGTCTCTCGTGGTTCACAAGGAAATGGGTAGTCCAGGAGCTCGCATTCGCTCAAAAAGCCCTCATGCATTGCGGTACAGCGACTATGGACTGGAGAGAGTTTGCAGCTTCATGCTTTGCTGTCACCTCTTTGTCCAGCGACGGACGCTTTCGACAAGCTTACGAAGCTAAGCACGGGCGACAGTTCCGGATCCCTCATCCCGATGGTTGCCTCAAGATCCTGACACTGGATGACATGGTGAACGACCTCAAATCAGTCGAGGAGTCGGGAACGACAAAGTCTTTGTTCCGGTGCGTCGCTGATGCCTGGCCGTTCGATTGCAAGGAGGACAAGGACCGAGTGCTCTCTATTCTCGGAATATTTAATCACGGTAGACCCCAGAAGTTTGAGATCGGACCGCGTGTCCGTACCGAAGAGCTCTATAAGCGCTTTGCTTACCATTGCTACGAGTTTGGCGATTCCACGGACAAGTTAGATATGCTCTCCTACGCAGGTCTGTCCCACCGTCCACGTTCACAAGCTGCCATGAATCTCCCGTCCTGGATTCCGGATTGGCGACTCAAATTTGATACGGGTATGGATATTCTCAGGGGATTCACTGCTGGACATGCGATGAGTGCTATGATGGAACTCTTTCCAGACCAAGACCAGATGCTTGTTCGAGGAGTCATCGTGGACCGTGTGAAGGCGAATATTCCGCCGGTCGGCATCTTCAATCGGGCCTACCAGGTGGATCATCAAGCTCAATGGTACGCCGAGCTAGAAAGGCTCTTCACTTCAGCTTTTGGAGACTACACCATGGAATCAAAGGTCCCTTACATAGCAGGGGGGTTGGCCTGGGAGGCATTGATGAAGACGTTGATTCTGGACAGGAAAGACAACGAATTGATTAACTATCCCGTTCGAGATCTGGCATCTGGACAGCCAACTATCAATGATACCGATCCAGACTCAAGCGCACCGTTTCACCAGCACTTCCACGGAATGCGAAGCTTACTTCTCGGAACGCTGGAGGATCAAGCGGGCTCGGCAGACAGGGCTCAAGCCGAAACATCTGGGCAGAGTTGGCGGACGAATAACGACCTTGAGTACAAGGCTCGAGCTGAGGCGAATTGCCTCAATCGGAGCTTTTTTGTCGGAGAGCGCGGTTTCATCGGCCTGGGACCTGAGGACATGGTGCCTGGAGACATCATCTGCCTACCTGCAGGAACGAGCGTGCCCTATGTGCTGCGCCCCGAGGATGCTAACTTGTCCATGTTCTGGCACGCCGAAGGCAATATCAGATGTGTTCTGGGTCGTGTCCAGTTACCTGACGGTTGCCTGAGATCTTTCATAAAGAGAGAAGAAAGCCCTCGATACCAATTAGTCGGTGAATGTTACACGGAGGGTATAATGCACGGAGAAGCGTGGAATATGGGCGCATTACCAGCCTGGGAGGAGTTTGTCTTGTTTTGATCATTTCAATTGGACTTAACCCGTAACAAATATAGAGGAACAAGGATGGAGCGCGCTCCGCCCTAATAGTCGTGTCTACTCTGAACAGGCTAGTGTGTCAGCGTCAGTTGTGAAGGAATTCTCTCGACTTTAGGTCTGTATATAGTACAAATGGCAAGGAATGCCGGTAAAGATGCGTCGTAATAATCGTAGGTGTACGTGACAAGGCAACTAGCTCTCTCATCTGTCTTTATTATTTATAAGCGATGCAAGCTCATACATAACAATTGTGGTCCACATGCTAAACAGTAGAAGCATCCGCCACCTTGACCATGGGGTTTATTTTCACTTAACCCAGCAGGACATGGCTCGAGACATGAACGTACAAAAAATTTCTTTTCTGATGACACAACCCGCGTCAGGGCCGGAAGTATCTATGACAATCAACGCCGAACCCTTCTCTGGAGAACCCAAAGCGAAAGAAATCCTTACTTCAAGCGCCGTAGCAAGCTGCCTGTCCGTCACACGAGCCAACCATAACTCCAAAGCGCCTTTACGTGCCCGCTCTCAAAGAACCGTGCGAATATTGACCAAAGCACAAAGTCGATAACCTTTTACTGCTTCGAGATCAGGCCATCTTCTGTCTCTTCACATCACCAGCAACTACATTTCCACCAGCTCCAACTGGGCCATTCGTTGGTACCTCTGCGAGCGCTGGTCTGCCTGTCGCATTGGCAGTATCGAGGGGTCTCTTTATGGTCGGTGGACGATACTGGCCTCTGTTTGCTAGGGGGCTTCCAGGGCCGCCTGGGGCGCCGATACGTCTAGCGTGATCCAGTGACGGGTTAAGAACGTTGCCTCTCACGGGTGGAACAGCAGGACTCAGGCCTTTGGCTGCCGCAGCATTGGCTGGCACTGGAGGTCCAGACGTGCCATTGCTACCCGTCTCCGACGGTTTGGCAGGTGCAACATGCTGTCCCGTTCGCGCGAGAGGCTTGGACGTCGTGTGGTCGATTCCGGGAGTCTTACGGATCGAAGGGCTCTCGGCATGCGGATTGAACACCTGTCCCACCTGCGGTGCCTGCGGTAGCGCCGGCTCCGCGTCTGGTTTCTGGCTGGATAGTATGCTGACTGCTCGAGCGGAGAAGAAGCCAGTCGTCTCACCTCCAGCAGTGCCACTCTGGCCGTTAGCTTGGGCATTCTGGGGATTAGTCTGTCGTTGAGGGACATTGTTGTTTTGTGCTTGACCTGCATGGCCGGCTGGTTGAGGTCGCTGCATGTTCTGTTGCTGCGGTCTTGGCCCAGCTTGATTTGATCCGAAGTTATTACTTCGAGAAGGAGGCTGGTTTGGTGTCTGTGGAGGCCGAGATGGCTGGTACCCGGCAGATACCGACCGACCTAGTGGTCTGGAGGGCGGTTGCATAGTCTGCGCATTGTTTACCTGTTGGGCCTTGTCATTGGCAGCTGGGAGGAGAAATTCGTCAGGATGACCATCTTCTGTGACGCAGAAGTCGACCTCGTCGAATTCTTCAAAGTGTTAGTTTCAATCGCAGAGCACATAATAGCGAAAACACACCTCCTAGCAAGTCCTCAAAAGAGTCCTCGCCAGACACAACCGTCATGGATGTAGCCGCTGACGTAGACGAATCCACCTTGACAACCTCCTCTTTGACCTCCTTCTTGACAAAGTCCGCATGCCTGTGCAGCTCGCTCTCGTGGAACTTGGACGGCTCGACCTTCATCTTGGTGACCTTCTGCAGGTACGCCTTGTCGTAGATGCAGTTGCCGAGGACGTTGCCGAAGTTGCGCAGCGCGCGCTTCAGCGCGTCCGTCGTGCCCTCCTTCTTGGCCTTCTCGAACGCCGCCGCCTTGCCCTTGCAGTTCTCAATGTGCCCGTACCCGATGTCCTCGTGGAACGTGCCGTCCCGCAGCGTCACCCGCACAATCACCGACAGGCCCAGGCTGATCTTGAGCGTCTGCGGGTTCTCGTCCACAAAGTCCACCTGGATGTTCTGGATGGACGAGGACCACCCGTTGAAGCCGAACACCTCGTTTGCCAGCGCGATGCATTTCTCTGCCGCAATGTAGTGTACTTTCTGGCCAGAGGGTCCCGTTCGAGCTGAGAGGTACTCCGGTCCGAGCTGCTTCTCGAGCCGGCTCTGCAAGGTAGCAATCTCCTGGGCTGTGAACTCAGACATCCGCGGCTTTGCCTCCTCGAAGGGATTGACGATTGTGTTGTGCTGGTCGCCGGGACTGCAGCGGGGGCACTCTGGTTAGCTAGACCCTTCTAAACAACATTTACACGCGACGGCCATCGCTGTCAATAAATCAGAGAACGTACGCAGGCATCTTGACGGATATAACCGAGGATTTACCTCATCCAGCAATGCACGAGAGTCTCGGAGCAGAGTTTTGAGGGTGCAGCTTTGGTGTTTGGTGCTCGAGTGCTTACAATGCCGTCAGTCTCCCACCTGCTCTCGACGTGACGGACGCGCCTGTGCAACGGGGTGCCGGAAGCCTGCGTCGCGTAGTCACACTCGACCACACGTGACTAACTCCAACCCATTGCATCACTCCCGTAAGCACCTATACGACCCCACCTTCAGCGAACTTATAGAGGGTACTGGCCTACGTATAGTCTCCAGAGGTAGTAGCCGATACAGTCTATGAGAGCCCAAATTACCTCCTACAATTCGGTACAAAGCATATTGATTTGGAAACAGCTTAATCTGACTCTCTATGGCTATGGGATGGGAATTGTTATTCAATTGGGCTTCACGCTGAAAACACCTTGCAACTAACCAACAATCCGGCTCCCAGAGAGCTATACTTCAACCTCCGGAATGAGACCTGAGCAGAGCTTATCACAGCGACGGCAACATCGGACCTGGCGCTCTTCAAACGTTCCAAGCTCTCTGAGCATTGTGACCCAATGCAGAGGTTCCGTAGTGCTTTGAAATACCAAGAAATAGAGTTTATCTGCAGCGGCTATGGCGATCAAACAACACAAAAACTCGGTCACGTCACGTCGATCAATCATGAGGGGCTTGTCTGGCAAGTGACATGAATGCAGGTGTGTGATTACTGTCTTATCAACCGCATTGCTTCACTTATCGGTCTGGCATATAACTTTAGGAATATCTAAACCCACAGTCAAAGGTCACCGACACAGCCAGATATCACAGTAGTATTCATGCATGCAGAATAAAGCAACCCTACTAATCATATACAATATATGCCAATCCAGAACAGCACAGAAAAGACAGATTTAAAACCAACAAGTCTAAGCAAATCTCTGTTGCATTCATTCAGGGCTATCATTGCCAGTGTTATCGGGGGGTCACACGTGATGACCATGACATGGTGCGCTGGTTTAAGCTCCAGGCTGAGTAATTACACATGCAGTAAAGAAAAGAAAAGTGTAAATGACACCTCCCGGTGGAGATCACAGGAGTACGGTTCATCCCTGAAATCCGAGAAAGAAGGAAAGGGATATCAATGTGAAACATCAAAAACGCCACCAGTGAACTGAGCCGATTCCCGTAAAGTCTATGCAAGCCGCCGTTGGCGATAGGAAAAAGTCGTCGTCATGAAGTAGGGCCGTGAGGTGTAAACCATCATGTTCTAATAGTCGTCATATGGGGTTGCCGTCTCTACCAGGGTCCAACCCGGACTGGTGCGCCGTATGTGCCGTTGATGAGTTGGTTTAGGATCGAGTTCTGATCTGAAGAGCCGCTCGGTGCAGCATTGGGATTCGATCCCACCCAGCCAACGTTGGTGGTCATGGCGTTCATGGCCGCTTCTAGTCGGCCGTTGGATTGCTGATTGTGCTTGGTGAGGACCTGGTCCCATCCGCCCGTATGCAAGACAATTCCGCCTCCTCGCTTAGCAGCCTCATTGATGACAAGGGCCCACGCTCTCGCTATTTCTTCGTACGCACTCTCCTTGTGGTGTTGGTAGGATTGGCTGTCCCAGTCCGGCAGCTCGTGAATGATCTTGGTAGCAGCATCCAGGTATTGTAATGATACGGTGGTCTGGGTTTCTGTGGGAGGGAGATACTGAGGCGTGAAATCGGAAATGGCGTCAACGAGAGCAGCCAGCGGCTGCTTAACCCGGTAGTAGGTATATTCAGAACTCGACTGGCCGTATGGGACTGCAACCCGTAGCTTTTCCTGGTATTCGCCGAGGACTTGCAAGGCAGAAGCAACGGTGGGCCGTGGTGCACCGCTGACAACCTCCTGGCCGATAGCGGGATGTCGCTCGCAGATTGTCTGAAGAACAGTTCGCAGCTGAGAACTGTCGAGTGTTTCGAGAAGCCGAGGGAGGGAGAGAGGGCGACCGCTCAAGTCATTCGATCGGACCTTCTTGGAGGGCCGTGCAAGCTGTCTCGAAGAGATGGCAGGAGAGCTCAAGGGGGACACGGACATCTCATCGCCATCCTCGTCGGCTTTTCGTTTTCGGGAGGCCATGTTGGAGTATGGAGACACTAGAGATTGGGAGAGCCCATGTTAGCAAGATGAGGGTATTTAATCATTGGAGGGGGCAGCAACAACAACATCAGCATCAGCAGCCCATCATGGCACAACAATCCCCCATTTCAGAGAAAGATGGGATAGTCAGCCTCGATGAAGGGCAACAAGGTGCATCGCTGAAGCGATTGAAAGAGGAAGAACATACTGGATCGGGAGGGCGAGAGTCGGGTAGCGTCGTGGTGGTGTGGAAAGAGCGATGGCTGTGGAGACAGCAGGACATTCATTGTTGATGCAAGAAGCCCAGGCTCTCTGGTTGTCTGGATGGATGAAGGTCGCTAAAAAGCCGTCGCCGATGATGTTATGTTAGGTGATTGTTGATGCCTGCCTGGTCGAGAAAGATGAAGCGAGATGGGATGGCGGAGGCGGAGAGGTCGAGGTGATGCGAGTTGATTCGGGTCGGGTCGAGTTGAGTAGAGTTGAAGAGGAGAAGAAAGCTTCGAGGTGACGAAGCATCCGGTTCGGTCCAGTCAAAGGCCGGCTGCTGTCTCTGGCTGGCTGGCTGGCTGACTGGCTGGGTTTTCGGGTTGTGTTCACCCACAATCTGGAAGAAGTGTGGCGGCCAACTCACTCGCTCGGATCGAGGGTGTGTTTGTTTGGGGCTTATTTGCCTGAGGTATTGTATTGTATTGTGTGGTTTTGGTATGGTCCTGATCACCCATGCAGCCCGCGCTGGCAGCAGCAGAGGAAGAAGAAGACGAGGGAGGGTGGAGGTCGGAGGTTTCTGCGAGGCGAAGAAAGGGCAGGTTAAACAAGGTTTCGCCTGCAGGTTGCCTGCGTCCTGCAATAATAAGAATAACAATAAAAAAATACGGAGACGAGCGTCGGTCCTTGCGTTGGGCTTGGGCTTTGGGCTTGGGCCAGGGCCAGCACAAAGGCGGTCAAGGCAACACAACCGAACCGACGATGGGAGACGGAGATGGAAATGGAGAAGAGGGAAATTCAGGTGGTGGAGTGGAGGCAAGCGCCCCCAAAAGCAGCACGAACAGGCGGCGGTTCAGGCGGGAACAACAACAAGACAAGGGAGAGGGAAAAGGGCAAAGGCAAAGGCGAGATTTAGGTTCACCTGCTCACTAAAATCCTAAACTAAGGTTCCACGGTTACTACTGCCTCTACTGCCTCTAGGACTACTGGGACCCCCCAGTCCACTGTTTGGCGCCCCCGCTTGCGGCATCACCAATCATTTTGGGCTACCTGAACCACTCTGAAGAGAACCGCACGTGAGCTTAGTGAGGAGGAGGGAGGAGGGGGCCCGAGGCAACGGCCTAGCACACGTAGTTCATGCTCATCCATCACCTAAGCACTCCCCTCCAGTGGTTCTCAATCACTCCTCTGGCTCCTGGGGCTCCTGTGGCTCCTGTGGCTAGCCAAAGCTGTGGGGGCCTCTAAACCCTCTTCAGCGCTCTGGCCCCTCATCCCGATAGGCGCTTTCCACGGCTGCCGTCCGTTGGTGGTCGTCGTCTCCCAGGGTGGCAGGAAGTGAAGAGCACATTTACTTCAGCAGAGTACAGTCTACAAGCAAGATAATGATATAAAAACAATAACAATCAAGTTCTTCAAAGTGACCTTGAAGTAAACTATGAAAAATATAGAGGAATCGTAATTGCAGGCGGGAACTAGCAACATTGCAATCAATCCGGGAGGTCGGCCCACGAAGAAGGGTCCTTCCTTATCTTATCGTAGGAATTAATTCTGCAGGAAAAAATTCCACCACGTCCGGATCCTCCACCACCACAGAAACCCTGCCCCAGCTGAAGAGTCGTCGGCAACACTCGCGTTCATCCTGACGCATTGTGATACTAGACATTCACCGGTCTTTCCATTGTGTTCCAGGCCAAACTCCAAGCCACACCAATGGCAACAGAAGATCCCCAGCCGCCGTCCCCGGCCACAAAGGACGAGAACCCCACCGCCTCCTCCTCGTCCTCCTCAAAGAAGCGCAAGACCGCCCTCCCCGAGCTCGAGGTCGACGTCTCGCTGCCCGAGCCGCCCTCGAAGAAGGCCCGCCGAGCCCTCAAGAAAGGCAAGCCCCTGCCCGCGGCAAAGCGCTCGAGCGACGACGAGGGCGAGGCGGGCAAGGATGGCGCCGTCGACAAGGCCAGCAGCAAGAAGAAGAAGGAGCGCTCGCCCTACGGCGTCTGGATCGGCAACCTGCGCTTCACCGTGACCAAGGCCGAGCTCCGCCAGTGGCTTGTCGACAGCTCGGGCGGCTCCATCGCCGACGACATGATCACCCGCGTCCACATGCCCACCTCGAAATCCGCCGCCGCCGCAGGGGACCGCGAGAAGAAGAGAGGGGCCGCGGCGCCCGAGCCCGACGACGACGACGACGAGACCAAGAAGCCCGCCGCCGAGAACAAGGGCTTCGCCTACGTCGACTTCAGCACCTTTGACGCCAACGTCGCCGCCATCGCCCTCTCCGAGAACGAGCTCGGCGGCCGCAAGCTGCTGATCAAGGACGCCAAGTCGTTCGAGGGCCGGCCCAAGAAGGAGCCCGAGCCGCGGTCCGCCAACGCCGACGGGACCGGGACCACGACCACCACCGCCGGCGGTGCAGCGGCGGCGTCAGACTCCACGCCCACCAGCCGCAAGATCTTCGTCGGCAACCTCGGCTTCCAGACCAGCGACGACGACCTGTGGGCGCACTTTGAAAAGTGCGGCGAGATCGAGTGGGTCAAGGTCGCGACGTTCGAGGACACGGGCAAGTGCAAGGGCTTCGGGTGGGTCAAGTTCAAAGAGGCAGAGGCCGCGCAGTGGGCGGTCAAGGGTTTCGTCAAGATCAAGGAGGACATCGAGACGGAGGAGGACTTCATGGACAAGGAAGAGGAGGACGAGGCCGCTGATGGCGAGGAGGATGCCGGCGATGAGTCGAAGAAGAACAACAAGAAGCAGACGGAGGAAAAGAAAACTCGGACCAGGAAGTGGTGGGTCAACATGCTCAGGGGGCGGAAGCTCAAGATCGAGCTGGCGGAGGACGACCAGACTCGGTATAAGAAGAGATTTGGAAAGGATGCAGTCAAGAAGGGACGGGAGGATCGCCCTGCCAGACCTCGAAATGCCAGGCAAGACCAGCCAGCCCCCGAGAAGGAGGTGTCTGGCCAGACTGAATCGGCTAAGGACAAGAAGATGGCTTTCCACGAGGACGTCAATGTGGCTAGGTTGACAGGAGCAGCAGTCGCGCCTCAAGGGAAGAAGATCACATTTGAGTAATAACTGTTATCATGATACCCGCATGTTAGTAGTGAAGATGGTTGAGATACAGCTGCAATTCAAGCGTGTCAAAAAGTCACAACGAACCTATTGTAATGCAACGGAACTGCGTATTACTTCATACAAATATCAATTCCTTTGACTTAGAGCTAAACTAACAATCTGATAGTAACGTGGAAAGGATTTCAGAGGCAACAGAGCCCCCCTACAATCCAAACGATCACGGGAGTCCTCATGAATGTGTGTTGTGTGGTGTGGTGTGGTTGATGTGTGACTGCATTGTTTGCACATGTGGATTTGCGTGCCAGCAAGGAAAGAAAACCGACAGACCAAGGAAATATGAGGTAAAGCAAGTAGCAGTGAGAAATCCCTATAAGACACCGTTCCGATCCGACTCCATTATCCTGTGATTTGTTCGTAGCAATGTGCCCTCCATATGTCAGAGCACGCGATGTGGATCAAGTCGGCTTACTTCTTCAGGAGCTTCTTCTGCTGCTCCTCGAGATACTCCTCATCAGACGCATCGAGGATATCGTACTCCTCATCAGTCATGAATCCATCCTCGGACTCCTCAGCCTCCTCTGCCCAATCGTCATCCTCGACGTACTCGTCGAAGTCATTAGCCTCCTGGTCGGCCTCGTAAGGCACGTAAGTCTCGGACTTGGCCTCCTCGTGAACGCTAGACACGGGCGACTCCTTCTCAAGCTTGGGGAAGATCATCTGGCTCTCCTCAGTCTTGGGAGATGAAGAGACGGATTCCTCAACAATAGGGGCAATAGCCTCCTGGGGCTCCTCCTTGATGATCTCCTTGGTCTCTTCCTCTGGCTTCTTGACGTCAACTTCGCACCACAAACGATGGCCAAACTTGAGACCGTCCTTGGTGGTCAAGCGCCAGTAGGAGATAGTCTTGCCTTCACGGGCAGGAGTGCGGAGCAGAACTGTGAAAGGGAACTCCTGGCCAGGAGCAAGAGTGTTGTAGCAGACAGTAGACTCCGAGGCAGAGACGAGCTCTTGGATGCCGGCAGGGTGCTTGGGGTCAACGTGGCCCATATAGTCACCACCAACAAACTTGACAGCGCATCCCGCAGGCCAGGGGACGGTGCCGGCGTTGCGGAGAACCCAGGTCTGCTCAAAGACGTGGTTGGGGGGCATAACAGTGCCATCAGCAATTGTGTCTCGCTCGAACACCGCGATCAGGTCATCAGCAGAAGCAGACTCCTCGACAATGGACTCTTCGGGCTTGGACTCTTCCTCGACAGGCTCCTCCTTGACCTCAACCTTCGCAAGTTCAGTGGTCGACTCCTCGACCTTGACTGGTGCCATATCAACCACTGTCTGAACTGGTGCGGGAGCAATGTCCTGGTTGTTCAGAGTAGTCTCAGTTGCACGGGAGCTAGTGCTGGTCCTAGTACGCAGGGATCGATCACCCATGGCAGGCATTCGCTGACCATCCTCATGCTCGCCAGTAGTCGTGACACTAACATGACGGACTGGCGTCTTGAACTTGATGAGCGGATGCGTCTTGTTGTGGGTGTTGGCGGGGCTGGCCTCGCAGTTGGCGCAGAAGTCAGTGTCGTTGCAGACGGCGCACTTGTAGCGGTCGCCAACGATGTAGGCAGCAGTGTTGCGGCCAGACGAGCAAAGCGGGCCATCACAGCAGATGCCGAAGTGAGTGGGCCGGAAGTTAGTTCGAGCACGAACATCGGCAATCTGCTCGTAGATAGGCACGAAGCGATGGTTGGGATGAATGAAGCCAGCGTTCACAACGCAGTCAGAGCAGTAGTCCCAGTCAGGGCAGTCGAGGCACTTATGGCGGACGCCAAAGATAAACTTGTCGCAACCGTCGCAGATGGCATTATGTCGCTGGCTACGGCCAGGAGCAAGACGCTTGGAGATATCAGCTGAGAATGCAGTGCCCTCTACAGCAGGGACGAAGCCGTGCTTGGGATGGTGACCATGCTGGTCCTTGGTAAAGCAGGACTTGCACAGGTCGAAGTCCTCACAGACTGTGCAGTGGACGAACTCCTGTTCGGCAAACTCCTGGACGCAGTTGTTGCAAGTTCGGACAGCATTGAACGGAGCGCGGTTCATGTGCAAGATAGCATGCTGCACAACCGGTGGAGCAGGAAGCTGGAAGGGATGCTCAGGCACACGGCGCTCCTCCTGGGGCTTTGCCTTGGGCTTGGGAGCAATCCGCTCGGTGGTGCTGTTGATGATCATGCCGTTCTTAACGAATCTCTTGATCAGCCAGTGATCAGCACCATAGCAGGTGATGCCCTGGTCGACACACTCCTGGCACAGATCAAAGTCGCCATCGTCGCAAGTCGAGCAGTGGTAATGAGACTCGGGAATAGTGCGGTCGCAGCTGTTGCAGCAGACAGCAAAGTTGGCACGTGGTGCGCAGACGGGAGTCTCGGCAGTCGTGGCAGTAGATCGCCAGCCTCGCGAGCAAGGGCCAAAGGTGATGGGGATCTCAGACGTCTTCTTCACCTCCGGTTCAGGCTGAGGAGGGCTCAGTCGCTGAGCAGCAAAGGAAGCCTCGAGCAACTCGATATTTCGCTCCATCTCCTTGTGCTCTTGGGCCAACAGTTCGACGGCACTTCGAAGACGGGTTCGAAGGTGGGCCTGTTCGTCGGCAGGTGCTGAGATAACCGAGGAAGCTTCGGAAATCAGGGGAGCTGGGGACTTGGTCTGAACGGGCTCGGGCAACTCGGGGTCCTCCTCGTCCTCGATGGTCACTGGCTTGGGACCCTTCTCCTCGACCTCCTTGACGGTGACTCGGAGCTTGAGCTTTTGCTTTGCCTTGGCGGCACGGTAGAGTTGCTTGTAGACGGAGATGTTGTTCTGGTCGAGAACAACATAGGATGCTGCTGAATCAGAGTATCGCTCGAAGACGCAGTTAGCTGTGCTGGGGATGTTCAGGAACGATCGGAGCTACCCATCTTGTTAGCATGATGCACCATCAGGTCAAGTCGACAAGTTGTATCGAGTAGAGATGTCCATTTAACATCTCAATACAATAGTAATACCATCTACTTTGTGATGGATAGCATAGAATATGACGTACCTTGTCCTCTAGAGAGCTTGCACCCAGGTCACGGAGAGGCAACTTGGTGCGGCGGGTGGTGCCGTCGTAGTTCACCTTCAAAGTGACGGGGGTATCAGGAGTCGTCTGTGAAGTCGACGCCATGATGATAGAGTATGAAGCTGAGGGAGATGGTATTAGCAGGGGATTGATGCCAGAAGGCAGTGATGGTTGATGGGGTGGTAGAGGAGAAGGCAGACGGTGATGGTGGTGGTGGTGGTGAGAGCAGCTGTGTTTCAGCCGATGACGGGCGGTTACGTACGAGGAAGTGGAGGTGAGGCGGATTGATAAGGCTCAGATCGTCGTCGTCGTCGGCTGCTCCTGGGACAACGATGCTCGCTGAGATGTAGCGGGAGACAGCGACAGGATATGGCAGACAATGAACCAAAATGAACAATAGCCTTCGGAAAGGAAGGTGGTGGTGGTAGTAGGAGGGGAAGAGGATGTGAAAGGGGAGGAGGTGAGCGGAAGAGAGTCAGAGAGTTGCTCAGATCGCCGGGATGGTGGATGGTGGATGGTGGTGGAGACAGAGCAGAGCTGGCTTAGGTAGGTAGGTAGGTAAGTAGGTACTGACCACACACGCACGCAGCAGTCAATATGTCAGTCACTTCGTCTTTTGGGTGGGCAGATCCCCCTAGGTTGACGAATAGTGGCGGCGGGCAGAAGGGGAGGTCAGTGTCAGTGTCAGTGTCAGTGCCTCTCTCGCTCTCTACCAATTTGACGGCTACCTGCCTGCTTCTTAATAGTGCAAGGCGGTAGGTGGGACCTCCAGGCAGATAAAGGTTTCGCAAGTGAGTGGCGGCAGGTGAGGCGACTCGGGTGAATTGCACTAACAGGCCCAGGTATGGGGTACGATAAGCTTGTTAAATGGATTGCATTCGGCAAGGCGACGGAGGAGGGTCAGGCGACCACTGACCCTAACATCATCCTCGTACCCCGACGGCAGGCCTACGTAGTCCCCCTCCTCCTTCCGCCTGCCTGAGGTCTATTGACCTGTCTCAGCTTTCGCCGCTCGGCATACTAAACTACTTACTGATCAGTCACCAACAATTAATCCGCCTGTTTGGCTGTCTTGGAGGGCCAGTCTCGGGCTTCCAAATACTTCGATTGGATTATGAAAGCCCATTTTGAGGACTCGGCCCCATCCTTCTAGCAAGAACAAGCGCCGAGGTCATCGAAGCCCATGGATGTTCTGTATCGCTGACCATGTCTACTGTAGCAGCTGGGGCTTCCAAGGCAGAGGCAAACGCAATCAATCTGCCAGCTAATCTGACCAGAGCTGAGTAAAGCAGAGGAGAGCAGAGCCTCTTCTTGCGGGAACAAACCATCCTGGTGTGTTTGTTAGCCGAAGGAGCACGGCGGATACATCGGGCTTGTTAGTGTCAGAGAATGCTCTAAAGTACTACGATAGGCATCCCGTCCCTGTCCTTGTCCCATCCGTGTTCATCCATCCATCCATCCACCTCATCCCATGGAGATATTCTACATAGCATGGCATATACAATACATAGGATGAGATGCAGTAATTAGCGAGCATCATACTTATGGGTGGCTTCTATGACTCCCTAGGTAGGAGTATCTAACCCCTCACCAAGCCATCCCAAGCCAAAAGTTGCGCCTCACGGTCCCGAGAGAGGTTCGGTTTCCTCGAACTCCTGGGTTTCCCCACCTTCAGGTTCCATTTGCATTGATCAGCAAACCCCGAAGGAAGAAAGCAATCAATCAATCAACGTAACGCAATGACTGGCCCGTCCAGAATTACACACATGCCTCCACCTAACAGCACAAGCACCTAACAAGCCAGTTGCCGCATCAGGTATCCCATCCAGCCCAGTCCAGCCCCGCCGCCCACCCGGGGGTCTGGCCAGCCTGGCTAGCTGCTGACCGAAGGCGTGAAGCTACCTCCGACCAGTGCACGAATGGCCAGACGAGAATGGCAACGGGAATCGGTGAGCTGGTCCAGGACAGGATGCAATAATGTATCCAACAGCATTATTGTGCCGTGTGTACGCGTTTTATGCCCCATGGGCCTGGGAAGCCTACCAGAGCTGGTGCTGCTGTCACAACCGACCGCCCGTTACAGCACACCCGATTGCTCGCTTCTGACTCGATGACCGTCATCCATTTCCAATTCCGTCTCTACGTAGGTTTTGTCATACTTGGCCAGCCGTGTGTGGATTCAAGCACACATACATGCACATGTTATACACATACTATACACATTATACACTTTCCGGAAAACAGGGTGGGTGGTGGCCAGGGCGGCAGCCAATATGCTCATGGGCAAACTCAATTCATGAACTTCATGGAGCCTCTCATCTACCACCCAGGTAGCTCTCCCGTTGCTTTCCAGCCACCATGGCGGTGTAAGTCGAGACCAAACCAGCTAGCTACGCCCGCCCGCCGACGACACCGCCAAACAACAGCAACACCACTGCTGCGTGACACAATGCACAACCCCGAGTTTCATCGTGGGCTCGTCGTTCCCGCCCTGTGGGGTCTCTTGGTCTGTTGTCGAGGAGGAATTGTAATTGCGGTGCATCGAGATTGTTTGCAGGTTCACCGCAGCGCATCCTGTCACACCAGAGAACTGATCCACCTGACGAACATGACGACTGCCTGTCCCGGCCCACCACGACTAATGCAAGGCTGTCTCCTTTTCGAGGCAGACTTACACGACGACGCAGACCAACAGCTCACTCGTATCTATCAGTGACCGTGCCTACGTAGGCAACAGGTAAGAGACACGTGTAGCCTTGAAGTAGATAGACATGCCGGGGTCTCTATTACGTAGCTCTATACCGTGATCTTACAAGGACGGGGTCAATCCCCCTATTCTTATTCATACATACACCCTCGTCCACTCACTCATCCGTGATCCTCTCCAGAGCCTCCATCAGCCCAGCCTCATCGTACCTCAGCATCCTTCTCCGCCCCTCGCCCACCATCCTCCCGCGCACCTCCACGCACCGCACCCCGAGCCGCGCCAGCTCCTCCGCGTCCACGGCCGGCGCCCCCGGCCCCGTCAGGTGCACCAAGTGCGTCACGTACCGGCCGTACTCGTCCTCGTGCGCCGCCGCCGAGAAGTCGCTCTGGCTCTCCGCCGCGGCGCGCGCAATCGCCGCCACAAAGTCCGTCGCCGTCATCGGGTGCCGCCCGCCGCCCGTCTCGCGGTCGAGCCGCGCGTTGAGGACGAGCACCTTGTGGCGGATGGCGCCGGGGCCGGGGCCGGGGCCGGGGCCTGGGTCCGCCAGCGCCGCCCCGACGCCGCGCAGCACCACCGACGGCACGATGGACGTGTAGAGACTGCCGATGCTGTAGACGACCATGCGCGCCGCGTGCAGCGCCGCCAGCGCCTTGGGGTTGGCCAGCGGCCAGATCTCGTGGCCGTACGGGTTGATGTACCAGACGCGCCGCACGGGTGCCGGCAGGTCGTCCTCGTCGTCCTTGGAGAAGCCCGCGTGCCGGCCCCGCAGCACGGGCAGCGACCCCGGCAGGTTGGCGTCCTCGATGCGGTCGTGGTCCTCGGTGCGGTCGCCCGTCGGCCGGATCGTGTTGTCCGGCACGGACGTCGGCGCCGAGGGATGCGAGATGGCTACTTGGCCTGCGATCTGCGTGCCATCAGCCAGCCCGGCCGAGATGTGGTGCGTGAAGTTGGAGTTGATGGCTGGGAGCACAGATATCGACTCTGGGATGGAGCAGATCATAGACAGCAGGTAGATAGAGGCCTCGAAAGACCCAGAGAACAGGCGGGCTCTGGAGGATTCATTTCAGTAAGTCTATCATGCACAAGAGGTAATGTTTTGCCGTAGGCATAAAGGAAGCGTCGAGCATCGTGAACCTACCCTGTCAAGAACAAGTTGCCTATGCTCGCCTCTCCAAAATTGAAAACCGACGTTGGCCTAGCACGTTTGACGATCTCCATGTTCAATGTATTGAACACTGAGCGGATGAGTTCCCGCTTCTCGCTAGAGATGAACGACCACAAGAGATGCCTCCCCTCGACAACGTCGAGCCATTCCGTCCTCGCCTTGAGCGGATCGGAGCATAGTCTGTACTCGAACAGCGTCTTCAGCGCCGCTCTCTCCTCGTCGCCATTGTTCGGGATCAAACGAACAAGACGGCCTGCATCGTATTAGCCACAGGACCCCAAATAGATAATAATGAAGCGATGTCAGCGCCTCAGCCAGCGCCCTTGCGATTAAGTATGACGCACTTCGGATATCACCAACACCTGTAAATACTCGTTAGAAATAAAATCCCATCTGAAGTCATCTGGGAGACTTACTTGGCCCTCCAAACACCCTGATCAGCTCAGACGAGCTTCCGCCATTGTCGCTGATGGGGATGATGTACTGTAGGGGACAGCCACGCTTGCCAAGGATCTTATTAAACACATCGACCAGAGAATTGGCCGCAGTGCCGCCCGAGAAGACGACAATCCCACCCGTGGCGCCGTTCTCCTTGCCGCCCGTCATGACTTGAACAACAGACCGGTGTTGTAAATGTAGAGCAAGGGAGGCTCAAACCACAAGGCAGCTTCGACTGATGTCGAGCAAGTCCCGGTATTGGCTTAGCGGCTCTATTTAAGCTTGGAAGGCTGGCAAACCGACTTACACGGAGCTAGGAGGAGGATTTCTCAACCCACCAAAACCTACGTGTTCATATCGTATTCTACCCACGCCATAATCACACCGATGACTCTTCTCTCCCCCGCATCCTGAGACAAGTGGCATGGGGGGCCTCCAACTGGAATGTGTCTTGGGGTAAAATTAGATGATGAGGCTCAGCTCCGGATGTTAGATTACGCCTGACTAACAAGAAACCCACAGTAGCTAGTCGATGCCAGATAATACATCTGTCATCTCATCGGGACAGGTTACACATCTGGACATATATCCACACCTCCGCTGGGGTAATAATTGTTAATTCTGAGT